CTAAGAGTTTAAGTTAAGGTGGCCCTAGTTCTAGAGTCTATTCTAGCTCTTAGGCTTCTTCCTCGCTATTACTTAGTATTAGCTCTATATTATTATCTAGCTTAGAGCTATTATTATCTTAATATATATAGTCCTTAGGAGGCGTACTAATAACGTCCTCCTTAAGTAGACTTATAATACTCGCGGAATCCTGCTTACTATTATCAGAGTTACTTAACTAAGTATAAATATAATTTTCCTCGAGCTTATCTATAGTTATATATTAATATATCACGGCGAGCTATCGTATTAGTTCATTATAAGAGCTACATCTTATTACATTAGCGTGCTTCTTACTTATTTATAACTTCTTTTAATAATAAGAGCTAGCTATATAACTAGGGAGGCTATATTTAAAGTATAGCTTCTTCTCACGCCGTTTATTTATAACTTTCTTAGATAGCTTACTATTATATAGCTTTCCTTAATAACTTAGCTTCCGGAACGCTATATTAAGTTCTATTTCCTAAGAGTAGAATAGTTTCTTATTATTACCTCCTTTTCCTTAGTATATATATATTCCGGAGCAGTATTAGCTTTTTTTCTTAAGTGCCCTCTTGTAATTTCAGTTATTAATTTTAATAGCTATTTTAATAAGTTCTTATAAACTAGTAAGCGCGTCTAATCTTACTATTTTATCTTTTATTCTATCTTTTAACTTTTTATAGTATTATACTTAGAGAGTATTATTATTATAGCTAGTCTGATTCGCGAACTACTAAAAAGCAGTAGTATATATAGTTACTAACTTAACTTACTTTAGGTTCTGAATATTTCACTTAGCAGTATAGTTTTAATTAATATCACTGAAAACACGGTTAATCCTATACTTAAATCCCTTAAAAGTTATAAAGATCCTTTAGGACTCCTTAGTTATTACTATGGAAACTCTTTTATTTTTAGTTCGGTTTTATATATAATCTAAGAGAAAAGTCTTAATCTAATTAAAGGCAGATCCTTAGAGAAAGGACGAAGCTTAAAGGACTTTATTAGTATCTATAGTAAACTAATAACTATTAAAGCTTATATAAAGCTTAACTTACGTGAGGTATACTTTAAGCTTAGATTAGTTTCTATTATAGAGATCTAGGGCGGCGATCTTAGGTATATTCTTTAGATCGAAGATTTTAGTAGGAGCCGGGTTATTATTTAATGATCTTTTAACAGAGGATATATTATCTTCGTGAGTTAGTACTTCTAATAAGAAGGTACTTAAAGTATAATAGTCTAATATTTACTCGCTATAAATATAAAAGGCTATAGTTAATCTCTAATAATTAAGAGATAAGTGTATTATATAAATAGAAAGATAGTTACTAAGTATTAGAATACTATTTAAAGTTAAGTATAAAGCTCCTATTTAATAGTAAATATACTAGTCTTATATAGAACTTTCGTTCTCCTTAGATCCCTTAAGATACTAGATCCTTAGATCTTTAGATCCTTAGATCTATTCTCTTATAAGAGGATCTAGGGATCTAGGGATCTATTATATAACTTATTATCTACTATAACCTAGATAACTATTACTACTAAAGCGTAAGTATATAGTAGTACTACTCGCTGTCCTGTATTATTCCCTAGTTAGTACTACCCTACTAATAGTACTGCCTCCCTATTAGTACTAATACCCCTATAGTACTACTGATAGTATTATTAGTATATAGGTGCCAACTGAACTGTAGCGCCAAGGGGTCCGTAATATTAAAGTATAATATCAAGTAAATACAACTAGCATAAGGGGTTATTTTAAGAGAAGGACTAGGAAACGATTAATAAAGGATTATACTCTGGAATTATTATCTTAAAGGTTTAAGAGATCTTATTATAATATCTTAAGTTTTAATTTTAATAGGATAATATGAAAAGATACGCTTTTAAATATACATAATTAGTCTTTAAAGTAATTAGAATTAAACTGATCTTTTAGCTAGTGAATTCCCTTGATTTAAACCTAATTAAGACTATATAAGATAAAATAAAAGATTATATCGAGAGTAATTACTTAAAGGTTTATTCTTTATATAAAAGACTACGTGAGGTTGTAATTAAAGCGTGAGAATCGATAGGTATTAAAAAAATCAGAGAATTGATTTAAGAAATACTAAAGAGATGTCAAGTAGTGATTACGGTAAGAGGAGGCTATACAAAATATTAGGAAAAGTAATAAAAGCAGCATTGCTAAGTATCTAGTGTGCACAGACTAGAATTGCACATTATTTACCCATGATACGAAGTAGATCATGTCTCGCTTGGATCACACTTGAGCCCATGATGCTACCCGTCGCACGCGGCGTCCACCCACCCATCCTCCCCCCTATCCTCCCATCTCACCTGTTACAGTACTACAGTACTGTTAGCAGAGCAGATCCTTTGCCCTCCCAGGACGATCGAACCGCAGCATCGGGGAGATGTCTCAGACCTTCCCCCAGCAGCCGAGCGGAACGGTTGGTTGGGCTGTGTCCCTCCCGTTCCTGATCATCCCACCACCATGTGCTGATCCATGTCTGCCACGGTCCTTCGGCAGCGGTTACGATTGCGGTGGGAAGATCTTGGTAAGATCCAAGCAGGGCAGAGAGTACGAGTAGTGACACCGACCCCGAGAACTTGGAAGACTACCCGAACACCCTCGCAACTGGCACTCGCAACGCTGCTCAATTGCTTCATCCAGCTCGTCGTTCCTGGCTATCAGGTCTTCCACCGGCTTCGACCACGCGATCGTCGTGTTCTTTCGGGTCTCTTAGGGTTCTCGAACCGATCAGCCGTCACAACTGCCCTTCCCAAAGGACAGATGACCAGAGCAAACCAAAAACAAGAAAAAACATTCAGGTTTCTCGCGTCCACATCGAAGCTACCCCTCCTCAGTCCTCCCACCTTCCATTCGTTATCGATAGCGGCGAGCATCTTTTGAAGATCCTCAGCCACTTTTGATGTCTCACAACATACCAGACCACACCTTCAGACCACGGTCTCCTGCTTCCGCCGCCCTATTCCAGCACCTATCGCGTGGCCGAAAATCCGTCATCGTCCAAAAGCAGTCCTGATCATCTCAATCGGGCCTGCGCCACTCCTCAGAAAACTTGGAATGATGCCAGCCACACCTGATGACTGGCAAGTCGAAGCGCCTTCCCCCACTACTGGCTGCAAAACTCTGTTTCGGCCACCGACACATCTGGTAAGGTAAAATTAGGCTTCAGAGTCTCCTTGGGTCGGTTCAGATCGGGTAAGCTGCTATCCAACTGTCGCTCGGTACAGGTTTTGGGAACAACAATTGGACATGGAAGAGTCGTGATCGCTGAAGCCGGTGTAAAGGGTTCCGCACGTCAGCTGAAATTTTTCCGACTGGTCCGAACTTGTTATCTCCTACTTTGCACTTATGCCAGTTCTCTGTTGGTTTGATGCGGTACTTTTGTGCCCACACGAAAATACCTCTTGGCATTTCCTGTCTTCGATGTCACTGAAGAGCTATTGGTTCGGATATCCAGGTTCAGATATCATGTTTTCAACTGAAAATGGAAGTCCATGATGATCATGCTCGCTCAATTCAGCACTGGCTGTCACTGCCGAGTGGCTTCAACTGCGATTCGTTTGGGAAATGCAGCTGAACAATGTCACGGCAAGGGAACATTTGCCGAGTACCTTATTTAGCCAGTGGGACAAAGTTTTACCGTTGAGTCGGCTTTCGGGAGATCTCACGAAACCAATCCCTACCTGATATGCTCTGGAAGAGGGCAAGAAGATTGGTCAGTATTTGGTACGAAGGCTTCTTTACGTGGAACTGGGAGGCATTAGTATGTACTTGGTATGAGCTGCACGCTTACTACTTTCTCATATCAGCCATTGCCTCTCAGCACTTTACCTCGACAATCAAGACAGCACGAGTTCTATCCTAATATCCTCTCTCACACCCACAGTTCAAGCGTCTCAATTACATCGCCAAACCCGCCACCATATTAGTAGATATGAAATCCCTTGCAAGTGAATCGCTTCCAGTGAAGCGCCGAACCCACATGTTGTGACACCAGATCTTGGCTGTAAGCGAAGAAAAACAAAGTACCATTCAACATTCCATATATCATTAAACCATCCAGACGTCTTTCAGCTGTAAATTCCATCAGACGATGAAGTCGTCGACTTTTGAAGAACAGCCAACATTTGCTCTACCCACAACACGATCTCGAGAAGGAGCAGTGCAAGATCCATTCTTCACCTGCATATTTGCTCAAAGATGAGGAACACGAGTAGGGGGCGGGCCTTCTCTGCTGGCGAGTTGCAGGTAGAGAAAGAAGTTCTTCCAAACGATCTGTTCTTGACCCGAAGTCCCAAACTCTAGAGTTTCGTGACATGTACAAAGCATGATCAAGAAAAGAGAGACCTTAATCGGGAATAGATGTAATCTGGTTGTTTGTATTTCGCAATCTATAGCGCTCGATAGTTTTCAAAACATTTCTCGAGTTAGATTTTTGAGGGATAGAACCTTGCGGAAGATGGAAATAACATGGAAGGTCATCGTTCACAACTTCAAAGTCCTGAGCTCTTGCCGCGACATCTACAAAATCACATTTGGACTGACGGGTCTTACCGAGTTTTCAAGGAACATCAAAGCTCTCAAATACTGTCCCGATATTGGGAGCGAGGTTAATGATCATTTTTAATTATTGATAACTACGTAAATTCCTGTCTCGAGACTCCCTTGTTTGCCTAGGGAGGGTACCCCACTCACAAAGTAGGAGTGTTTGGGGTGGGTACCCAATTCTGACCTATATGGGGGGAGGATACCTTGGAAAGGTAATGATGCAATGTCATGAAAAGAACAAGAGAGCATTCATACAAGTAATCCATCCAACGCCGTGTATCGTATCCTGGTATCCTATACAACGCCCATAACAATGCTTCAATGTCGTGAAAAGTAAAAACAGACAATTTTGTGAACCAAAACACCAGTATCCATCCATTCACCCTTAGGTGAAATAAACCTCCTTAGGAGGAACGTTTCGAACATCATCTCGGACCTTGAATTGCGGCTCATTTGGGTCATCCTCCAGCATGTTATCAAGCTCTGAGTTATCATTATCATGTGTAAATCCGTCTCGGTGGATGCTCATCAGACCACCAAACCGAGGACCGTTTCGCTGACGCTGGTTTGGTTGGATCTCTTTCAGGGCATTGGTCTGCGGAGGAGTTGGCGATGGAGAATTGTGTTGGAGTGGTGAGGACTGAAGAGGGGCGGGTTGAAGAGGAGACTGGAAGAGAGGGGACATTCCGAGCTTGCTTGGGACCTGTGGCTGGTGCTTCAAAGCTTGTTGGCGGACTGCCTCGAGTTGTAGTTGCTGTGCAGTTTTGAAGACAGGGGTCTCGTCTTCAGGTGCATGAGTTATGGTAGGGGTTTGTGCTTCGGGAGCAGTATTCTTGGCTGGGGTCTTTCCTCCAGCCACATCACTTAACGACTGCATGTCCGACGATTTAGTACTGGTATCCTCCTTCTGAGAGGTGTGCTCAGTGTTCTGTGGAACTTCTGAGACGTTATGTTCAGGGGCAGAACGCTTCGCATCCTTATCCGCCGGGGTAGGGGCATGGCTGGGTCCCTCATTGTCGCGAGGAACTTCCGGGGCTTTGAAAAGGACTTCAGGTTCAGAGCCAGAGCCAGAACCAGACGCCTGGGTTTCGCCAGAAACTTCCGTCTCCTTGTCCTCCTGGGCGGGGGCGAAGATGCCTCTTTTGCATTTCCTGCATCCGTGTTTGCACAATAGCTCATGGATCCTGTCTTTGTGGTCTTCAGCCCACTTAATCATCTCTGCCGATCCGAAGACCTTCGGTTCTCGAATATATCCTGGCGGCTTCCGGGCGGGGGGAGGTGGAGGTGGTAGATGCTTTCGTCTCTCGGCTCTCTCCTCCCAAGTCAAGATCTCTTTACCGGAGGTGAATGCGCCGACAGTGCCCATCCTCTCATGGTAGACAGCAAGATATTGCTTCATCTTGTCGCGTGGATATTCCTGGCCTGGAAATGATCGATTCATCTCATATCGTCTGGCCATACGTAACTCAGAGAATCTGTGTCTCTTGAAGAGCCACCACTTGGGATCGGCTTTGTTGAGATCGTCAAGGTCCATGGGCATGTTGTTCAAATAATCTTCATCCTCTTCAGCCTCGATTTCTAGGCGCTCCTTCTCTCGTTCCGCCTCTTCTTCTAGACGCTTCCTCTCTGCTTCCGCCTCCTCTGCTAGACGCTTTCTCTCCGCTTCCGCCTCTCGTGCCAAGCGCTCCTTCTTTTCACGTTCGGTCTCTATGTGCTCCTTCTCGGTCTTGTCGAGCTGCATGACGTACAGACGAGGTCCTTTTGGAAGGTGTGTCTCAAAGTCTTCATCGGAACTGCTTTCTTCATCGCTCGATGGAGGGTATGGTACTGCGTAGAAGGTGCGAGCAGTCACGTAGTTTCCTGTTACTGGATCAATGGGAGGAACTGCGTACTTTCTCTCGTAGTAAGCCTTATCGCGGCGACGAACGCGTACAGGCTGTTTGTAAACGTCGATTGGAACTGTGTGCATATTATGGGGAAGCTCGTCATCGGATGCGCTTTCCAACACGTCCTCTCTTTGCTTGCCTCTGGAGTTCTGTGAGTGTTTCTCGAACTCATTGACCTTGCTCAGTGGTACAGCAGGTGCTTTTCCTTTGCCCTTGTTCAGCGCCGCGCGGCGCTTCAAAGGGTCAAAACGTCGGAAGCGACCACCAGGAGTTGGCGTCTTCGAGGGAGATCCTGATCGGTAATCAGCATTGGATGGACCAGCATGCTCGCTGGCACCACCGAAGAATTCAAAAGGCTTCGAAACAACACTCTTGACCGTGGACATGAGAGACCATCCTGGAGCCTGGCCTGCTGGTGGAGTCTGGGACTCAAGAGCAAGATCGTCACCAGGGGTTGAGCCTTCAGCTCCTGGGGTTGGTGGCCCAGACGTAGCAGACTGTCCTGCTACAGACTGGTCAACCGTGACTTGATTGTCGTCCGTGCTTGGTACTGTCGTGGCAGCAGCAAGCCTCTTAGACTGCATATAAAGCATACACGCAGCCTCAACATCGTAGGCAGTTTTGATGTCATTGGGATATTCTGTGATCATTTGATAGGTCTTTAGTATGGCTTCGCTCATAGCGGCAGAACAATTTAAGAATTCGGGGCCGTTCTGGGTTTGAACGTGGATCGCAATCAATATATGAGGTTCTTGTGTCTTACGAGTGGGCGCAGCAGCGGTATGAGCATCGCTCTGCGTTCTGTTCTTGGTCTTGTCCTTGGTCTTGGTGGTCTTCTGCGGAGACATTAGTAAAGCGTTGGGGACACGAGGGAGTCAAAACTTACCTTTTGCAGAGCCGGGTTTGGGCCCCAGACATATGGCTTTGGCTTGCCTTGTTTTTCAGCTGCAAGGTTTGCGAGCGTGAACTTGGCGTTCTCCCTGATAGTGCGCAGACCCTCGGCATCAAGTGGTTCAAGGTCCTCGCTATCAGACGCATCACTGATATGAAGTCTCTCAACTTCTTCAACGGGCTTCGTCTTTCTTGAGATGACAGACTTTGGCATTGGACGTTCCCTTTGACGACGGCGCAATGATTCCATCATGGCTTCGTGCTCAAGGTCTGGGCCCATGGTAAGCCGACGACGGGCTGGCTTGGCGTCTGACTTTGCCGCTGACTTTTTCGAGGAAGAAGCTGTAGCATGGACTGGTCCTTGATTGGATGGTGTCAGAGCCAGAGAATGTGGTTGCGCGCCTGCGCTAACCTCCGACTCTCGGTGTTGAGGAATTGCTGCGAGCACTTTCTCGGCTTGAGTACCTTGAGGAGTAAAGTATATGGATGTATCGTTGTTTGTGACTGGGAGAGCCGATGCTGGTCGCTGTTCACCAACGTTCTCCTCGAGTCTGGTAGGTGTTTGTGGAGTTGCCTCGGTATGTTCGATGGTAAATCTTTGTGGAGTTGGCTGGACGACATGGTCGTTGACCTGAGTCGTGGCATTCATTGCGGCAATTGGAGAGTAGTGTTCGAAGGGTTGATCGTCACCCCGAGAACGCTTTTCTCGGCGCTCTGTACTGACATTCTCAGTGTTTGCATCTGAGGAGTCGTCAAACTGGGTGCGAGAGCGCTTCTTGCCGCGAGCGGATTTGCTCAATGATTCAGCAGCTTGGTGACTAGAAGAACCTGCGGCGAAAGAGATGGGCGTCCGAGATGAAGTCGATGGCTGTGGAGCGAGTTCTGGAGAGGTGGATCGAGATTCCTCGAGTTCTGGAGAGTGAGAGGTGGATGGTGTTTCTGTGCGAGTCGACTCCTCTGCGTCTTGTTCACGAGAAATAGCTGCGTTTTTGGCGGCAGTGCGGCGGATGTTCGATCTCTTTCTGGTGAAGGAAGGCTCTTTGTCAATGGCCTGTCGCTCGCTGAGACCTGGACTCGGGTTGGCTCGAGTGCGTCGACGGACATCCCTCTCTGGGTTCAATGGATGAGCAGCAGCAGGAGTGTGTACTGCCGGAGCCTGTACAGCTGGTGCTGGAGCGGGGGTCTTTGGTGCCTTCGGGGCTTTGGAAGCTTTGGTAGCCTTGGTCTTAGGAGCTGCCTTTGAGCCCTTCGAGGGTTTTGAAGGTTCCTCCAAGGACTTGTCCTTTTTTGGAGGCATGATGGGCGACTCGACTTGCGATGTACGCCCGAGAAGCTTGGTGAGGTTGCTGTGTGCACCGGTGAAGTTGAACGCGTCGGTATAGCCGTGAGTGAAACAAAATTAGAAGAAGTCGCGACTCGAGTCGATGCGAAAACGCTCGTCGGACGCGCGCAAGCAAAGATATTGAGTAACGGATCGATCTTGGATCTTGGAGGTTGAAAGTTCGCGCGCAGGGTTGACTTTAGCGGTGTTTCTCCGTCGGACGTGGCTGAGCTGACAAGAGCGCACGCGATTGGGTAACGGCCGAAAAGCTAGCAGGGGTTGAGTGCGAGGCTGACAAAGTCAAGATTTGATGTGAATTGGTTGCAGGATGAGTGCAGAGAAGTAACGACGTTCGTGGTTGTGAATCAGAAAGTTGTTGTTCATGGAGGAAGGAAGAAGGAGAGAGCGAGGAGAAGAGCGCGTTTATGTTGGGGACGAATGCCAAGCCTTCTATTTAGCGTGTTTTGATGTTCTCGTGAATAGGGAAGGAACGATCGTAGCCTCGTCCCATGAAGGCAGCAGCAGGCAGATGGATTGACTTCCATTTATGGGACAAGAGGGACTTGGGCATGGCTGTTACTGCTGTGAGTTAAGTGGGAAGTTTATTCATGTATTTAGAAGCAGCATTATCAGTTGGACGATTTTCAATCTGGTAGTTTCTGATGTCCCTGTGGTGTTTTGTCGTGGCCGGGGACTTTCAGTTGCGCAACAAGACAAGGTAATGTAAATATTGATAATAGTAATACGCCCCTTACTGTCGGGCTGAATCTAGAAAATCGTAAATACTTAACTGACTGCAATTCATTCACTTCCTAAAAATGTTGCCCTCGAATCAGTGAATATGCGTCGACAGTGTTGACTCAACACTGATCCCAACGCTTATTTCAACGCTCAACATCTTCCGGAGACCAGACCATTCTAGCTTGACGCATTCGGTGTACCTTAACAACGTTGAAATCTCCCAAGATCCCCTGCAAACCCTAGGTATGTTCCATGAGATGTACCAAAGATCGTGTCTTCATCTGAAGTGGAGCTGGATGCGACCCTGGAGCCCTCAGCAACGCATGACACTTTCTCCAAGAAGATTTCGGCCCGGCAGCACATAGGAGAATGCAGCAAATGGTTGAACAATGAAGCAAAAAGACTTTCAGCCCTGCTGCGAACTTTCAGTCTAGCTGCCAAGCAAGATATAAAAGTCAAGAGCAGGAAGGAACGGTTCAGATAACCCATCAAAAGTGCGCACTGATGTAAAAAGACCTTGGCTATACTTCAGTCTCTTGAAAGGACAGCAATTGCAGAGCAGACCCATTCAATAAACGTTTGGTATCAACCACACAAGTTCGTGAACTCTCCAATCATAAAAATTACCCGCATCTAGAGCCTCAATCTGGCTGGCCTTCCTCCCAGCCAGCTACACATACACAGTCTTCCGCTCCCTAAACCCCGAGAGCTCTGACAACCCACCTACAAGTCACAAATCGACCACAGCACTTCAATCTACCTCCCTTTGCCTCTATCTCTGGGCAGGTAACTCGCTCTGCTGATGCGGCTGAACATACAACTCCGAGTGCCCGGCCTGCGGCGAAACCGGCGTCCCCTGCTGTCCATACTGTTGACCACCTACGTACTGCTGCTGTTCATACCCCTGTGGAGGTGGAGTAAACACCTGCGGAGGTGGCGAGTACGTTTGTTGTGGGGGAGGCGAGTATGCTTGTTGCGGAGGAGGAGAATAAGGTTGAGGCGGTGGTGGATACATCTGTTCCTGTTGGTGCTGCTGAGGAACAGGTGCGTATTGTGGTTGAGGAGTGGCCATTTGATAACCTTCTCCTTGTTGTTCTTGTTTCTGGGGTGTATGGGCTACAGTGGTGCTTTTAGACCGGGATTTGTACCAAGTCATGACGGCATGGACGAGGGTTGCGACGAAGAGTAGCCTGGGTGGATGGTCAGTAAGCTACACTCCGCATTGCGATCTGCATTTTACAACGAGGGTGGTGATATGCAGAAAGGGAGACTTACATAACCAAAGCAGATAATCCAGCAATCGAACTCATGATCGCCAGACCTGTATTCGTGGCAACAGCAGCTCTCTTCTCCAAGCCGTCCCTACCCACAAGACACGTCGTACTATCCACTGAACTCCCATCATCATAACACCCATAGATGTTCACATCATACTTGAATGTGGATCTCAGGTGAGCTGTTGCACCCATTGCAGCGAGCCAGAAAAGCACGAGGAGTGCATTTGCGGCGATGACGATGAATGGATGGGAAAGTTTGTGTAGGGAGGAGATGAATCTTGTGATAAGTAGGTACGTGACCACAATCCAGGTGAGGAGAGACTAAGTTCCTGTCAGTATGGAGAACAGCACAATATCCTGGGAGAGGGCAACAAACAGTGAAGATATCATAACCCAACGTATCGAAGTATTTCCCATGAATTAGATACGCGGACAAACCCAGGATAATAACAGACAAGAACACTTGAACAACGTGAACAATAGGAATCCAGATGGGCTGTCTAGCTGTCGTCGACTTTTCGTTCTCCATCTTTCTTAGTCTCAAGGAACTTTCCGTGAGTTTTCAGAGCAAGTGACAGCTTCGAGGATAGGGTCCTGCAAGAGCCGATCGAAGTGAAACGAATGAATTTGGAGTTTCGACAAATGACGAGAGATATGAAAATGAAAGACGGACAACCCTCGGGGAGACTCAGCAATAAGAACAGAAACGATAACCCCAGCCAGCAACCCATTTATAGCAAGCCACAACTTTCATCTCCATCTCCATGCATCTCGCATCCTTCGTTCCACCAACATACTCACTCACCGACTAGCCACTCCACCTGGCGTTCGTTCCTCGAAAGTTCGAAACCCTAAACAACCCTAAAGTCTCAAATGAGCCCATATCTCTCCATGCCAGCACAACAAAATGCAAAAAAGCCGATCCTCTCCCCTGCGGTAGTCTTTCAGCCTCACACCGCACGTCCCAGTTCTCTCAGGCGCCATCTCCACCTAGACCAACCACAACCGCTCTCAAACGCCACAACCCCTAAAACGAAATATCGAAAGCTCTTGGCGCAGCAGACAGCTGCGACATATCAAATGAGAGGGTGTTGCGAGCTTGCCGTGTCAGGAGAGGATTTCCTGGGGCTGAAAAAGTAAGGTTAAGCGCAAGGCAGATTTCGGGACTTGTCATTATCGTGACCTCGGAGGAGGGGACTTTTGACGACCGAAAGCTTGGAATATGAAATGTCCAAGGCTTGAAGAGACGAAGATCATCACCAACGCCCTTCGAGGCTTCCAAATTTCTGAGATGGACAAGTCAGGATATGGGACACACCAGAACAAACTGACTCGCAACCCACCTGTCAGTCTTGATCCGGTCCTGTCTCGAACATCGTTTCCCCTTTCGCGTGCCGCTGTCAACTTTTCAAGCATAAACGATGTCTCGAAAGGAAGTTCAGACGGCTAACCGCAATGCCAAGCTTCAGGTCCGAAAGGTCACTTTTACGAAGTTCGAACACTTCCACTTGAATCGATTCCTGTGAATAACTTCCTATTCGGAATCGATTAAAGGGTCATGAGGCCACAAGGCACACACACCTAACTTAACCCCTGTCAGACCCCTGCTTAAGGCATACACGCTGTTTTATTAAGCGAGAATACCTCTCTAAAACTAGTTTCCTTCTAGAAATATAACAAATAATAAGATATTAATATTATTTTAATATCTGTACAAATATTATTATAAGTCTTTCACGATTCTTATAAAATTAAGTACTTGAAATTTCATTGTAGTTTAACTATAAAATAATTCTTCAAAGTGCGTAACTAAGTGGATTTCCCTAAGTCAGCTTACTAAAGGGTTAAAGCAGCAGGGCTGCGTTTTAGTGTAGCTATTCCTTATTTGTGTGTGTGCCTTATGGCCTCATGACCCTTTAATCGATTCCTGTTATTCACTCATCCACTCACTCACTCACTCAGGTCACCCTGGTAAAGCTGGCTTGTACCCGGTACCTCGTACAGTACCAAACCAAACCAAACCTTCGCCCAATGCACGTGTTGAAACCCTCGGTAGTGGTGAGATTTCTCTGGGATTGGTCATCGTACGAGATTTAGCTGGTACCTGCGCATCTGAAAGTTGTAGAGAAAGGAAGCACTAAATAGTGGATTGACAATCCTTCGGTGCGCGAATGTCGGCATAGCGACCTCCTGTGATCACTGGAAGGGCGCAGTGCGGTGGAGAAGGTAGGTGAGTATGTACTCGGTATCGAGTCTGTAAGGCGTGAATGATGCAACAAAATGTGGAATCGAGACGCTGTCGCAGGTCCCACTTTGACAGCTCTGAAGCGAGACATTCTTCGGTGCATCGGCATCAGGTGAACAATTCACTCTGCGCTTCCACTCTCGTACTTGACGTGCTTTGAATTTTGTATTTATTTTTCTTCACAATAATGCTTTTCGCAGCTACGCATTCCATTGACAATGATATACACTTTGTGATAACATAAATATGCATCGGCCCAGCCCCCCAGAAGCCAGCCTAACGCCATATACTCCTCGTTACCCACGAACACCCTTACCAAAGCTCACAAGTAGGCTTCTTATCAGCACATTTGAAGCTCTCCTTGAAATCCCTCGAATTGGCCATCGTACCCAGAATTCTTGCCCATTTCGGAGCATGAGGATCGGTATAGATACGGTTAATAGCTGTCTCCTTTCGGCTCTTCCCACACCACCAGTTGGCATAGCTGACAAAGAACAATTGCTCCTGGCTGAAAAAGTCCAATCCTGGAAGATTCTCGTTTGGACTTTCCATTCTGCGCTTCTGCCAGGCGCCGAAGGCTGCAGTGATACCTCCGGCATCAGCAATGTTCTCGCCTAAAGTGAGTCGACCGTTGACATGGAGAGGCTTGTCATCAGGTCCAGGTACAGTGTATTTGTGGTATTGATCGACAAAGCATTCAGCTCGTTCTTCAAACGCCTTTACTGTGCTTTTCGTCCACCAATCGGTGTAGTTACCGTTCTGGTCGTAGTGACGACCCGTGGAATCGAATGCATGAGATAGCTCATGACCAGAAACGGATCCGAATGCACCATAGCTGAGATACTGAGGTACTTCAACGTCGAATACTGGAAATTGCATAATTCCTGCCGGGAACACGATTTCATTGCCCGGCGGGTTGTAGTAAGCATTCACAGTCGGGACTGTCATGTCCCATTGGTCTCGATCAACAGGCTTGCCAAGGCTAGACCATTCACGAGCCACGTCGAAACGATTCATGGATAACGCATTTTGGAAAAACGTAGTAGGCGTAATATTGATCGATCGATAAAATTCTTGCAACGTTGGTGGGTTCATAATATCCGGGCTCTACGGATCATTAGCAAATGTCAAGAAGGCGAAGAGACAAATTTATTCCCACGACAACCAAAAGCATATCCCAAAGCTGGGGAGGGGAGGCAAGAGATGACAAACCTTTGTTGGATAACCGATCTTTTGGACAATCTTATGAACTTTCTCAATCGCCAGCTCAATAACACTCTTGTCCATCCAATCAGTCTTCTTAAGCTTTTCGATGAAGGTCTCCTTGATGTCAGAAACGATCTGGTCGCCAAGTTGCTTCGCTTTCTCCGAGAAAGCCTTCTCAACAAAGAAACGGCTTAGAATCCAGCCGAGACCACCGTCAACATGGTCGACACAAGTTCTCCATCGATCTTGGGTAGAGTCGGGATCCTGACGTCATTAGCATGCAGAAGTGCCCAAGTAATTGGGTACATACCTTGCCTTGAAGCTCATTGATGAAGCGGGTATATGGTACAAGTGCGTCGGTCTCTGTAACGGAGGCAAATGCCTGGATGACTTTCCAACAGAAGAATGTTTGCAGCACCTCTTTCGACGTGCTTGAGATGATTTTGGTCAAGTTCTTCATGTAATCAGGTGATGCCACGATAATTCGACTGGTTTTGACGTCGGAAGGTTCGAGTTCGCTGATAATGTCTGAGAGATAGATCTGCGGGGTTAGTGCATCTGCCTCCTTGAGGGACATTGGGTTATAATATTTCTGTTCTTGTCAGTGCCTAATTTCTTACGATCTTCATCTGACTCACAGTAACGTCGTTGCTATCTTCGGCATCTGGAGATATTGCAGCCAACTTCTTCTCGAATTCAACGACCTCATGCGCAAGGTCAACGCTCTGGCCGCGCGAAGCGATTTTTCCATGGCCCCGGGTTTTCATCCATTGAGCATGGAGAGTTGCGTTCTCGTGCGAATGATCAGGATGGAGAACAGCAAGAATCTGAGCAATAGTGTCTTCGTACTTCTTTGTCACTGCGGAATCACTGTACAGCTCCTTCGCAGGAAGACCAATGCTCCAAGGAGGTGAAGCTTGGACAACCACCGAGTCGGGATCCTTGTCGTCGGCACCAGCACCAAAGGAGACCAATGCAGGGACGCCCAGCTTTGCAAGGTAAAGCAAGGTGCTAGATATATCCCTCTTGTCCTGAGCCAAGATGGGGCTCCGCTTGCTGAACGCTGATTCCTTGACTGGGAACATATCTGCGACTTCGTGGAGGATCTCAAGCAATGGCTTCGCACCAGCCTTCTTAATGGTATCTTCGTCCATACACGCATCGTAAGCAGCCTTCAATTTGTCAAAATTCTGCTGGTCAACAGACGAGAGAGTCTCAAGCAACTGTGCGGGAGAAAAGCTGGAATGCTAGGACGAGCATAATTAGTGCTTGAATTTCGAATGATATTCGGGTACAAACCTTCGAGTCTCCTGGGTAAGGGGCCTCCAGGATATGTCTCAGAAGCATTTGAGAATTCTCACTCATAATGGTTCCAGTGAAAGCGTCTCCTTGGTCGGGCCGCAGGTCATGATGTTCATCCCAACCCCCACACACCAATTCCTCAAAATTATCGCAAGGGTCGATAGTCTTGTATTCGGGGGAAAGGTTGTACAGAATCTCGGAGGAAGCATGGACGCATGCAGGAGTGAGGCAGACGCTAGACTTGCTCTGGGGTTTTTTCGTACGAGACACTGACGGCAATGAGTGGGGGTCGTTACGAATGGAGATGTGTAGTTACATACTTCCAAAAAAGACGCAGAGAAGAATTATGACAGCCAAAATCAAGAGGCTCATGAATACGATGACGGCATTGCGAGCTACCCATCTAGCTGCTTTCTTGGGACGTGGGGTGGTCTCGACATCCTGACTTCTCTGGGAGTCTGCGAGGAGTGGCGCTCGTTCCGCGTCATCCTGAGCTGCTTTGAGAATCAGTGATTGTTCCAATGAGTGGCGTAAATAAGTGCAGGATAATGGTTGTAGGGCAAAGCAAGAAAGTGGCTACTCATACCTCGAGCCATCTTCTCTGGCAGCCCACCAATATCGTATAGTCGAGCTGTAATTGCACTGATTTCCAGTTGTTAGCATATATCTGCGACAAAAGAGTAGAATCCAGCTGCAGTTATTCCGCATACCTGAGGATACCGGCCAAAGGGATCACAAAATGAGCAAAAATCGGCTGTTGTTTTGTCTTTGAGCGAGTGGTGGAAGTAGACTTGGATCCAGTCCTTGGCCGAGATCTACTCCTACTCTGCCTTCTTGGAGCCAGGTTGCCAAAATGAAGCCGAGCAGAAAAACCAATTGCTTCGCTTCGTCCAAACCTCCAAACGGTGTTGTTGTTGATGTGATGGAAAGGTTGAGTTAGGATGATAGAGTGGTGTCGCGGCGGTGCCTGGATAAGCTCCGTCTGAAATGTGGAGAAGCTTCTTTCCTCTTTTGGCTGGGTACATCTGGGTCCGATGAGCCAAGACCCTTCCCCTGTCCTTCTGGAGAAAGCGAGACTCAGACTCAGAGAACATCGAAAGATACCCACTCGAGCGACTCCAAATTCAATTGATCCAGTCTCAATACAAATGCGTTATGAGATGTACCAAGTTCTCGTTTCTGGAATGATTTATGGTGCAAAAGAATCTCGAAGCACATTCAGTTATTGTTTTGGTGCAGAAGTTTGGCCAAGTTCCTACAGCTCACTCCAGCTTGAGTTTTCTTCTTTCTAGTGTTGGAGTATATCCTCATAAACCTGTTGTGCTTATTGCTGGCTTTCTTCCATTTCTATATTGCAAATACGCCAGATTGTTAACATTCAAATGTCAGGTTTTGCTGCATCCGATGTTCCGACAACCCACCTTGCCAAGCACCGCAATTGAATGGAGAGGGACAGCGGTTCGGGTCAGACCGTTGAAGTCATGCCCTTTCCGAGCCTCCAGAACAATGAAATCCCCGAGTGGGATGCATGGACGGTTTCTGTGAAAGCGCATGGGCCGCCTTGAGGTGAAGGGGAATGATCTTCGATCCGTGAGCTTCCTAACAGGGCTTGACAGATCTCGATCGTGAGACCTTGTTGTGTTGCTCCAGTTGGGTGTCGGTGAGATTCTCACCGGAAAATTGCATGGAGCAAGGAGGCTAATGGAATATTCGAACGAGTTTCAATTCGGGCCGTCCAAGAATTTTGCTTCCTCTCTTTGGATCCCAAGGAGAAATCAATGCCGGTATCTTCTTTTGCAGCCCAAATGCACTACTCTGGTTGGCAGCTATGTGAGTCTTTTGCTTTAAGGTCATCTTGGGAGTGTTTCTGAAGGGGGTTCAAGGGTTCAGGAGGGTAGTACCTAGAACATGCTAGTATTGATGACTTCATCTGTGAACTACTCACTTACTGGAACTGTAATCCTTTGGTGTTACCGTTTGTTTGGATTAATTCCATCCAACTTCTTCATTTACATTCATCAGTCGCAGTCGGTGGCCTGAACCCACAAGTACTTGACTCTGGTGGCTGGTATTGACAGACATATCAAAACACTTCAGCTTGAATGTACCCTTGACAGCATTTACCCCCACATATCCGGGGTGTTTGCTCTCTGCCTTGTGTTGTCTGTACAACACGTGAAGGTCTCATGACTTGGACTTGGCTCTCTTCCACCCCATTCAGGTTGCCAGCACCTCATCGCTCATTGGCCAAGTCGAACCCCAGAGCACATGGTAGCGTCATTGTGTGGAGTACAACACGCCACCTGCGTCATCTGCTCAGGGGTACACGCTTCTTTTAGATTGACTTTTCTGGAGGAGAAAAGACTTCTCAAGTGCCGCGACGCGACCGAAGTCTTCCCTGTGCAGCACACAGAAATTAGGGCGTTCTCTTCTCGCAGGCCACGGTGCATTTAATTTATTACTGATGCAGCAAAGTAGCAATTTGTCGGCTGAACCGATTCCTTGCATGCGTTGCCGGCATTGAGATTTGCAGCTATCGGCTGGGCCATCATTCCCCCCGTTTTAGGGGTCCTGGACCATGCTAGTTCTGGACTGGGTTGTTCCAAGGACAGAGCCCACAGCAATAACAGCAACCAGTATTTTATCAGTCCTCTCCACGACTGCGCCCATCGTTGGGCCAGTCCAGTGTGATTTGGTTATTGAGACTCGCGCATGGCGCTGGAAGACTGCATACAGGAAGAGGGAGGCGAGCCGGCGGACGCGCATGAAACGAAGGGGATTCCATGCCCTTCTATCCTTCACCTTACTTTTGTGCCGTTGATCTCGCCTGGCAGTCAACCCTCGCTGCCAGTGTTGTGCTGTGGTTGGGTGGTCGGAAGACGGATGTTGTGCAAGATGCTTCGGCGGGAGAAGAGAGATGAAGTCATGCATACTGTCATACTGTAGGTGCCTTCTTGAGCAATGACCAGTGACCATCCGATCCTTTCCTCCACTACTGTACTGAGTCCACTCCAGCCAGCAACGACTTGACCGTGACCGTGACCGTGACCGTGACCGTGACCGTGCCCAACCCTGACTTTGACAAGGAGACCAGGACAGGGGAACAAGTGGCGTGTTGTCGACGTAAGTTAGATTTTTCAGCGCGCGCATACGGACGAACCGAACAGCCTCAACGGCAACCACCCGTAGCCCCCAAAAGAAAGCCGATTTCCAATACTAACACGAACACTGAGACTATCACTAACACTAACACTAACATTTCCAAAGTGTACCTGGCCTCAATTCTTGACTCCGTTCCTGGTCCAGGGAGCGGCACCAGAGGAAGAAACGGGGTGCAATAATGGTCAACCACAGTACAGTACGCAAGATCCCGGTGCCCCCCTGCCCTTCGTTTGCTGGCCCCTAAACGTTCTTGGGCAGGGGTTGGATCTGTAACTGTTACTCGTACCTAGTCTCAAGAGCGTGTTCCTGGGCTGGCACACCAGGGCTGACTCCCCACTTGTGCCACCACGAGTCCACGGCGAGGAGCATAGCATGGCATGGCATGGCATGGCATGGCAAGCCCTTGATCTTCACCCATCCTCTCTTGCCTTGCTTGCTACCAACTACCAACCCTTGGCGACTGAATTCTCTCCATCGTAAATCTCCCTTTCCTGAGACTGTCTGTATTGGTGACTTGTGAACATTCTTCTTAACTGATGTCCGCTCGTCTGATATTGTGTTTAATGCTATTGTAACTCGAGTGATTGCTCTTGCTGGTGTGGTGTTGTGTTGTCCCAAAGACAGGTCAGTAGTGTCGTCATCCCGCTGCTTGACGAGCCAGCCATCCCAAAGAACAGGCCGACGCAGAATCTCGCCCCGTTGACAAAGATCGATCAACACACCACACCACGACGTAACAAAACCTCTCCCTCTCCGTTCCTGCACAATACACGCTTCGACACTCGAATCAGGTACAGGTGACCACTGCCCTCGAATCGTGTCTGCGACAACAATACCACGGCGCGCTGGAGCAATAACAGATCCCCGAGATTGCAAGGGGCGTTTCCAGAGGTGACGGCATGCCACCTTCAAAGCCAAAGTCTCCTCTGGACAAACCATCCTCTTCGCACTCTCGCCGCCCAAGTAATCCAAGACGTTCGAGCAGTGAAAAATCTGCGACCAAGTCTTCAAAGCATGGAGTAAAATCAAGTTCGAGCTCGTCCAAGACCAAGGATCCAATGTCGGGCCTGGCCCCTGGTGCAAAGGCACCTTCACATCCAGATTCTAGCGACACAGAAAGAGAGGCGCTCGGAAGCTTAGATAGTCCAAGATCGCAAAAATTCGAGGGCATGCAATCTTCGAGAGGCGACATACCACAATCAGAGGCCGTGACTGGGACAAACAAGGAGCGCGAACTAGAAGGTCAACATGGCAATTTCCAAATACCACAAAACACGTCGCAGGAGGAGGTAGAACGCTTGAGAGCAGCCATGAATGCTCAGTTACAGCTTACGCAGTACCGTGAAAGGTTAGCGAAGCAGCTGGGTAGCAGAGAAGAAAAGGGGGTCAGCGGAAGTTTCACGCCGACAGGCAGAGCAAGAGTATCTCCTATCCACGAGGAAACCATTTCACCATCCCTGGAGGCAGCTTTTGAGACGCCCATGTCTGTTGGACCAGAGACCGCATCTACCGAGTCAGTCAGGACAATTCGAGGTGGGATGACTCCAGGACTGGGTGCAGTGAGAACTCCTTCGTATCCATTTCCTCCCATGCGAACTCCAGGACAACTCAGTTTCAGCGGCCACCGACCATTCACGGCTTTGTCTCCTACAGTAAATCCTTCAAACTATGCAGGCGGTTCTTTTGATTCTGGTCTGCAAGATCGCGTTCTTTCGGGTTCGGTTACACCAGCATCAACAATGAGATTTCAGCCGCAAGGAGCTTCTGAGTCGCAGGAAGATCTGAATTTTGAGACCCCAAACCTTTATGATCTCAGTCTACTCTTGTCCTCCGAACCTGGCCTTGATCCTTGGTGGACTACTGTTGTTCAGATCATGAGAAATTTGTACCAGGCACATCGAGTAACATTATCTGTACCTGCGGACACTACGGATATTGAGAATGTTCCCTGGGGACAAAAAGCTACTTTCAATGTCATTGAAGAGGATGAGTTGAGTCTTACTTACCTGCCACGTGGGAGCAGCTTGGTGCCGAGCAGTGTTGACACTAATGACACGTCAAACTCAGAGGATACAAATCCAACCGAGGAGCCAGCTGGAGCGTCGTTAGAAACCCAGCGCGCAGCTTTGAGACCAGGTCTTTTGAGTAGACATTCTTTCACTGCCTATGAAGAGACGAAGCGGGATCCCACTTCGACTTCCGAAGTCAGCAGAGCTGCTGTTTCTCGACCGAGTCCACTCATCAGAGCTAAAAGCTATCTTTCTGCTCGGCCTGATATGCCACCTCGGACAGCAACACTGCAAAATGCCGAATTGAGTCTCCAATCTCTAAGAGATCATATGGCATTTGAGGATGCGAAGCAGCCTTCCGAAGAATGGGAGAATCGAGTAAGCGCCAACAGGGAAGTCAAGGGACGAATATTCTCGGTGTTGCAAGCTTTGGATTACGAAGCGGAGCCGTTGATCGATAACAAAGGCGTTTTACGAGTCGTCGAACGAGGAAAGGTCATAGCCTTGACGCGGGATTATCCATATGTGGAGGCAACAAAGGACGAAAAGAGTGGAGGTAGCAAGTCATCATCCAGCCCTAGTATGAAGTCCAAAGAATCACCAAACGACCGAAACAAAAGCAACAAGTCTCCAGATGTCGGTTCAAGGATCTCATCGTTTTTCGGGGGAAGGACTAGACGCTCAAGCCGAGGTGCGCGTACTTCAAGTGACAAAGGAAAGCTACCAGGATCACGCAGCGTTGAAGATGAAGAGCCTCAATCGGCGCCGAAATATGAGGAGTATGAACAAGCTCCACCATCTCCATGGTCCCAGTCGCCAGCTCCGTCTCCCGCAGTAAGAGTTGAGACCTCCGAGAATCCGTTCTTCTCAAGCGCTCCTATTGATGAAGAAACATTCAACCCTCGAGCCACAGCACCAGATTACTCAGATATGCCACAACCTGAGACCATTGGACTTGACAGATCTTGGACGGTGTTGCATATTCCTTTGATTCATCCTTTGCTGTCTAAACCAGTGCAATCATTTCGTCTAGACGCGGCTGCAATGGAATTGAAATCTGCGAAGGGCAAGACGGTGGATTCTCATCTGAAAGATGTTGGAGACGACTATACTAAAACCAGGGAAGAGACCAAGGGAAGGCAAACTCCCATTGCAATCCTCTCGATTCTGAGCCCAGTAATTCCTTACCCTTCGACGCTACGACATTCCCTAGAACACTTGGCACCCCATCTGGCAACCTCATTTTCGCTGTGTCGACACTTCTCAAACCTTGAAACTGAGATCGCGGGCTTGTCGAGGAAGCGTCCGCAGACAACCGGGTTTGGAGCTGTTGCAGGCGGACGAGCTGATGATAGATTAAGGGCAGCGCATCCAGCATACTCCCCTGCTGAAGAAATATCAATGCAACATTCCACTGGCGGTAGCATTACCAGTCCCAGTGACTATTCTGGAGTCTCGAGAAGCACAGCTGGGTCTCATTCAGGTACCCCAGGTTGGGATCCTAGTAGTGTAGGGCTTTCCATGGAAAAGCGATCAAGTGGTGGCAGTCCCAATTACACCGCAGGGGAAAGCTATTTCAGCAGTAGAGCAAGACCAGGTGTGTCGCGAGTTGAGACCGGCTCGGCAAGTAGCATCACTGGTGCACGGCGCACTTCTAAGGAATCACCATCTTCTACAGATGCAAGGTCGCAAAAGCACTCGTGTACGTCGGAAGAGAAGCCTAGGGAGACTGAGACCGCTGCTGTTGATCACGGTGACGACGATGTAAAAGAGAAGCATGCTTCACAGTATGAAAGCTCCACGACGAGTACGCCTCGACAAGAGTCTCGAACTCGGCCGGTTGAATCCGAGAATAGAGAGGGTAGTCCTTCGCGGCAAGGTACAGATTCACAACACTCTCCTCGGAGATTAGCTATGCGTACCGCGTCGAACCAAGGTACAGGAAAGCCAGAACGACAACATACTCAGTTACACTCGTACGGTGCGGATTTCGGTGCCACTTTCCAGTCTCTACCCACACCGTCAGGCAAAGGTCCTACAATTGTTAAAATACCATCCCGATCGGGCTCTATATCGATTCCGCCAGACTACATGCCGCCACCATCAGATCGCGTGAAGGGCATTATGCTGGACTCATTACCTCTCCATATATTCATTGCTTTGCCACCTACCGGTGAGATGGTCTGGGTCAACAGTCGATATCTGACTTACAGAGGCCAAAGTGTGAAAGATTTGCACGAAGATCCGTGGGCTAGTATTCACTCAGAGGAGAGAGATGAGTATTTAAAGGCTTGGAGTCATGCGATTCGTACCGGAGAGCAATTTTCTATGCAGGTTCGCCTCAGAAGATTCGATGGAACTTATCGTTGGTTCTACACCAGAGCTGTGGGTCTCCGAGACAGTCGTGGAGTCATCGTCCAGTGGTATGGCACTCACATGGACATTCATGACCAGCATATTGCGGAAGTCAAAGCCGCTAGGCAAGAAGAAATCGAGGCGTCGGAAGCCAAGCATCGTCAGCTGGCAAATCTCATTCCACAAATCATCTTCTCAGCAACCGAAGATCAAGGAGTGACCTTCGCAAACCAGCAATGGCTTTCTTACACTGGGCAAGAATTTGACCATTCCCTCGGTCTTGGATTCATGGACTATGTTCATCCCGAGGACCTGGCAAGATGCCATGTTCCAATAATTCGTCCTCCGACACCAGACGAATCCGCTTCAAAATCTCGAGCAGAGCCCAGCCGAAACCCGTCTCAATCATCCTCAGGAGGGAAGAGCTCCATCCACTCTAACGTATCCTCGGCACCAACAGAGCGGACTATCAAGGGGGTTTACCAAGCCCTTTCCAGAACCAATAGCTCCAGCAGTGGATCGACCTACGAGTTGCCCAGCGCTGACTTTTCCGAGCTCATGAAGGCTGGCGTAATCAAAGTCGAAATTGATGGCAATGGCCGAACTTCTTATAGCACGGAAGTTCGTCTCAGATCCAAGTCTGGAGAGTACCGCTGGCATCTCGTTCGTTGTGTTGAAGTTGACAATATCAACCTCGGCAGTGGAGATGGATCTTGGTTTGGTGCCTGCGCAGATATCAATGATCACAAGCTGCTTGAGATGAAGCTCAAGGAAGCTATGGACTCAAAGGGCAAGTTCCTGAGCAACATGTCTCATGAGATTCGCACACCACTTATTGGCATCTCTGGCATGATTAGTTTCCTGCAAGACACCCCTCTCAACGACGAGCAGATCGATTACTGCAACACGATCGCATCTAGTGCTGAAGGCCTCTTGAATATTATTAATGATATCTTGGATCTTGCGAAAGCTGACGCGGGCATGATGAAGCTTTCTCACGACTGGTTTCATACTCGCTCTCTGGTAGAGGAAGTCAATGAGATGATCTCGACAATCGCCATTACGAAACACCTCGAAGTCAATTACGTCGTTGATGTCGATGTTCCGGAAATGGTCAAAGGCGACCGATTCCGCATCCGTCAAGTCCTTCTAAATGTCATTGGCAACGCAATCAAGTTCACAAGTGTTGGCGAAGTCTTCAGCCGATGCAGAGTCATAAAGGATGCAGAAGAACTGGAGGAAAATGAGGTCATGCTTGAATTCTCCATCATTGATACCGGCCGTGGTTTTACACAAGAGGAAGCAGAGCTCATATTCAAACCGTTCAGTCAGATTGATGCGAGTAGCACGCGGACTCAAGGTGGTACCGGACTTGGCCTTGTTATTTCTAGGCAGTTGGTAGAGCTTCATGGTGGTCAGATGGAGGGCACAGCGGTCCCAGGAAAAGGTTCTACCTTCACATTCACAGCGAAGTTTCAGTTGCCCACAGAGGACGATCATCCAGATCCGTCAACAACACCTGCTCTCAGTACAGTTCCATCAACCCCATCGGCTAGGGCGTCCTTGAAGTCCCAGATCTCGTACGAGACAACAGCTCGCGCTATCAGGCAGGCAGGTGGGAATCCCATCTTAGCCAGCAGATTGATTCAGTCCCCAGCAGAGGAGGGCCAAAGCCCGCGTACCGAGTCATCTGGAACTGGGACAGATCCAGTACCATCGTCCGGGAGTTCGAATCCCTCACTCAACTCGACTAGATCACCCACAACACAGCGGTCATCGAGCTCGTCCACTAATCAATCACTGGCTCATTTCGGTGAGGCAGCTCGATCAATTGCGCCCGATCCTTCGAGCATGAAGTTGGAACTACCAGAAAGAACACTATCAGACTCGCTATCTACACCATCTGAGTCACAAGGTGCTACGCCCACCCCAGCCACACTACTTGCTGCACAGGGCAGTTCCATGTCTGATATCAAGCACTTCCGACCACCGATGTACTCAATCTTACTTATTTGTCCTCAAACACATAGTAGAGAAGCTACAACGCAGCACATTGAGATGACTCTTTCAAAGGACGTACCTCACAAGATTACGGGCTTGGCAAGTGTTGACGAAGCACGTGCTATGATTGGTGGAGACAATCCTGTCATTTTTACGCACATTGTTTTGAATCTCGGCTCGTCTGAAGACATCATTACTTTGATCGATCAAATTGTGGCATCTGCTACTCTTCCTAACACTTCCATAGTGGTCCTCTCCGACCCAGTACAGCGACAAGAAGTCATCAGAAACACCGGAAATGACTACGATAAATTGGCCAAGGACAACCAGCTTACATTCATCTACAAGCCAGTCAAGCCATCCCGCTTTGCAGTCATCTTCGACCCTGATAAGGAGAGGGACCTGAGTACGGACCGAAACCGCTTCAGTGCTCAGCAGCAGGTTGCGAATGCTCGACAGAATTACCTCGACATTGGCAAGCGACTTGGCAACAAGGGATACAGAGTTTTGCTGGTCGAAGACAATGCCACCAACCAGAAGGTGCTCATGAAGTACCTAAGCAAGGTCGGGATAGCAGTTGACTTGGCTCTGGACGGAGTCGAGTGCACCGATCAAGTCTTCGCGAAGCCCCATTCTTACTACTCCCTAATTTTGGTACGTACATGGAGTCCAACCACCCATTCATCAAGCCCGTCTAACATCATCCACAGTGCGATCTTCACATGCCAAACAAAGACGGCTACCAAGCCTGTCGCGAGATCCGCAGATGGGAGAAGCACGAAAAGTACTCTCGCATGCCCATCATCGCACTCTCCGCAAATGTCATGGCCGACGTCCTCGATAAATGCATCGAAGCAGGTTTCAGTAACTACATCACCAAGCCAGTCGACTTCAAAGCCCTTAGCGCCCTCATGGGTGATCTCCTGGATCCCGTCACACCTGCTGAAACAGGCACGACTACAACTTCAACCACTACGACCTAAATAATTTATGCCTTCATCACTTCAGCTACAACTACACCTACAGTTGTTTCTTCTTCTTTGACATTTGAGCGCGTCCAGCAGCGCGGCACATGCATGCATTTCTCGGCGTTTCGTTTGGGATGAGATTCCCCTTTTCCTTCATCCTTCATTAACTTTTTGTAATTTGGGCATTTTTGAGCATAGCGTGCGCGTGTTTGCTGGCAGGAAGGCAAGGCGGGCGGGCCGGCCGGCCGGGTCTGGGTTGGGAAACAAATCGATTGAAAGCAAGTCAAAGGGGGACTTAATGAGATGGGCAGGTGGGACAAGCCCACCAATATTAAAATCCAGAGTTTTGGTTGGACTAAGCCGCTGATTCATTCACATAAGTTGAATTCCATCAACACATGTAAAATATGTATGATTGTACGACTTTCCATGTTCTCTTCTACGGCCCTTTTTCCTCTGGATGCTTCTTTTGAATCGAGAGGAGAGAGACGGACGGCTAGGAGAGAGGGAGGGAGGATTTGTAGGATATTGAAATTCTGCCGATCTGATACCACCCTGTCTCCTGTTGTTTCTCTTTCTCTTCTCTACATCTCCTGAGGCGGGCGGACGGGGTTAGAGCTTAGATATCCCTTTGATTTGGCCATTTCCGAGAAGGGGTATATGCGGATTACTTTCTTCTCTCTTCTTGTTGAGCGTGCATGGATGGGCGGATGAATGGTTAAATGAAAGGATGGATGAATAATAATGAATATACCAAGCTAGAGAAAATTGACTATCCTGTTTGAGGGCCTTTTGTTATGAGTATGGGGTCCTGGATGATTTTTCAATATGAGATACGCAGAGGTTGGTTGGCTTTAGCCTGGGTATTGTTTCTCCTGAATGTGTCGTCACTTTGGGATGGCATAGCATGGAAGCGAGAGTGTCCACTTGTTTTGACAGAGAAGCGTGTGTGAACGACATGGAGGCTTCCCTATTCACGGATATACACTGATGAGCAAGCTTATCTTTCTCATTTCAGGTGGAGCAGAAAAGCACATAGTGGTCAGAATATCCAGGAGATGACTTGCAGATGTTCGCGAGATCTTGCATATTGATATGAGGAGAGCAAGCGGAGAGTAGGTGAGTGTTGTGTAGATTGTTTTTTATTGTAGTGATTGCCCCTTTATTAAGCGACCGAGAAGGTTTGCTGGGTGTCAATAGAGAAAAGTAGTTACCGCAATCACCGTACCCGTTGTCGATTTCTTCGGTATTCTCTGGCCCGAGTAGCCGATCCAGCCATGTCTAATGATTGAGGGAACTGAAAGTGAGCAGATCCGCTCCTGAAAGCCAGCCCAGTGGCTCTCTTGACTCGTTCGCTTGCTGAAAGCTCGGGGTTCGATCCGCTGTCATGACGATGTTGAACCCCACTTCCCCAAACTTCACATTCCCCACGCCCCACGAAACCACGCTGCAACAGGTCAAAGGGTAGGTTGTAGTCCCGCAATCTTTCGAGTATAGACTGAAAACATCCCAACTACAAGAAGGTTTACTCTCTTCTTTACTTATTATCTCCTTCTTCCTGCTTCCACAATATCTCACTTTCGCGATACCCCTCTCTCGGCATCGGAAGCCGGTTAAACTCACCTGGGTAAAGTCAACAAAGCACCATTTAGCTCTCAACTCTCACAATTGCTGTGACAAAAGCTCCCCAAACTCAATCCGGAAGCAATCAAATACAAAGCAATATGTCAGGTAAAATAGCTTTTCTTGGCCTCGGAGCCATGGGCTTCGGCATGGCCACCAACCTCATCAAGAAAGGCTTCCACGTCACTGGCTTCGACGTCTACGCACCCACTCTCGAACGCTTCACAGCCGCTGGCGGACACACCTCCTCCACACCCAAAGGAACAGTTATAGATGCCCAATATGTCGTCTTCATGGTCGCCACGGCAGCGCAAATTCTCACCGCGCTGTTCGATGATGACAGCGGCGCAATCCATAGTCTAGGAAAGGGAGCAACCGTCATTCTCTCGTCGACTGGACCACCAGAACACGTGCCACTTGTGAGAAAGCTGCTCGACGAGAAATATGGTAGACAGGATATCGAACTGGTTGATGCACCAGTCTCGGGAGGCACGATTCGTGCTGCGAACGGGACTTTGACCATCCTAGCTGCTGGGCCCGAAAGTGCTATCGCAGCAGCGAAGCCGGTGCTGGATGCTATGGCGGGAGAGAATCTGTATATCATCCCTGGAGGCTTGGGAGCAGGCACGAATGTGAAGATGGTGCATCAGGTGTTGGCGGGTATTCATATCACGATGACGAGCGAAGCCATGGGATTTGCGGCTGCATTGGGACTCAACACTAAGCAAGCGTTTGAAATCCTGAGGAAAGGCAGGGGCAGTAGTTGGATGTTTGAGAACCGGACGCCGCATATGCTTGTTCAGGATAAAACGGTGTACTCAGCGCTGAATATTATCGTGAAAGATATTGTGAGTAATAGTCATCCTTCAAATGGGCTCTCGCTCTTTCATTCCGAGCTCTGCTTGGATACTAGATATATCAGCTGTTTCTGTAAACAGGGTATTGTGACTTCTGGTGGTCGCTCAGCCAACTTCCCACTCTTCCTCTCTTCAACAACCGAGCAGGTCCTCGCAGCAGGTGTCAGCGCCGGTCTAGGACTTATCGACGATGCCGCTCTCGTTGGAGTTTACCTCCCACAATCCCCATCCGCTATACTTAAACTCGCCTCCTCGCCCGCAACCTTCGCAGCTGATGACTCCAAGATTCTTCTCGTGGAGAAGATCATGGCAGGTGTGCACCTTGCCGCTGCAGCAGAAGCGATGTCTTTAGGTGTGAAGGTTGGACTGGAGGCGAAGAAGCTGTTTGAGATCATCTCCACGGCTGCTGGGAGTAGTGCGATGTTTGTGGAGGGCGCAACGCAGTTATTAAGTGGCGTCTGGAAAGAGGGGAGTAGCGTGGATGACGTTATTGCTGAGTTGGTATGTTGAAATTCTTCGACTCTTCAGCGATTACGTCAATGAGAAACCTCAACTGACAAAGACGTAGACTGAGGCGGTAGAAGAAGCTCATAAGCTCAAATACCCGCTCCATCTCACCGGAACAGCTTTACAGCTCTTCGAACTGGCGAAACTGAAAGGATTAGGTAAGGAGCCTGGGATTGCAGTATCGAAAGTATGGGATAGTGTCGATGGGCCTTATTTCCCTCGAGCACAAGTTTAGAAGTATCCCCAATTGCTTGGAGACGATCACCAGAAAACCGAGAGATTGCAGAACTTGCTCAAATGTAATCTGGAAGGCCCATTGTATAGTTTTCCAGATAGAATGACTGTTCCTAAAGCTGTCGCTAAGATTCGAAAATAATGTCTCGAATTCCATGTCTTGGCTTGGAATTACGGATGTCGCTCCATAAGCGAATTCCTGAAAGTCAACAACGGCAAAAGGCCGAGCCAATGTGACATTTCATGAAGAAGTGCCAGAGTTAGAGGTTTCCTAGAGAACAAGATGATTTTCCAAACGATATTTCTGGGATTTATCGCAAGGCTGTTCAAAGTGTAGCGTTCATTGTTGGAAGTCGGAGCCGGAGTTGGCGTTCATCAGGCTACATTACTGCATAGAGCTGCAGCTAATGGGAAAATCGCGACGTGCAACATTTTGTCCCAATATGGAAGTTCCGCAACACAGAACTTGATTTTGTTTGGACACCGATACCTTGATTTTTCAAATCTGAATCTTCAAATCCTGAATGCCGGTACATGAGGCGCTAGATGAAAGGTCTCTTTCGAGGTCTCTTCCGAGGTTTCTTTCTAGGTATATCCTTAACGCGATTTTGCTTATGTAATAAGACTTACTCGTTCTAGACTTATTCCACTTAGCTTACAAGAAAGAGTTTCATCATGATAGGCAATTTATATTCCAGCTTGAAAACATCAGCACGGTCAGTTATAATCAAGAATGCAGCGATGGAAAATTTCCATTATCAACCCATCGTGGCTCCCGATGAGATCAGGATGCTCGAGCTTAGTCCCGGTGCTACCTCAGATCCCATTCAAGTTCGCCTCATCCATAAGCCCCTCTCGCACATGCCACAATGCATCGCACTGAGCTACGAATGGGGCTCGCCAACTCGAGACTTCGAAATAATCTGTGATGGGGCCCTCCTCAAAGTCACGAAGAATCTTGTCACAGCCCTCAAAAGACTCCGTACCTTACATGTGGCTGGCGAGAATCTCGAAACAGGGAAGCTAAACATCACAGAGCGGACGCTATTTTGGGTCGATGCAATTTCAATCAACCAAGAGGATTTGGATGAGCGATCTGAGCAAGTCCCTCTCATGAGCTCCATCTTCAAGAATGCATCTTGGGTCATAGTCTGGCTTGGCGAAGAACGTGCCGGGACATCAGCCGCATGGAACTTGATGATACCATTGAGCGAGCAGGCCGATAAGTTCGATGACTTGGTAAACGACGATAACAAAGATAGATATGAGTCTATGATCGTGGGCTCTGACTTGCTCCTTAAGGACCTCCCACAACATCCGGCCTGGGGCGATATCATGGATATCTTCGCTTCAAGAACTGTATTTTCTCGTCTCTGGACTCTCCAAGAAACATGTCTCGCACCGCGAGACCGGATCTCTCTCCTATGTGGTGGCATAGAGATGTCTTGGGATATATTCTCCAACATAGCGTTGATAATATGGCACTGTATTGGCTTTTGGAATCATGCTTTCAAGAGTGGAGAGAAACACAAAAGAGTTGCGGGGCTCGTGAATATAGTGTTGAGACTAACTCTGCAGAAGGACATTCCATTACCAAAGAAAAATTTTGAAGCTGTGCTGGTGGCGTCATTACATGTCCTTGTTACGGACCAGAGAGATCGCGTGTTGGGAGTTTTGGGGCTATTTGACGAGGATACCCGCTCGATGTTCGCCAATGTGGGGTATCACAACACCCCAGGGGAGATTTCCAGAATAGCAACGGAAGCTATGATGGATGGTGGTAAAGGATTAAACTACCTCCTATGGATACCCGCCGTGCCTCCAAGTTTCGAGGCCAGTACGCAAGAGTCAGAGCTTCCTTCTTGGGTATGGATGTTGGAGTACCGGCGAACTGAAGACCATTTCCTTCACAACGGCATGAAAAATCGTCTCCAGAACTTCCTCTACGTTAAGTCCAAGCCGACATATCAAATCCAAGGAGACGAAATTCTTACCCAGGGTATGATATTCGATACCGTCACAGTCGCGTACCCTAATATTTCGCCCGAGAACTTCGAGGGATTGGTGTTAGATATACAATTTTCCCATGAAGTTATGGTAGAACAAACCTCGTCGACGAAGTCCGCTTCCGAACGTACAGTCGATAGGCTTCGGAGCCTATATTTTCGAACGGCTAGGAACTTCAATGGGGAGCCTTATCCTCCTGATCAATACGATGGTTGGATAGCTCGTATCATGCTCCGGGGTTGGGAACGAGAAAGAAGCACAGTTAAGAATGACTCTTACAGAGGACTTGATGTTTCTGTTTTGAGACAGCAGGCGGCTTTGGGTCATGAGCATCTTGATGGTTCCGTGATAGATAAGATACTGCGACATGACCAAGACGGGAAACTCACAGGAGAAGGACGGAATATTTTTGTCACTTCTAAGGTTATTATGGACTCGGAGTATTTGGGCCGAATGGGCAGGGATGCAAGTCTGCTGTACAGATTGGCGACAAGATTGTGGTTTTGCCTGGGGTTGAGCACCCTGTGGTGCTTCGTGGTTGTGAGAACTCCAAGTATAAACTGGTGGGACCGGCTCTCATTCCTGAGATTGAGATTAATGAGGCGCTCCAGGAGAAGGTTCTAGTACCGATGGAGCAGATAATTATTGTTTAAGGTATTATTTTTGTGAGAAATATGAGCTGGGACAGATAAATCTAATACTGAGCCTTTGACGTCTACCCTGCAATGCAGCGTACTCTATTCTCTTGAAACATACTCAGGCGATAAAATGAGAAGTTCAGAAGCTGTGTGGTATTTCCCTGTACACATTAGGCATTTTGCCAGATTGTTATTCAACTTTACTAGCACGAATTATAGACGAAAAGGTCAGCTCAACCTAACTCCCCCTCCTCGACTCAACAAAATCCACCAAATCAAAAAGGCTCTTCTTAAACCTCCTCTCCTGACTCGTCCTATTAACATACTGCATCCCAAACTGAGCCCCATAATCCCCAAACTCCCAATTATCCGCAAAGCTCCACGCCAACGCACCCATCACATTCACGCCGTCCTCCCAAATACTCTTCAATACCTCGCTCATAAACGAAAGATAGTACTGCGAGCGCGGAGAATCGAACAATTGATCTTCAACTGCCTTTTCCGCTTCCGCGAAGACAGGGAACCCGAATTCGGAGATTAGGACGGGAGAGCGGAAGGTGTTGTATAGGTAGAAGAGGTAGGTGCGTAAGTAGGTGGGCGTGATGTAAACGTAGGATTGTGACCGGTAGCCTATATTCCAGCCGAATATGTTGGCGGTTTCTTGGACAACGCAGTAGGGGTAATAGGAGGAAGAGGAGTTGGCTGCGCACGCCTCAACGCCGCCTGGTGGGGGAGAGACGACCGTTGCGGTGTAGGGATCGATGCCGAGGAAGTCAGATGTATTGCCAATGTAGGCGAGGTCGTCTGCACTGAGGGGGACAAAATCTGGGATGGTGATCTTGTAGGCTTCTGGGTAGTCTATGCCGAGGAAGATGGGGTTGGCGAAGGTGGCCAATTGAAAGTCGTTGAAGTGATTAGTAGCATTGACATCTGAGGCGTTCTGAGGATTTTTAGGCACGCCGAAGTTGTCGTTAAATTTGATGCCCATCTTTCCGGTTCCTTTGATAGATTCATGATAGAAGTGGTAAAGACGTGCGTGTGCTTTTATGACGTGGTCAACGCTTGCTCCGTTGTCACAGTAGAGAAGTGGCTCGTTGAATCTGGTCATGTTAGCTAGTTGTAGGCAAAGCGAGACGAACAGGGGACTCACGTAAACCATATAGGAACCCTATCACTGTAATGCGTTAAGAGGATCTTGCCGTAATTGACAAATGCATCCTCAAACGTCTCGTTCTGATACCCTCCATTCACATATCCAATCGCCGGATCATCCTTCGGAGTATTTCCCTCCCCAAAGAACTGAAAGGGAGTGTCGAAATGGAACATCGTGACCGTCGGAATCATACCTTTCTCCAGCACAAAATCGATCAGGTCGCTATAATGCTGTATACCCTCTTCATTGACCGGTGTTCCTGGAAGAGCAAAAGGCAGGATCCGCGTCCAGGCAATGGAGAAGCTGTAATACTCAATTCCCATAGAAGCTAATCTCTCAATGTCCTGTTTGTACAAGTAATAATTCTCATTCGTGACATGGTCATTCGATCGATTGTCGCCTTCACCAGCAAGGACTTCCATCAAGCTTGGGGACTTGCCTGCTTCGAATACAGCTCCTTCAATCTGGGCCGCTGAGCCTGCTGCGCCAAAGATGAAGTCTGGTGGAAAGTCGTAGCAGTCTGTTGGGCCAAAGTAGTCCGCTGGAGGCAGAATGAGTTCACTTGTTGGAAGGGGTGTCGGGCTGACAGTGGTGCTGTAGAGGCCTGTTCCGGTGAAATTGGTGATGTTTGCGGCGACCCAGAGTTGAGTCCATGCTGCGTTCCCGTATGGATTTGCTGTGTCAGTTGCTTGAGCAGTTGCATTTGGATTCCAGCTTCCCCACTAGATGATAAGATCAGTACATTTCGGAAATACCCAAGCGACAATACTCTCGAGGTTCTCGCTAGAAGCTAAAACGACAAACTGGGAACAGATGAAGAAATTGGCTCGCGGAGCTAACTGATGAATTCCGTTCCAGATATTTTACAGCAAAAAAACGTGATCCAACAAACACTCTTCATCCATTACCTTCCCCTATGAAACTCACGAGTAAAAGGGAATAACTTACAGTCGTCGTACTCAACCCCGGCACCAACCCACTCAACTTCTCATAACCCTCCGCATACGTCGCCCTCGCGGTCGGACTCGGCCTACTCGTAGCAGTCCGATACGTCTCCGTCTGCGTAAACGAGAACTCCGTGAATCTATATGTTGGACTCGCTGTAGTGCCACATGATGTGCATGATGAACGGGGTGAGGGTCCGGACGTAGAGATGTAGACTTGTTGGGCTATGACGGGGGTTGTAGAGAGGAGGAGGGGAAGGAGGACGGTGGTGAGGGGAGACATGGTTCGTGTATGGAGTTAGATCGGTCAGGGAGGGGAGGGGAGAGGGGAGGGATTTGTGAGGTGATGAAAAGGAAGGAAAGAAGTACTTTTATATTCATACGCAAAAGAATGGAAGAGAAGGCAAAAAATTCAAGTCCAATGACGCACGTGGCTATTCACCTTATACGTACTTACCTCCTACCAACGAAGCCTTTCCCGTCCCCAGGAACCACTTCTGTAGCTCACTCATAATCCAAGTTCCCTCTCCACTTACCTTAAATCCCATTATTGCACGCCCACTTCTTCTCCGCTTTTCTCCACCTTCCATCCCATCCCCCTTCCTCCCCCGCGATCCACCTCATTCATCCCAAAGCTTGCGATCTCCGGACCGCAATTGAACTTTCCCAGTCATTTTCACCACTTAGCAAGCAACCGGCCGAAGAAAAGGCCCGTTTCCAACGCCCGAAAGTGGGTTGCAAAACTTGACAGCAAATCTAACGAAAGCACGAACGCGGAGAACGCTTTGTAGATCTGGGGTTGGACTTGCCGAACATGGGATGGCTGGAGCTTATCAACGAACTTGATGGGATAAGTTGCAGGCCGAGGATTTGCCGCCGGTAGTAGATGCTGGGATGAGGAAATTTGACACGGGGTGATGGATTCCAAGGTTTCGGAGGCTTGAGGAACTTTGAGGAGAGGAGGGGTTGGTGGAGCTTATTTTTGAACTTTGATATGAGGTGATGTGATGGAAGGGCGGAAATGCGGGGTGGCTCTTTTGCGTGGGGAAAGTGCAGATGCGGGGTAGACAGTAGAATCTCACCGACGACGTTCATGGGAAGTCGACATGAGGAAATCCGCGAATACCTTACTTGCGAATACGAATATGCGAGACTGGCATATCTTAGAGCGTTGGGTGCCGTGGAAACTGAAATAGTGTGTGGTCTTCTTACCAACGACATGGTATGATACCGAGAACGAGCTTGGGAGAGTGAAGCAGCTCAAAAAGAAGAAAAAATACGTCTAGGTCCACGACAGGCCGCCTAATGTAACAGGATTTCCCAGAAAGCTTTCGAATTCATCGTATATACACCTCTTCCCTCGTTACAAACATCTCCTACAACTTCAAATCTCTAATTCCCTTCCCCACCTTTCCTACTCTATCTCTTCACCCAGCAAATCACCAACCTATCTAACTTACGCACCCCCAATAATGAAGATCTCACCAGTCGTATCACTCGTCATGAACAGACGATCCTTGCTATCCCACACCATGCCGGTAGGACAGAAACAGCTGTTGGGACAACCGCCCAGATTACCATTCTGCATGATATTGACGGCGGCTGTGGTGCTGGTAGATGGCTCGACGGGTTGGCCGTCTTTGAATGCGATACGGGAGAGGCGGTATCCGTCCGGTGGTTGGCGATCCCTTTGGGAAGCGAGTGTCAGTTTGTCCGGCCAAAATAAAGACAGACAATGGAAGGGTGGTGGACGAGATTGATGGTAAGATGGAGAATGAGCAACAAGGAGGACCGAGAGGAGACTAACCAGCTGCCATGGAAAGTGATATAAGCGGCACTTCCATCTTTCTTGAACTTGATATCGAGAGGAGCAGTGTGTGCTGGAAAGACTAATCTAGGAGGATACTTCTTTGCGCAGTCCGCGTCCGTTGAGGCACCGACTGAATCATCGATAGAGAGCTGGGTGCCGACTTTGGTGCCACTGCCACCGAACGAGCTAGGTTCCCCTACATAGAAGAGATTAGCATCTGATCTGGAAGGGTTAGGGGAGCGACGAGAACTTGAACGAGATTGAGGAATTGGCCGAGAGGTGAAAATGAAAGCGTCCTTTAGGTACTTACAAACTGCGAAGCAAGAAGGGTAACCGTAGTTGGCCTTGTATTGAGCACCAGTTGTGTCGTTGAGGAGACCGTGGTAATTGAGCTCCTCAGCCGGGTTGTTGGAATGCACATCTTTCCCTCCCTTCTTAATGTCATCGGCAGAGTTCTCGACGGACCAGATGCCGCCAGTAGTTGGGTCCTCGCCCAAACCTACGCTGTTGCGTAGGCCCCAGCCGAGAACATCCCCAGATTTGGAGTAATCGACTGGTGTAGCGAGGATGGAGGCGATATTGAATATGCGCGTTTGAGATCGTCCGCTGTCGATGCCGGTGGTAGGGGAATCGATGTTACCCGATGAGCCTCGTTGTACCAGGAGTACGTCTGGCTTGGACTTGGGGATGCGGAGAGTTCGAGTAGTGTGATAGGCGAAGCTGATTCCCATGCCGGTTATGACAGCTTTCTTAGTTCCGACTGTTCCTGCCGCGGCATCGTAAGGGAAGGCAAAGACGCTTGATTGTGATGAGACGAAGAGAGTCTTGCCATCGGCAGTAAGCTCGAGACCATGATTGAGCTATGATCGTCAGCCGAATCTGTTCTCGAGTGGCCAGTGGTGAGGTTGCACTGTCATTGACATGTACGAGGACTCTTTCCAATGACATGACCAGTGTGAGCAAGTATGACTTACAGTAGCATCATTAATCAAAGTCTTAGACGAAGCAACGCAAACATCAGTCCCCCCATTGTCAGTCAACTTGATCAACCTAACTCCACCGCCTCCCTGTTCCACGACAAGCAGCTGTCCAAGCTGATCAAAGATCATCTCTCTCGGAGTCTTCAGTCCTTTCATCACCACAAGCGCGGTATAACCCGATGCCATATTCGGCCTCGCAGTTGGATTGATGGTAGCACAAGCACGTTTCTCCAGTTGAGGAAGAGCAGTAGCAAGATACGACATGGCCACAATGGCCATGGCACTAACGAAAGAAACCATGATGAGCAATTGCTATTATGGACCGCGATTGCGCTTTGATAGACTCGAGTTCTTCGAAAGTATCGCTCAATTGCGGAACTCGGGAGATGGCGACCTTTTATGAAATCCGCTCACATAGCCCACTCCCATCTGATTGCAAAGCCTAATAGTGGTCGCCTTTAGATTACTCTGGGAGAATACAGTTCCATTCATGACTTCATGATGCGGTATGTTTGTGCAATGATATTGATGGGTGGGAGAATAAATGGCCAGGCACAGTGAAGTGCCGGCAGGTGAAGATGGCCAGAAATGCCTGATATCAACTGGCCAATTGAGAAAGGAGATACAGCCTAGCTATTCATGTTGCTGAAACGGTATAAATCCAATGAGCAATACAACCCCGCGACATCGCAGACCTCCCCGCATGTGAGACTTTTTCCGTAGATTGCCTCGCTTGGGTTGTAAACACATCATCTGCCGAGTTTGGCGAGGCTACGTATGTTTTCTGGAAAACGGGTGATCATGAGGGTGGGAACGAAGTGGATCTCGAATAATGGAAGAATGTATTACCCTTCGTCCAGAAGTGGATTTCATATGGTACATGTACATCCAGAAGACAATGTAACAGTGCATGCTCAACTGGTCTTATAAAATGGATTTCGTCCAGCACTAGCGGAGTTATCGTTCAAAAATGAGGTTGGAATAAACGTGAGTTTATGCTCCTTAAAGATGCATCTTGATCGTGAAGGACAGTGGGGATGAAACGAAACAATCGAACAGGAGAGGCAGATGTTGAGATCATTGAAGACCGGGAAATCAATCGGCCCGTCGTACAGCATCGGATTCAGCAGGATGTCCAGAAAGGACCCGAAGACCCGGAGAACCCGAATACTCAGCCTCTGCTCCCCCAATCCTTTCTGCCAAAACCAACAAAAAGCATCGCACGGGCAATTTCGAACTTGATGCAATATGGATGAAGTAAGACATGTAGTTTTGAAGTGGCATGGGGCACTGAAGAGTTCCAGCTGAGCCGAGAAAGAAAGGTATGTGCTCGTGCAATTAAGCAGGCGACAACTTACAAAGCGGACATGAAAGGGGTAAGGCGTCCTCTACCCCGCTCCACTAATTTCAACAAGGACTTTTGAAGAGGAGCATATCTAATCGAAATTGCCCTCAAACGCGAAACCGCGAATAACGCGTGGACGCGGTTTGTACGGTGTGGCTGATGATGATTGCAAAGTCTGCGGGCTTGTGGCTTGGGATATTTGTGAGTAAGCGAAGCACGGACGGAGATGAGGCCTGACGTTATGTCGGCCGTCCGCTTTCGTGATGTGAGTTGTGGTGAGCGCGAGGGAGGCTTCTTGCAGGTGTGTGTTTCGAGAGAGCGGGCTGGTGATGAGATGAGATGAGATGAGATGAGATGCGATCCGATGTGGACACCGGATCTTGGTAAGCGATTCTCGGTTCATTGGACACTCGGATGGCCTGGACCCTTTCAGTGACGCGTGAAGGGCAGGGTTTTCATGAAAGAAAAGTGCTGTGCCATTATTATTGCGGCCGCAAATGTTGTGATCGCAGATGTGGATGGAGGCGAAGCGGGAGCCAGGAATCGAGCAGAAACGTTCATGCCATGTTCCGTGCCGCACGGGAGGCTTCTTCCCTCAGACCATGTTGTGGTCCTTGATGTGAAGGAGTTCCAGCCTTTTCATGTCAAATGTGTGAATGCTATGGATGGATCCGATCCGACAAAGCGGTAAATTAACATTGGTGTTTGATGATCACTCCTGGCAGAATCAAAATCGATTCTCCACACAGTTTGGTCTGATCTGACTTCATCGTCTTGGTATTTCCAGTGCTTACAATGCGAGTTCGTTAGGTTACATCTGTTCTATGCGGAAAACAAATGCAAAAGAATAAAACCATTGCTCTATTTCTTGAAAGTTTGATGGCGCGTTAGCATAGTTCTGCGGCTGTCATCTTGACGCGGCGGTAGATCTGATCACAAAGAAGGTTTGCTTGGATGCTTCATCTGAAGACATCGTAAGATTGTGGGTCCGAAAATTTGGTGTGATCCTGCAATATGTTGCTTTTCTTGATATTGACGGGTTTCTTGTTCTTGTCCTTGTCCTTGGTTTGCATTCCCCAGTCATCGTGTTATTAGTTGGTATCCGAGCAAGTTGGAATATGATAGCTTTATTGACAGCGGGTAAGTGTGTCTGACATAAGTCCCGACAGTCTGGGCCGCCGAGCCTTTTGGCGGGCGCTCAAAACTTGCCATAACTTGATGGAGGATGCGCCAGGTTTGGAATTGGAGCGACTCGTGGGGGTGGGATAGATTGTGGAGTTTCAGCGGACTTCTTTTGTGGATTTTCATTTTTCCTTTTGATGTCTTTTGAACCTGCGCCGGAAAGGTGTAACAGAGATTGAGGAGACGGGAAGGAAGGAAGGCATTGCTGAATCGGGAAAGGAGAAAGAGGAGAATCGAGGCTCTGATAGGTGGGGATGGTTCGAATATCGAGAAGGAGATGGGAAAGGTCCAGTTCGTTGGAATCAGGGGGATTGACGAACGAGGTGGATAGGCAAGGGAAAGGCGTGGGGGCATATCTACAACTGCATGATGCATCACGAATTTGCGTTAAATATTTCGTAGTATGAAAACGCCATTGGAATACGGTATGCAAGAGTGATTTCTTTGTCGTCCGGGTCACCCTGTGTTTGTTATTATCCGGGCATTTCAGATTCTTCAAAGAACTTCTTCACAGGACTGCTAGTCTGATTGGACAAGTAGTAGTGGGCGAGACTCATGACGATCTCGTGCGTGCATAACTCCTAATATGGATGTCGTCAGGCATAAATACCAAGTAGCTCCGTAGTGCAACGGGCGTAGCCTCGCTTGGGTTTAACTTACCTCTCGCGTGGATGTCTTGCCAGGCTTCCGTCGTCGCCGGCGTGTCGGTTAGACTCTCTTTCTACTCCGTAGAGGGATCCCTGGAGCTGCGCTGCCGTTGGCCAAGTTCCTGAGAAAGCGGGCGCGGAAATCTCGTGTCCAGTGCGCTGGGTTCCGGAGGGCCGCTTTTCTGAGATTTGTACTGTAGTCTGTACGGAAGTACGAAAGGTACCGCTGATGAGCGAGCGTTGTTGACTGATGCGCGAACATGTGAGTCGTGGTCCAAGAAAGTGGTCAGATCGATTGAGGGTTCGTGAGATTAGAGGATTCATCTGGAACCTGCCTGCAGAGAGAATCGAATCACTTGCATCTCCTCGCTGCCGAACCGTGTGCCCTCCCAGCTACGGGATACTTCCACCCAGCACGTTGTGGCTGGATTGCGTGTGTCCTTCCTAGAGTAGGGTCCCTGGGGCACCGAGGATGTCCTCATTTTGCCGGTCTTTCATGGGCAAAGTCTGGTAAGCCGTCGATTTGCTAACTAAAGGGGATATTGTGATCGTGCTGCACCGTCACAACGGTGCCCAAAGAAGACGCGAGCATTGAGGCATTGAAGCCTGTCTGTCGTGTCGTGAAGGGTGGCCATTGGTCAAGATCTGGTGATTCCGTCCGTCCCCTTTCACCCGCCACAAATTCATGGTATATCTGTCGAGGCAAGGCGCTGAATTGGGCAATGTCGTTGCTGAGAAGAATCTGTTGGTTCGACGGGGCACAAAGTCGGCGAATCGAAGCACAGCATTGCTTGTCAACAATTGCTGAGCGAAGGATAAGAATAATGGAGGAGCCTCTTCATCAACCATCTGTGCGTCATGGCGAGGAGATGGCCTGCATGAATCAGCTACAGATATATCGCCATCAACACGAGAAATGGAGATCGGCTGGCTCTGGAGTCTCGAAAAACTGGTCTCTTTCCTAGCTAGGACTGGACGAAGGCTAGAAGCTCTACGGGGAGGAACGAAATGACTAACCTGACTGGTTCGACTGACTTTGGCTTAGGTTTTGGCTTTGGCTTTTCAGCCTCCGGTTCCAATTGCTGTCCATTAGTCGGCCATCACCAACAGCACTGAGGGGCAGAAGTCTCAGTCACAAGGCGAGACAAACAAAAGGTACTCCGGCGACGTCGGAGGCGGGCCTCTGGGTGTTGGATGGATGGGGATTGCTTCACTTTTTCAAAGAGCAACTTCAATGTAACCATCAACTATGATGATCATCCAGTGTGCTATCATTGTTGCCCTGTTGTCCTTTCGTCCTCTCGACACGAGAAGACATAGTAAGGTAAGGTAAGGTAGGTAAGGTTGGAATGCGCACGAGGGCTGACTCCCGGCTTCTATTTTGACTTTTGCATCCCCATCCCTTCCCTTCCCTCCCCTTCCCTCCCTTCCCTCCCTTCCGTCCTCTCACTGCCGAATCAATTCGCACTGCGCGCCTAGGCCAGTCGAGTCAATCCCATGCTTGTCAGCTTGCCCACATTACCTACCTATGCCCACATGGCTCACTTCGTTCGCACCTTTCTCGTCTTCTCGCTCACGTCTTTCGGTTGTTGACGCACAACAATTCCCAACCCCAGATCCCAACACCACGGAGTCTACAGTAGAATCGGATTGATTGACTGATAGACATCGATACAGTACAACAAAACCCTAAATGCGCTGTGCCAATCTCCCAGGCAGCGCTCATGCCTGATGGGCACTCTTTGACGGGCCGGGATCTGGCTGTTAATAGCCCCCCCCTAAGCAGCGGTTTAGATCATGATTTATGTGATGTGATGCGATGCGATGCCCAATGCCCCCTTTATTGCTCGGGGCAGCGACATCCCCTGCAATTTCACGCTGCACTACTCACTGCCGTCCAACGGAAGTCCTCAACTCCCCTGACCAGCCAGTCTTAGCAGTCTTCACTACCCATGGCACCCTGGTCTCCTGCCCTCCTTCCTGTCCTGCACGCTGCGCGCTGCACTGTGCTCGACTCTCGCTGCACTCCGACAGCAACATCCATCCAACCACGTACCTTCCTTCCCTACCACTTTGACATCGCCCTGTTCTGTCGTTCCCTCTTCCCTCCTCCCCTTACTTACATACCCACCAGTTGCACCCACATTCTCTTTCGACCAGTTTCTCTTCTCTAGGACGACTGCCCGTTCAACAATTCAAGCTCATCGCCATCCATGTATCACAAATCTGGAAAGGGTCGAAGCTGTTGAGGAGGGCTGTTGGTGACGGAGAGTCAAGATGGAGGCCGAGGCCGCCTCTGTCCCGGCTTCACAATTGGCCAGGACTCACACGCCCGAGAGTCTGCGACAGCGACAGCGAGACCGTCTCTCCCCACGGGGACGCTTCCCTAGGTCCAATCGAATCGAGACAACTGTGAAAGAGGTCGACAGGTTGCCCAAGAATGGAATTACTCTTGCGCCAGCACCGCGAACGAGACCCACTGGGACAAGTTCGCCCGAATTGATGAGGAAGAAACAATTACAGGCGGGGTTGCGCAAGGAAAATAGTATGATTCGGAGGGCCAGGAGGGAGGCGGAAGACATGAAAATCGACATCACGCCCGATGGAGGTTCTGCTGGTCGAGAAGGTCGCCAATTTACCGTTGCGAAGGTTGGGAATAATGGCAAGATATACTTACGGTAAGCCGAGCACTCATGGTCGATGATGTCGTTGTTTCCTCGCGACAAGGCATAATGTTTCTACCAAAACCAGACGCTGACACACCAACGTAGTCCAACCATCCGTCCTTCTAATCAACGGTATCCCCAGCCATCATTTGTTTTCCCTATAACACCTCCCAGTACCGCAGGTCTCGATGCATTAGTAGCGCGCAACGATAGTGGAGTCGAAGATGATCAACGTGATAGCTTGTGGACACCTTCACGATCGCCGACAACAACTGTAAATGGAAACAAAGCCTACTTTCCAAGCGCCTCAAATGCACCCAAATCGCGTCATCAACGCGCTCAATCAGAATCTACCGTTGAGGAGCAGCAATTGCCAGTATTAGACTCGGACGCTGGCGCATTTAAGGTTGTGATAGAGAGACCTGGGACTGGACCTAAGCCTGCTGAGGAATTTGTGGGCATTCCGACACTGGAGGTCCCCATCCCTTCGTACAAGCTTGGAACGCCGAGGTTCAGCACGAGGGGAACAGCTTTCTTGCGAGGCTCGTCATATACCACCACGGATGATGTGCGGTCGAGTGTCTTCTCGTCAAGGGTACCAAGTTCGCATAGACCTACCGGCATCCTCTCTCGACGACATTCGGACGCGTCGCCTCAACCTCATTACCCAGCCATGCCAACCCCTCTGACCGGTACCTTCCCAAACCCTGGAGTTGTTCGGAAGCCGATCGCAATTGTTCCCGAGATGTTCGATGACCTTACATTCAAGCCAGCATGTGACCATCCTTCTGTCGTTCGGTATTCCGTAGGTGGAGGAATCAGAGCAGCAACTCCAGCTCGCCTTGTTGCTGAAATCACTTCTCCTACGTTTGTGGATTATGATCTTCTATCCGACTTTTTCTTAACCTTCCGCTCGTTTCTGGAGACAAGCGACCTTCTATGTATGCTTATAGCCCGTCTGAGATGGGCATTGGCTAGGGATGACGAGACTGGCACTGTGGTTAGGGTCAGAACATTCGTTGCTATCCGACACTGGATTCTCAATTACTTTCTGGATGACTATGTTGTAGACTACGACCTGCGCAGGTCATTCTGCTATCTGCTGAATGGCTTTGTGACGGAGCTTTCTCAGGATCCCGTGCGCACGAAGATTCCGCTGAAGATATTGGGGGAACTGAAGAAGTGCTGGAGAAGAGTATGCGCCTTGTACTGGGATGGCCCGGAGTTTGAGGTGGAATTGGGCACAGAAGTCCCGATTTCACCTGGTGGAGTTGCTGGTTCCAGGAATCCAAATCTAGATCCAAGCTTCTGGCAAATTCACCCTGATGGACCTCCACGGCTAGATGGGATTATTGAACCTGACTTTACGGAACCGGTAAATACTGCCACAGATGGAAGGAATTTCTTCGCGGATGTTTCGAGAGCCGGCCATCTGAACTCCGTTGTTGTCCCACGACATGCTTCGACGGCTCCTGTTGAGGCTGCATACGATCGACGGCCACAATCTCCTTCAAGTATAGTCAGCGAGGACTTCATCTCATGCTCTTTCCCCTCCCGGCAACGTCCTGGCAACAACCAGCCTTTGGGTGCCCATCCAGTGCCAGCCAGTTCTATATACGACGCCGCTCCTCCCATTGCCACCACTCCAAAAGCCTTGACAGGCAAACGAGTTCGTCCGGTGCATGCTCACAAGCGTAGCGCAAGTTTTTCGGATTCGTTTAGAGACCGCCGTGTGCAGCAGCAGCCACAGCAGCCTGTACAGAAAGTTATATTCAAAAGCACCGAGTTGTTCCTGGCTCTACCGTACGCTGGTAGTATTGTCAGGGGTAACCTCTTCCCGCCAGGACAAGCCTTCGTCGACGTCATTGCTCCCAGTACACCTGCAGAAATGAACCGTGCAACTACCTTCTTCCCAGGATTTCCATCTGATCAAAAAGGCCCTTCTGCAATGTCTGGCCCGGGAATGAAGAGGTTACTTGGGAGCGTGCGCCGTGCCCTTAGTACCAGGACTGGTGGAAGCCCCAATGCTTCTCCAACCCAAGGGAGCTTCCCAAACATTCCACCACTTGGTGTTCGAGGCGCGACCATCAATCGGCTCCCTGGAACGGCCGTTGTACCACAAGCTCGATCTCGAACCACGGGTACCAGGGCACCTATGCGAATCGATCTGCTAGGTGCTGAAATAGCCGAGGACTTCAAGAAGGCCGTGAGGGAGGATGCTGAAGCTGAAGCTGAGGCCGAAGCTCGTCAACGACATGCAGACTACGGCAAAACCGACAGCGGTGAGCATGACCTAGGTCTGCAGTATTCTTCCATGGCACCAGACACGACATTCGATGACACCCAACCCATCAACCAGAGAGCGCCGCTTAGCCAGATGACAACCGGCAGCAAGTCTATTGTTATTGTTGATGACACTCCACCAATGGACCTGCCATTGATGACTGGCGCTTTGCCTCTCAATCGTTCCATGGATACCTTCCCAGATGCTTACATGCATCCTTCTGGAGGACTTACACCTCCGTCTACTCCCCCTGATGCGACTCTAGGCACACCAAGGCGATCTTCTCATCTGCTTGGGGAGCACACTAGGAACCGATCACACTCGTTTGAAGGAACGCCTTCTCTGGTAGTAGACTCCCGGCCTTCAAGAGACGATGAACGATCTCCGAGTCACAGACCTCCTGGAAGACTTGGCATGCACAATCCAAGAGGCCTGTCCTATCGTTCGAAAAAGTCCGTATCATTGCGCCGCTATGCCTCATTCCACAGCGGCTTTACAAGGCATCGGAGTGAACGCAGCTTTGATGCTACTACTTTCTCGGAGTCCGAGGACGTTGAACAGCTATCTCACATCCCCTCTGTTCCAATGCCTCTCCGCGTTCTTCGTAGACGACCTGGTGGAGACTTGAGGGCAGTTTCGAATGTAGGAGACCTCGGCATTCATCAACTTCGACGGCCAATGTCAACCGGATCATTAACGACATACTCCGAGTCAATCCGTAGTTCATATTTGTTAGGCCACCGATCGAGCGACTATGTTGATGTTAGGAACAGCGGTTACGATCAAATTGATGTTAACGACCAGACTTTCTCACTCGGTGCAATGGCTGAACCCGCGCCCAAGCCTCATGTCTCGCTCTTCAGTACACATTCGTCTCAACCAGTAATGCGCCCTTCATTCGAGAAGGAGGCTCAGATGTTGGCTCAAATCCCAGATGATATTGACGATGACGGCGGAGTTGAGTCAGCACTGGCCAAACTAGAGGGAAAATTTGAGAAGCGTCGATCTGATACTTCCGGCCCAAAGCAAGCTCGAGATGTCCCAATTCAGCACAACAGCTTCGGCCGACCTCCATATGATGCCGGTACCTTGGCCCTACAAGAGGACGAAGAGGAAAAGCGACGACATCGACAACGACACATCATTGAGCCAGGTGTTTCCAAGCCATCACCTGAATTACCAACGTACCGCCCACAGCAACGCCAAGGCCTCGAAGAACTAAAGCCTATGGTGTATCGACCCAAAGGAATGCAACCGCCACCAGAACTCAAACCAACAAGATCTATAGAGTCGTATAATTCTATCCCACTCCTGGAGCGGGGTCTAACTGAAGATGGATTTGAGAGAAGGCAACGGGATTGGTCAGAGCACTCTATTCTTCGTGGACCAAGCAATGAGCGACAAGAACATAACATGCAGACTCCAGAGTCATCTCATGTCAATTCCTTTGACTTCATTGAAGAAACTGACAGTATGAGGAGAGTCCCCACGGGTGACGCAAGGCCAAGCACCACTCACGAGTCTTTCTTGGACAGTGACAGTGACGCCAAGAGTGATCTTTCATCTGAAATGTCGATGGAGATCATCTCACGAATCGAGTATACCGAGCAAGGCTCTGGTGCGCAATCCTTCCCTCCCATGCGACCTGGTACTGTCGTCAAGGAGATTGAGCTCTCTCACCCTCTTCGTCAAACCCCCTCTCCACCAATCACTTTGGTTCAGGCTCTGAATCTTGGCCCGCAACCAACATATCTCCCAAGGGTCAATGAGAAGCAACTCCAATATTCACACAGCACGCTTCCTCCGACGCCAGAGATCACCCCCACGGGAGCCTTCTCGAAGGAATTTGGCGGGGAAAGGGGCGCATCTCCAACCATAGTTGACCCATTACGATCCCACCGCATACCTGAGCCCTCTCGGAAGACTTCAGTGCATCTGCCTTTCATCCTTGCATTTGACTCGCAGGTCCTAGCTCAACAATTTACTTTGATTGAGAAGGATGCTCTCAATGAAATTGATTGGAAGGATTTGATCGAAATGCGATGGAAGGATGTCTCAACTGAGTCGCGGTCATGGGTCGAGTTCCTGCGACTCTCAGAACCCCGTGGTGTGGAGGTTGTCATCGCACGTTTCAATCTGATGGTGAAGTGGGCAGTTTCTGAATGTGTTCTTACTCAAGACCTGGGAGAGCGTGTTCGTTGCATCATCAAGTATATCCACATTGCAGCACATTGTCGCAGATACCGCAACTTCGCGACTATGACCCAACTGACAGTTGCTCTCACCTCGAAAGACATTTCCCGTCTTACCAAGACATGGGCATATGTTCCGGCCGCCGATAAGGAGACTTTGAGACAACTGGAAATACTCGTCACACCAACTCATAATTTCCACAACCTTCGAGCCGAGATGGAAGGTGCTGGAGCGGATCAAGGATGTATTCCCTTCGTTGGAATCTACACACACGACCTTCTAGTTAACTCTGAAAGACCAAGTCAGATTGCCAGCACACCAACGACGGAGCCTCTAATCAACTTCGAACGCTGTCGTACAGATGCTACGATCGTGAAGAATCTTCTGAGGTTGCTGGAGGCTAGTTCACTGTACAGGTTCTTACCAATCGAGGGAATCACTGAGAGATGTTTGTGGATGGCTGCTTTGAGCGACAACGAGATTTCGAGATATGGCAAGGTCATTGAATGATCGGTTGCAAGTCATCCTCAACAATCATATATCGAAATCTTCGCACCATCAGTCTACACCTCCGCTGTATCCTCGCCTTGAACCAACCTACCTTCCCGGATCTCACAACTTCACTCCATCAAGGTGGACCTACTTCTTGTAATAACTTCGGATTCGGATTTTTGGGCCTTGTTCTTAATATTTCTCTTTTTTGGTGCATGTGCGCTTTGCTACAGTCATTACATTCTCTGTTTGTTCTTATTAACTCTGCCATGGCTCGACGGCCTCTCTTTTCGTTTAATTATTACACCTACGGTTATCGGTCATGATACACACGAATTTTCTTTTCTATTTTTGCTGTTGTCGTATGAACGAGAGCTGGCATACATATGTAAGGTTTTCAGGCATGATGTACGGGGAGTAGAGATTATTGTTGTGGGGATGAGCTATCACTGGCTTTGCTGTTGCGTTATCTGGGTGTAAATGGGATGGGAGTGGATGGGAAGAGGCCTGGGATGCTGAGAGTGGTTTGCATTGCATTTTGTTTTGGGGGCGTGGTTCGAGAAATGGATGGGATGGGATGGGATGGAATGGACGGTTATACCCTGTTTTGAGCGCGAGAGTAGGAACGGAGCAAGCACCCATTGTGATATACCTGTTGTGGTGGGAGATGTTCTGCTCTGGGAATTGAGATGAGAGCAGAATTGAAAAATTACATATGAGCTTCTAGCTACAATACTTGTCTTCTTTGCCCTTCTATGTGACATGTAGTAAACTCGAATGGAGAGTCCATGCTTCAGATCACCATTGCCACTTAAAAACTTGGTAGGAGCAATGTAAACTTCAAATGGACATTGCTCCTGCGAAGGGCGGTGGTATCCATCCAACCAATTTGTGATGGTACAGCGGACCAGTTTTTTAAACAGGGCTGCATAAATCAGATGTAAAATAAGCGAAAGATAAACAAACAATTCGTATGGCTGGTAAGATATGGTTTGGGGAAAGGCTTCTTGGCATAATTATGTGACTCTGTGCATCATAGTTTTCTTCGTACGGAATCGAATACATCTATGGACAATAAGGAGAGACTGTGTAGACTTGTGCCCTTTTCAAAAGCCAGCAAGGATTGCAAGGGGACCGCCTCGTTGCCCCTGAAACAAGCGTCTTGCCGAGCGCCAGTGACGTCTGTCTCAGGTTCATCTAGCCTCGCCCATCCAGCCCTCAACCTCAACTCAACAACAAACCAGCAACTAAAGCTCCAAAAGTACCTAGGTCTGCCAGCCCAGAGCTCGAGCAAGACAATTTAATTGCCAGACTAGATCTCGGCTTAAGTACGGAGCACAAAATGGCAGAGCCAACCCCAACAGAAGCACAATCTCAGCCTTCGCAGACCGAAGCCCAAATCCCAACAGCAGTTATCCTCCGCGCGCCATCTGTCCACAACAAAGTGCCACCCACACAAACACACTCAGGAGCAGCAGGAGTAGAAGCACAGCAGAAACAAACCTCGTCGCGGCAGTGGCAGGCCCCTCCCCTACAATGGCTTGAACGCACCTGGACCGTAACACACTCCACCCTCCCCATGTGGCGCAAAGCAAAGAACGTCCGCATAACGTACAAACTCCTCCCCCGCGCCACGCCCACCTCACCCCTCCTCATCGACGACGAAGTCTGCAGCGAGCCAACGGAAAAGACATGGATGCCGCAGCCGAAGAGTATACGCGGGGTAGATACGCCTGATGATAGTGTTTCCGGTGGGGCGGCGTGGAATTGGCGGGGGAGGGGCTGGTTGAAGGTTGCGAGTAGTCATTGGGAGATTTTGGGGTGGGGGGAATTTGTGGATGGGGAGGGAAGGAAGGAGGCTTGGGTGGTGACGTGGTTTGAGAAGAGTATGTTTACGCCGCCGGGGGTGGATGTTTATAGTGAGAGGAAGGACGGGGTCGGTGGGAAGTTGTTGGAGGAGATTAGGAGGGTGATTGCGGAGGGGGCGGCGGGTGAGGAGGTGAGGAAATTGTGTGAGGGTGAGGAGTTGAGGGGAGTGATGATTGATGATGCTTGATTTTTTTTGGAGTGAAGGGAGGTGGTCTGGCTTTTGGGATGCTTGGGTGGCGTAGGAACTTGTAATGGGATACCCAGTGGCAAATGATACAAGATGGTTGGTTTCAATATACTGCTGTATTGTACTTCTACTATTAAACACTAATCATGGTGCCTAGACCTATGTCTATGTCTATGCCGGTCCTCTTCACGATGAGAACTCCTTCTAGACTCCTTGTGTCTGTGCCTCCTCTCCCTGTCTTTTTCACTCTCTCTTTCCCTATCGCCATGTCGACTGGACGAGGATCTCTTTTCTTTTGTATCCAGTATGAACTCAATCGACTCTCCGTCTTCAGAGCCATCTTCCTCATGGTGGCGCCTCTTTCTCTTCCTCCTCCGCTCAGAGTCTTCCGACTGATGGTTTGGACCATCCAAGCTGAAGCCATCCAGCTCGTCTCTTTCCCGCCGCCGTTCTTTCCTCTTCCTCCTCTCTGCACGTTCTAACTCCTTGAGCTCCCTTTCCCTCTCTTCCATTAGAGCCTTCCTCTCCTTCTCAACTTGCCTAACCTGCCTAGCACCCGCCTTCATCATAGCCAACGGGTCATTATCAACCATCCTTTTTAGGGCCCTCTCCTGCCTCCTGGGATCCTCGTTACCCCAAACATCCTTCTGTGGGATTTCTCTGCCGTAATCCTCTTTGCCTTTGGTGTCAAAATTATTTGCAAATCTGGCTTTCTCTTTGGCCTCTTTCCTGTCTTCTCTCTTCTCTGTCCTTCTCAGAGCCTTTTCTTCTCTTCTTTCCTCACTTGCGGCATCAATAATGGCCTCCTTCTCTTCGAAACTCAATGCATACCAGGGCTTCTCTAATCCCTGCTTGAAGCCCGCTGCGTTGGAAAACCGCATTGTGTATTGATCTTCATACTCCTTCTTCTTCCGCGCTGCTTCACGCTCAGCCTCAGGGTTCTTCTCTGCCACTTTAGAGCTTGAAGGTATAGTCTCTGGGAAAAGAGATATGTTTCCTCGTTGGTCCACCAGGGGTGCTTCTGTCGGTTTACGTAGGACGAGCTGTTTGTCTATCTCCCTGACTTGGTCTCTATCCTCTGCGGCCATGCGCATCTCGAAGTCGGTATCGTTCTCCCCAGCCTTCTTACGTCTCTTCCTTTCTCTTCCATACCCATATCCGGGTGCACTTTCTCTTGCACCAGCTCCATCTTGATTCGAGTTCGAAGGTTGGGGGGCGTCTTCGATGGCTAGAGGGGTGGGTTCTTCGCCGCGCAAGATTTGCATACGTCGTTGCGCATCGGCATCTTGCATGCGCTCCTCTTCAGCGGCTTCGAGAGCTGCGGCGGCGGCTTCATCGCGCTTGACCTTCTCGATGTTCACGGTGTTGTACACATTCCATGATTTCTTGCCTAGGAGGTGGCTGTTGTATGTTAGCTTGTGAATAGGATAGAACGATGCGCAGAAGACCAAGAGTCGCAATGTGATCATTGTAAAGAATTTCACGATATGTCGACAGATTGGATAGACTTACAGAGGCATGATTGGGACTTTGAATTGGTGGTCCGCGACGTTGACGAAGAAATCCAACTCGAGGCTGAGAGCCTTCAGGTGAGGCTGCGTTGGTGTGGAGCAGGCGGCGGGGTTGGGGTTGGAGAGAGAGAAGCCGAGTGTCAGAGGCGCTTTGTCCCCCGCTGCCAAACCAGCACAAGACAACAGCTGCAACAGCACAGGAACGACCCAGGTTGGCAGCTTCATTTTGCAACACTTGTCATCACGAACGATAGAACGACTTTGGACGACATCACGCCCGCTTTAACTACCAGAAGAGGGATATCTGGTCTCTAAGGAGGAGTCATCGCAAAGGACACTTCCAGAACATCCTTGACCAGTCTGACGACGACAGAGCTCTGCCACAAGGCTGCCATTCGAAATATATCTGGCCTCATTATCATCTACTTAAATCGCAAAGAATACCTTTACTTACCATCCTTCGACGGTGAATCAGCGCATGAGCTTTTAAAAGTCCCATTTCCAGCTTAGACAATCATGAACATTCGACAGAATCTCTTTGGGCAGGGCCCGAAAGCTGGGAGGGAACAAGCGGGGTACGGACGACCACCTCAACCTCCTCCACGAGATGACACACCTATGGCTGGTGTATATGACGATCGAGCAGGCTATGGTGACGCAAGAGGAGGATATGGATCTCCTGCGCCGCCTCCAAGACAGTCACAGCCTATGCCTTCGAGACCGCCAGTTGGAAGGGGAATGGCGTCCCCTGCAAGAAAGGTGCAATTGAGGATTGCAAAGGTAGAAGACAAGACGCTGGCGAATCAGTATATCTTTGGCAATCTGTGAGTACTGAAGTTTCCCATATCTGAACTTGTTCTAACCAAACTAGATGCGCTGTATCGCCTCAAGACTTTCCCCCATCGCGAGACGGCTCGGATATCTACATACTTCTCAATGGACGGTACGTCGTAACGGCTAGACCTACCAACTCGTTCCCTCCAGGATGCATAAGTCTTTCGGATCCTCAACGGACGTGGTGCGATGTTGGAATGATGGATCCCATAGTTGCCGAATCATTCGACCCATTCTCGCAAGGCCCAAGCACATACCTCGGAAATCTCGATGTTGAAGTAGGATTTGCCTCTGTGAAGAAGGTCACCGACCAACCTTTTGATCAAGATATCCTGGCCGATGCATTTATCAAGAATTTCGAGAATCAGATCTTCTCCCCAGGGCAGAGGCTTTTGATGGATTGGAAGAATATCCCCTTAATGTTCATGGTCAAGACAGTTCAGCTGGTTGATCTGAGCATGGAGAAATCATCAGCGGCTGCGCCAACCGTATCGAGTCCTTCGGCTAGAGGCATTCTAACTAGACATACACCTATTACATTCTACAAGGATGCAAAGTCACCCATCAAGCTCAAGGGATCTGCGAAGCGGCCGGCCGCTAACTCGATCATTGCTCCGGATTTCAAGTTTGAGGACATGGGAATCGGTGGTCTCGATAAGGAATTTAGTTCCATCTTCCGAAGAGCCTTTGCTTCTCGTATTTTCCCTCCTGGCTTGATCGAGAAATTGGGTATTCAGCACGTGAAAGGCATCCTGCTTTTTGGACCACCTGGGACAGGAAAGACGCTCATCGCACGCCAGATCGGAAAGATGCTTAACTCAAGAGAGCCGAAGGTCATCAATGGTCCTGAGGTCTTGAATAAGTATGTCGGTCAGTCAGAAGAGAACATTAGGAAACTATTTGCCGATGCAGAGAAGGAGTATAAGGAGAAAGGAGACGAAAGTGGTCTCCACATCATCATTTTCGATGAATTGGATGCTGTGTGTAAGCAAAGAGGCAGTGGAGCTGGTGGTGGAACTGGTGTTGGGGACAGTGTTGTCAACCAGTTGCTCTCCAAGTTGGATGGTGTTGACCAGCTCAACAATATCTTGCTTATTGGAATGACCAATCGAATGGATATGATAGATGATGCTCTTCTGCGTCCAGGACGTTTGGAGGTTCATATGGAGATTTCTTTGCCGGACGAGGATGGCAGAGCTCAAATCCTCAAGATTCACACATCCAAGATGTTGGCTAACAACGTTATGGACCACGATGTCAATGTTGCTGAGCTAGCTCATCTCACGAAGAACTTCTCAGGAGCAGAAATTGGCGGTCTTGTCAAATCGGCGTCGTCATTTGCCTTCAATCGCCACGTAAAGGTTGGCACGGTGGCTGGTGTGAGTGATGACATCGAGAACATGAAGGTCAATAGAGCGGACTTTTTCAATGCTCTTGATGAAGTCAAGGCTGCGTTTGGTGTTTCCGAAGAGGAACTTGAGACAGCTATGACTGCAGGTATCCTCCACTACAGTCCATATATCGAAAACATCCTCAAGGATGGACGGCTATTTGTTGATCTCGTCAAGAACTCGGCTACGACATCCCTTCTGTCAGTCCTACTTCACGGTCCACCTGGCTCAGGAAAGACAGCGCTTGCAGCCAAGATTGCGAAAGATTCCGATTTCCCGTTCATCAAGCTTGTGTCAGCCGAAAACATGGTTGGCTTCAGTGACGCAGCTAAGATCCAGTACCTCAGTAAAGTCTTCACAGACGCATACAAGTCGCCTCAGAATATTGTTGTGATAGACAACATTGAGCGTATCATCGAGTGGGTACCTATTGGGCCAAGATTCTCGAATCCAGTTCTTCAAGCTTTGATGGTGCTACTCACCAAGCAACCTCCTGCCGTAAGTCACCCACTCATCTAGGTCCATACAGATGCTAACAATACCCAGGGTCGTCGTCTCCTCATCATAGGAACCACCTCTCAACGTTCTATCATGCGCCAACTCGACCTCCAACAAATATTTAATCGCGAACTTGCAGTCCCTAATATCAACACGCATGCAGAACTCGCCGCGGTACTACGCGAAGTGAATGCCTTTGACAGCGAATCCGACATCGCAGAGTCGCTGAACGAGCTGAGAGACATCACCGGCTCGGACCAGGTTGGTGTCGGTATCAAGAAGGTGCTGCTCGCCGTTGGAGAGGCGAAGCAGGAAGAAGGAAATACAGCAGGCAGGTTTGCTGAGGTTGTCGCTCAGCAGATGGCTTCTAGTCGCGAGTAGGGGAAAGGTGTTCTAGGTGTACAAATTGGGGCCATAGAGCTGTTAGATGGTTGGATGTAGTATTACAGTAGAGTAACGTTGATTTCAATTCCAGACTTTCTGTCCTGGCTGATGGGTCCTAAAGATTATTTGTTTACTTCAAGCTCGCTTCGCCGTTTGTTTAGCCACATGAACTTTCAGCTATGTGGTATGTATTTTTTTCTCGTCTCCGATGGAGGGGTCGCTCAATAGTGCTTGAGCGTAAACGTTTCTTCCAGCGATTTTACGAGGAGGATATCTATACACATCAGGTCTCCAACAGACCAGACTCAAAGTTGTCACAGTTATAATCCCCCTCCGTCTCATCCACAAACTAGCTTAGCGGAGAGTGACGGCTCTTGAAACAAGAAAAGCTCCTCCCACTTTCCATTTTTCGCTAAGATGAGGGGAAAGTGTTGAATAAGCACTAGCGTAGCCTGGAGCTACAGTCAAAAGTTAGAAGCTCAAGCTCATGTCGAGATGCAATTTCTCCCATTTAACTATCTTCTGATTGAAAGTATCAACCTCCGCATACCACTTCTAAGCCATGGCACGACCAATACCGTACAGCACAATCCAATCCTGGAAATCAACCATCTGCTCGAAGCCGGACCCATTCATAAGCTCCATCCCCAAAATCGAACTCCACGTCCACATCGAGGGCACCCTAACGCCCAGTCTCCGCTTCTCCCTCGCCGCCCGCAATAACCTCCCACCTAAATCCACGCGCCTCAACAAAACTTTCCATACCCTCTCGGAACTTGAATCGGCCTACAATCTCCTGGAACCAATCAGCATCAAAGGATCTGGTATCAGTGCTTTCTTCGATGCGTATTATGGAGGTATGGACTGTTTGAGGACGGAAAGGGATTTTTATGATTTGGCGTGGGATTATTTCGAGAGGGCAAGGGGGATGAATGTGAGGTATTGTGAGGTTTTTGTTGATCTTCAGGCGCATACCAGGAGGAATGTGAGCGTCGAAAGTGTGCTAGGAGGCTTGGGGTTGGCGAGGGAGGACGCTTGGGAAAAGTTGGGTGTTTGTCTCCCCGTTTTTCGTTGTTTACTCCCGTGGACTTCTCTGGAACTCGACTTCGTATTGTTCTGTGAAGCTGTATCAGAGAAGCACCCATAGTCAAGAAACTAACAAAACCATCAGCTCAAAGCAAACTACATTCTCTCCTTCCTACGAGACCTCTCTCCAGACTCAGCAATGGAGCACTACGAGCTCGCCCTTCCTTATCGAGAAATGTTCGTTGGCATCGGTCTTGACTCCAATGAATACGATCGGCCTCCTCTGCTTTTCAAAGAGCTGTATGAGAGGGTACGTGCCGATGGCTTCAAACTGACGGCTCATTGTGATGTCACGCAAAAAGACACGCATGAGCATATTCGTCAAGTAGTCGAGGAATTGGGGGGAACTGGGGCCGAGAGAGTGGACCATGGGTTGGATGCTGCCGAGAGAAGTGAGCTGGTGGAGAAGATCAAGGAGAAGGGGACGGGAATGACGCTGTGTGAGTTTACGCTTCCATGGAATCTGGGTCTCCCAAAATATATGGAAAACAGACTAGTAACTAATTTTGCTAGGCCCATGGGCATACGTTCGGCACCACACTGAAGCCAACTTATTCTCACATATGCGCACTCTCATGGATGCTGGTATCAAAATATGTATCAGTTCTGATAGTCCAGCATACGTCGAAAGTAACTGGGTCTCTGATAATCTGGCGTTGTTGAAGTTGAAAGGAGGATTTACCAACGATGATGTTGTGAGAGTACAGAGGAATGCGCTTGATATGTGTTGGGCTGATGAGAAAACGAGGAGATGGTTCAGGGAGATGCTTGAAGATTTCGTTGAAGGTTGGGGGGGAAAGGGAATGGAGAGTTTACCAAGCACGGATACTGTATCACAAATATAGCACAGTTTATCCTAAGACGTTTTCAGGATGCCCACACCCGTTATCTCATTTGAAGTGACCAAAGAGATAAACGACTTTAAGAAACTAGAAAGCTAACAATGCAATGAATGTTCCCAAGTCAACCTGAACAAAACAAATCAACCCAAAACGCAAGGCTGGAGGGATCTACTTCAAGAAGATATGCGCTAGTCACAAACTCAACCGGAATACGTGCACAATGGAAGGAAAACCTAGGAGCAGCAAACACGACATGAGAAGCTTAAGATGGGGAACATGCTTTTAATGGGTTTGTGTTGGACTCAAAATTCGAAGAGCAGGCTTCCATACGTATAATTAGTGGAAAAAGTCCTGAAAATCAATTAGACAATTGAACAAGGGAGGGACAAAAGAAACATGCAGATACCCAGGTATCGTACTTCTACGCTAGAATCACATAGCCAAAAGATAGCTATAGGTTTTCAGGCGCTATTGTTTAAACCTGGTTGTGTCCAAATATGTACATATCAATGTCCTCAAAACATTTTGACCCTTGGAAAAGTCAGGATCTTCAAGGATATGATGAAGTGATGAAGTGCTTGGAGGTCTCTCACTAGCGCCACTACAGTAACACAGCCTACCCCACTTGGACCTCACCATCTCAACTCACAAGGCTGAACGTCCGCCTCGTCTCACCGACTGAAAGTCACAATTTCCTTTCACGACTTTGAATCAGACATGGCATCCGATTCCGATTCCGATTCCGAGAGTGCCGCCATGGCTGCGGCCATGGGCTTTTCTTCCTTTGGCGGCAAACCCGCTGCTAAGAAACGAAAATTCAATCCCACCACGGACGCCTTCGTGGAAGGCCGGGCATTGGAAAAGCTGGACCGGGGTGGAAAGAAGGGAACGGGCAGTGGTGGCAATATGATACCTCTTGGTAAGACCAGAGTTATTGGGCAGAAGAAGGTTGTGGAAAATCATGAGGAGATAAATCTGGACGAAGACGATGAGAAAGATGCGAATGGTAGTTGGGATGGAGATAGGGATGGCTATTTAAGCAACGCGGCGATGAGAGGTAGTGGTGAGGAGCTGGATAGTAGTGAAGGCGAAGGACCACAGTATATCAATACAAGTCGGACGCCGCCTGCTGCAGAGGACGATGGACCACAATATATTGATACCAGCGAGCCTGCTCCCGCAATGCATCCTGCCTATGGAGCACCCATACATACTGAAACCAGCGAGCCTGCACCTGTTATAGCGGATCCAGTGTCAGAAGCTGAAGCCCAAGAAATGCAACGGCGAATTGATGCCATTCTCGAAAGTATAGGTTCTGCTCCTCCACCTCCTAGCAACGACATCGAAGCCCCACCACCTCCAGGAAAAGCTTCGTACTCACTACCACCGAATATGCCTCCACCGCCTCCGGGCCAAGACTTGCCTAATAGAGGTATTCCTGCGTTTGGGGCGGGTTCTGCTAATACGGCATTTATGCAAGGTGGTTCTAGGGGAGGTTTTGCTTCTGGAGGTGGAGGCAGGGGGGCGAGGAGTGAAGCTGGGAGTTCGTGGGGAGGGAATTCAAGGGGTGGGAATAGAGCTGGGCATGGGAATTCTGGTAGAGGTGGGAGGAATGAGAAGTGGTATCTGGGGTACTATGACGCGACGTTCAACGTCAATCCTTGGGAGGCATTAGAGAAGCAGAGAGGCTTGGAACCAGTTGGGTCGTGGTTGGAGTACCCCCAGAATCAGGATAGAGGTGGCCAGAGGGGTTGATGCTGGCATCGGCTTCGGGTTGGAGAATTGAGAATTCAAGTGTGTTAGAAGATACCCAGTATTTCAAAAGAGAGCATTGACTGTGCTTGACAGCTCGAAAACAGAATAGGACTTGCACTCAAGTTGCGGTGCGGAAAGATGCCCAAGCCACGCAAAGGTTGAGACAAGGTTCTATATTTGGTTTGTGACATTTGTTCTGAACTTGGACGAGATTTACAGGCCGCCAAATCAATCAAAGCCTTCGAAATCCGCCTCGGCCTTTTTCTGCTCCTCCAGATTCTTCTTCCTAACCAGCTCAATCAAAGCCTGCAATTCATCTTCCTTCTTCCTCTCCTCCTCCGTCATTCCCTCCAACCTCTCCGCCTCCTTCTTCCTCTTCTTCTTCTCCCTCCTCATCTCCTTGACGTCCTGCTGCTCATGCTTATGACTCCACGCCTCTCTCTCTTTGCGCTTGCGTACCACCTCTTCACTAGGCACATACGGCGCCTTGTTCTTCTCCTCTTCCATCGCTACCCTTCTGGCCTTCTCTCGAACCTTATCCTTGTATTCATATTCCGACAGATTAAGCTTGACGCCTAACGTCTTGTCGCCCTCCCATTTCTTCAATTCCGGCATCTTCGGTAGACGGACGAGACCCCATGCGTTGCCCAGCTCCGTCCATTCGAGATCTGCAACGCGGAAAATACTGCTCGCTTGGTGCTTCGAGTAGGCTTTTACCCAACTTACGAAAGCACGTTGGCCTTTGTCGTACAGAGCGCGGTCGGCGAGGACTTCTTTGCGCATTTTGGAGGTTACGAGAGCAGCATCATCGTCGGTGATTGTGATCACTGGTTTCTTGAGTGGTGTGATGGGCGTCTTGCGAACTTCGAGAAAAGGTATGTAGTCTTCTTCTCGACCTGGTTGGAGGAAAATTACACTTAGTCCTTTTCGGCCAGCTCGACCTGCTCGGCCGCAGCGGTGGAGGAAGACTTTGGGATCGGAGGGTGGGTCGATTTGCACGACTAGGTCGACTTGGGGGATGTCAAGCCCGCGTGCTGCCACGTCTGTAGTGAGGAGTATTGAAGGAGTAACTGTTGTGATATATTTTGCGAAGTTCTTTTGGCGGACGTTCGGCGGGTGCTTTCCGTGTAGCGGGATGAGTGTGAATTGCTTCGGGAGGAGGGCGGCAAGAATATGCGTAAAGTAATCGACGGCTGCGCAAGTCGAAAGATATATGATACTCTTCTGAGGGGTAGGATCCAATTGAGATAGAAGGGATAATAGAGCCGGGAATTTGTGTGTCGGTGGTGTCAAGAGATATGACATCTGCAGACTTGCTGGCGTTCGCTTGTCGTCCCCAGACGCACTTTTCACTTTGACGGCGATCTTCACCGGGTTCCTCAATCCTACCCGTACAATCTCTCCCACGGCTTCGCTCACGCTGGCACTGAACAGTCCCGTCCGTCTTTGTTTGGGTAACCGGCCAAGGATCTTCTGTAAGTCGTCTTTGAACCCAAGATCAAGCAGCCTGTCTGCTTCGTCCAGAACCAGCACTTCGAAAGACGATTGTGGACAGTGCACATGCGGAGAAGATAGCAGCTCAAGTAATCTTCCAGGAGTGGATATCAGGAGGTTCGGGCTATTCTTCAGGAATCTGCTGAGATCTTGAGCTGGAGTCGTTGTTCCGCCAAGTAGGAGCTGCGGCACAACGCTGAGAGTCGAAGAAAGCTTCCTCTTTTCTCCTTCTTCCAATGGCTGCAATGCTTCCGCAGACGGCTGATGAAACCCCAATAAAGTCAGAAGGACGGAGTGTATCTGGGTTGCGAGTTCTCGTGTTGGTGATACGATTATTGCGCCGACATGGTGCTTCTTAATGGGTTCTTCTAGCCGCAGTAACTTCTCGACAACGGGGATGAGGAATGCTAAGGTTTTCCCACTACCTGTCACAGCCTATAGAGTATAAGTACTGGAATATACTATGGACACCGGAATCTCGTACCTCGACTACAACATCTTTATTGCCCATGAAGAGGGGAATGGTCGAAGCTTGAACGGGCGTCATTCTGGCAAAACCCATAGCGGTAATCGCATCCAGAACCCATTCTGCCAATGGGGGCGTCAGAGCATCCCAAGCCCTGGGATCTTTCTTTTTGTCGGCATCTGGAGCCATGGTGTTAAGGTTGTCTTTCCTGTTCTCAAGCTGATTTTCTCCCGCCTCCAAAATAATTTCTCATGCGCGTGTTATCGTTATCGCCTAGCGCGCCGAGATATCGGACTTTTGATTATCCTGACCGAGTCTCCTTCAGCTGAGGAAGGGAAGCAGCTTGTAATCTATTCAGATAAGCTTGTCTGAAATTTTTTTGTGCCTTCGTGATATGGAGATTCTATTTGAAGAAATGCTCATCGTTCAATGTTCCCGAAAAACCACCAACTACTAGTTTTGTGGACCATAATTGCTGACCAATGATACTCGCTTGTTTCCAGACCATTTTCGGACTTCTAGCTGCATGAAGCCTTGGTGTTTTGATAAGGTCTGTATTTCTGAAGTACCCGGGTTCTGGTGAGAATCTGGTATTGACTATCTGTTACACTATTTAACAACTATAAGTTTTATAGCTTGTCCCTATGGATGGTTTTGATGTTGAAAGTACACATGTGACATACCTTAAAATAGGTAGGCCCCTGCTGTCGCGTGCTTACCTAAAATGCCATCAGCTGCAAAATGTTCCTCCTGAAGTGAGACCCTTCGTCATTTTACAACCACCACCAACCTTCACTCTGTGTGCCAGGTCAACGGCGCAAAGAAAGTCATCATATCTCTCTCCAACGATGAAGCGCAGTCCTGCTGTGCAAGCCCCTCTCTGTTGGACCCGATAGCCTCGTCAGGCCTTCCTACCACAATACGCGCTTCACGCAAAGACAAACATCTCCACTCTAACCTTAACCCTCCGCGCTGGCTTTTTCGACTCGCTGAAGTTGCACGGCAAGTTACGGGCTCTATCCGAGTACCCTCTCTCCCACCCTTCACTATGTCACGCTCGTCGTCAAATTCTATTCCGGCGACTCCGAGAGTCATTTCACCTTCACCAACACCTTCTGAGAGTCGTGAAGGCTCGCAGGAAGGATACTTCGGACCAGTTACAAGATCTGCACGGAAGAAACAAGCGGTATCTGAGGCACCTATAGACGAGGAGATCGATGAGGATGAGGAGGATGTGAGCGCTGAGCTGAGGAGGGCAAGGTCAAAGAGTCGGAGCCCGATGAGAGCGCGGAAGATCTCTGGCCTTACATCTGCAAAACCAGCAACAGAACCCGCGACGAAACCACCGAGTCTGGCGCCAAATGGGAATGGACATGCGGCAGCGACAAATGGGCACCTTTCACCTACGAGCGCCAGTTCAGGCTGGAGCTGGAGAGATATCAGTCGAAGCCCGAGTCCGCTTGGACTGATCCCTATCCACAGACAATGGCGATCTTTTGTCCACCGACACGAAGTACCGAGAAAAGTATTGCACGTATCTATTGGATTCTTCACTATCTGGCTCTATGTTTCTGGGGTTCAGACCAACGCCATCACTCCTTATCTAATGTCGGCACTGGTCCCCATCGCGGCTACAGACTATCTACGACACAAATACCCTTCACTAAATAGATTCTACGTTCGTGTTCTCGGCGCGCTTATGCGAGAAACCGAGTATGCTGGGTGGAACGGGGTCATCTGGTATCTTCTTGGTGCCTGGATCGTGCTCGGGTTCTTCCCCAAGGACGTTGGAGTCATGGGAATCCTTCTTCTCAGTTGGTGTGATACAGCGGCTAGTACAATCGGACGAGCGTATGGACGTTATACGCCGCGGATCAGACGCGGAAAGTCGTTAGCCGGTTCTCTGGCGGCATTTGCTGTTGGTGTGATCACTGCAGCTGTGTTTTGGGGATGGTTAGCACCACGAACTGGCCCTTTTATCGATGACATCGACTGGCCGTTCATGTTTACTGGAACCTTGAGCTTACCAGCTGCGGTCAGAAACACTCTCGGTTTGAGCCTTGATAAAGCTAGCATCTCGGATGGGTGGGCTTTGGGAGTAATGAGTTTATGGACAGGATTTGTGGCATCAGCAAGTGAGGTTGTTGATATCTTCGGATGGGACGACAATTTGACGATACCGGTTCTCAGCGGGATAGGGATGTGGGGATTCTTGAGGATCTTTGGCTAGATGGACATGAGTAATTGCCCGAGGGCTATACTGGAACTACAGGAGATTAGGCGTTTGGTGGCACATAGCGCACACTAGAGTAAATCCAAATACAGGAATAATGGCCCCCCTCTCCGGTACTCCACAGCACCCGCTCAACTGCAGAAGCAAAAGCAGAGGCAGAGGCAGAGGCATGTGGAGATTCGCTGGTCATGCAGCAGATTTTGATCCGACTCTGCTTACCTGCCTACGGAATGAGCATGGATAGGGAAATCGGCCAAGGAGTGTCTTCCGATCTGCCAGACTGCCTTGCCTTTCCAAGAACGACGCTTTTTTCGCCTTATGAGTGCCATTGGTTCCAAAGCTGTCCATTCACAGCCCTGCCCTGCCCTGTAACGTTCGGCTGCGACGCTGCGCACCGCACCGTTAGAATCGCACAGCGAACGGAGACTTGCCTGCGGGTTCTTTTTCTTCTTCTTGCTGCAGAGGATTCTCCCGGTATTCGGAGACATGGTAGGCATAACAAGGTATCAGTTAAATGAGTGTATGTGTGCTACGGTCAATCTTATAGCGTAGACTAGATGAAGAGAACGGACCACTGAGGAGGACCAGTTGTTTTGATTCTGGATCTGGCTTACCGAGTACCCCCTCGGACCAGGATGTTGGGTTGTGCGTGGATGACTGAATACTGACACGGACAGGACTGGCCAGTCATAAATTTTGCTCATTATTATTTTTCTCACTACAGCACCTCAGTTTAATTCTCAAAACCACCCCACCCCTGGAGAGATGGCTGGTCAGGTCGAGTGGAAGGCCCGCAGCTTGGGTGCATCCTGTGATCGATGACTAGCAGGAGACTGGTCGATAGTTGGGCCGTGGAAGTTCTGAAAGAGTTCGTTTGGGCAGCCCTGGATGGGATATTTGGGCCAGGTCAGCCAGGTCAGCCAGGTCAAGCCCTCCAGTCTCCATGCCCACGCCAAATGGAGGGGTGGAGGGGTGGAGGGGAGGTGGCTCGTGGAGGGGTCGTCATTTGGTGCAGGGGTGTTGCAGGCGCATTTTGCAGGGCAGCCAGTGCAGCCAGCCAGCCAGCCAGCCAGCCAGTCCAAAAATTTCGGCTGGCTCCTGGCTCCTGGCTCCTGGCTCTGGCTGTGTTTGACAACGCACAAAAAGTCGAGCATCATCCACTTCGGATATCCTCGCTCGTTCGCATACATACATACATACATACATACATACATACATACATACATACATATACCGTCAACCTTACATATGCATCCCAGCCCAACATCGCCTTCACTCCGTCCAACACCAACACACCACCACGCCTCACGCAACCAGCCAGATCTCATCTCCTTCCCTCATGCAGCCCATCTTATCCTCTCCTCTCCTCTCCATCGCGACCGCCGTGTGCCGTGACTGCTTGCTGCTTTTGCCCCGCCACTAGTGCCAGCGCGCTTGCTCGTTTGTTCCGTACCATATCAAAGCAGTTACCGTTGCCCTCGGCGGGGTGTAAACCTCCTACTACGAACGAGCTCGAAGCCCCCTCTCCCTCCTATCCCACCAATCCCAAATGCACTTCGGCACATGCAATGGCATGACGGCTATCTCTGAGCAATAGAAACTCCCGTCCAGGCCAATCCGCGCCGGGTGTGTAAGCCAGGACCCCAGGGATCACCCCATCGTCCTCCTCGTGCATGCTTGGACGCCGGATGGGACAAACTAGAGAGCGCGGGAGCGCGGATCGGAGACGTTGGAGGTATGGGTCTAGGCAGGAAACTCACGGCTGATCAGCCTATCTTCCTTCCTCCTCGAGCGGGGTCAGAGAGGAGAGAGATACGGAGGAAGGATGAAGGGGTCAAGTCCATCCCCCTCGATGGTTGGCAGATTCTCTAGCGAGAAGGGCCTTCTCAGAGGTATAAAAGGGAGGTTGAGAAACTGTCTTGCGGGTTTTCCTTTCTCTTTCCTTTCCATCCGTTTGCACTTCAATCCCAGACTTCTTCCTTCTACAAACAGTTTGTCCTACATACAAACAGAACTTCACTTCACACCCACTCCTCTCTGACACATACTCTTACCTTTGCTTGACGTTTGTCACTTCATACACCCATATCAATTACCGCCTCGCAAACTTCTTTCTCTCCCACTATCTTATTGTCGTTTGACATCACATCACTCATCATGGCCTACCAAACGAGTTATTACCAGACCACCTCCCTCCCCATGGCTGTTCCCCACAAGGGTCAGCAATACTACACTCCTCAGCATCACGGCTACTCAGTTTCACCTCCCGAGGTTCCTGAGTCGGTCACCACCGGTTCGCACATGGGCCATTCCGCATACTCTGCAACTTCGAGTAGTTACGCCGGAAGCGCCAGCGGCGAGTACGACAGCACTTCTTCTGCCAACGGCGTCGATATGCAAGAATACATGCAAGATCGATTTGCAAGCACATTTGATCCGCTTCCTCTCGATCGCACTTTGGCTGTTCAGACACAAACGTAAGCTTCCGCCCCGCGATCATTTTGCATTTTCTGACAATGCAAACAGATCAGGATTACTGAATGCGAAGCATCGAGAACTTCTCGATTTGCAAGCATTAGCACAACAGCGCATTGCAAAATCAAGAGCCAGATTGGCTGAAGGTTATCAAGATGCGAAGGAAGTGAAGAGAGATTTGGAGTGGACACAGAAGCGCGTTTCGTAAGTCGCCAGCTCACTTTGCGATGTCCAAATTCTCGCGTATTTGAATAATCGAACTGACACCAATTTCCAGAACGCTGAAAACAAAAGCTTCCCGCAAACACCCCAAGGAATACAAGCAAGCTCGCGCTCGCTATCCATCACCAGAATACTAGATTCTGCATTTCCGTCATTTCCTATCATACCCCTACAAAATTTCCCAATCCGGCAATCTGTTGTCGTCGTCGCTTCCCCCCTGTCTCAGTTTCATTTTCATGTACATCACAAGCCGGCAGTCAGGTCAGGTCAGATCCGTAGACGCGGCAGGCGACGTCCAGCGGCTAATAACCGCTGGCGGCGACACCCCACACCTTGCCTGCCTGGCTGCTGCTTTTAGGTGCGGCGGCGTTTATTTCCTTGTCCTGCTACGACCGCTTATGACTTATGATTGGACGGCTGAGAGCGAGTGGTGTTCCACTGCTGCGGGCGCGCGGGAACTGCAAGCTTGTGCGTCGGCGTGCGTGCTGGCCATGACCTGCATGAGCCGGCAGAGTCTCGCGTGGTGCCCTGCGTTCGGGACGGGCGGGAGAGAGTGGAGGTGCATTGCTGTACCTGTACTAGTCCTGGGACTGGGACTGGTGGAGTGCCAGGAGCGCCAGGAGTAGAGTGGAGCGGAGAGTGTGTGTCGTGTCCCCTAGCTAGGATACGATGAGATCTGGCTACAGGGGGCGTCCACTGGGCGTGAGAGTGGATACGAGAGACTACAGCGCTCCATACTCCTTTTCTGCATTTTCTACCTTTCCGGCTTTCAAACTATGCTTCTTTGGGGGGTTAATGGCTGTTTCTGGTTGGGATTCTTACTTCTTTGGGACTGGCTTGCTTGAATTTTGGGGTAGATCCAGTTTTTTGGCCTGCTAGTAGTGGTGTTGCGATTTTCGTACCGATATCCAGACATACAGAGAAAAATTGGACTGTTTTAGTACAAAAATTGAAACATCATTATACTCTTTTTGGTTGTTCTAGCTTCTTTGAGCTTGTGAATGTGTGATTTGAGTGGTTGAGAGGGAGAGGATACTGCCTCTTTTGAGAGTAAAGTTCCAAGTATGCCTTCATGTAGCTTAGAGTGGAATCATGAATGGGTACCATGGGTAAGAGGGGATTGGGATGGCGAAGCATGACCACGCCACGCCCTCTGGCCTTGTGGAGAGAGCGTGTGAGACATTGGATACTCGTGACCTTGACACTCTCTTTCTGGGTGGCGTCTTCCCGTGACATGTAGAAGTAAAGTGTGGATGAAGCATGACATGATATGACATGACATAATCAAAAGTAAGAAACGTGGCTATTGATTGGTGTGGATGGCTGGTCATGGTGAGACGCGAGACTAGGCTGGGCTGGGAAGGGAGTGTGATGGAAAGGATAGATGGATGTGAAGTAGATGTATTGGGCTGCTAGGTTATAGGACTATAGACTTTCGGCCATTAGACAATGAGAAATGTCGGGTCTGCTTGGAAGAAGAGTGTAATAGAAAGGGACGGATATAGCTGGACACGTCATGAGCTTGGATTCTATCAGGTAGACTTTCTGGGGAGTTGTAATTGTACTGCGTGACTTGAAAGTGGCTCGTGAATCGAAGAAACTTTTTTTTTAAAAAAAAAAGCAGTAATTCATTGCATATGTACTCGTTCATATAATACATCGCCTCAAAAGGGCATCCAGACAGTTGAATTTGGAGTTAACGCAAGGCGAGGTGTCGCCGTGCCGGTGACATTTTCGGAACTCGCTTCCGCATCACCTCGCCTCGCCGCCTCGCTAAAGTTGTTTTCATTTGTCGGCAAAGCAAAGAAGCGATTCAACGCCGCGACAAACAGGAACGTCAAAAAAAAAAAAAGAATTGCAGCGATGCCGCGACGGGATGGGAAGGATCCAAAAGGGGAGAAGCAACCAGAGAGAGACAGAAGAGAGAAAAGAAAGAAAAAACGCAAAAGAGAAATCTATGGTGCCGCGCACAGAGTGGAGGGAACAACCTTGATTGCGATCTCTGCGGGCTGTTTGTCGATGCGGAAATCCAATTACTGTTGGATTAGGATGGAAGGGATGGAATAGGACGATGCGCAAGGGAAATTGAACAAAGAAAAATGGTATGCTGGATATTAGAAGATGCTGTGTAGGTTAGAACCCCGGCACTGGGTAGAGGTTGACATGAGTGATAAGTCATAAGCAGATCCTATGAAGGGTTCAAATCGAGCTGTGGGAAATACAACAGGGCTCGGGCCTGAAGCCACGGCGGACCTCTACTAATTCTTTGTGCCGGGGCGACAGAACAATGCATATTTCTTTATTTAAACCTGCTATTGATCTGTCGGCAAGTGCGGAGCGGGCAGCCTGGCTCCGGAAATCTTCCGAGGAAAAGTGAATTCAAACCGAATGAAGCTATTCACTGCCGACGACGGGACAGTTACGTGGGAACACGCTTGATGCCTCAAATTACTAGTGGCAGTATAAACTAGCCAACTAAGAACTTCGCTAAGAGGGTATATTCTGGCCGCGCTCCTCTTTCCTTCTTTCAAATTTGCAACTACTACATCCTCAACACCACCTGCCTTTCAACGCAAACCCAACTCATCTTCTCCAACACACAGCTCTTGCTTTCTTCTTGCGATTACATCATACAGTAGTCATGGCTTCTCAATCCGCATCGCACTATGTCCCAACCAGTGAACTGCTGGCTTTTACTCCTTCGAAGCTGAACTTGCAAATGAGTTCGTCGATGCTCTCAGAGCGAGCCCTGGACATTGAACGCATAGATGCAGATGGCTTGACGGCTTGGTCGTAACTAGTTATGCGCAAGTCCACGGGTGCTCGCACCACTATGCCCTTGGTGTATTAATTCTAGCGACGCTGTGTACTATATCGACTTTGGAGGTCTCGGTCCGCTGTCACTGAACTGCGCCGATGGCAGACACCTTTATTCGGTCCGAGATAGTATGATATAAGTCGCTATTTATCATCATCATCATTCAACTGGTGACATTGGATCCACTCTTGCTGTTCCAGTCGGCCGACTCATTGGTGAGTAAACACGATTTTGGCATCCACCCGTCAAACCACCCTCGACCATCCTGTCCATTCAATGTCACTTTTTTGTTTCAGGACATATGCGAAGCAAATGTGCTGACTTGAATTTTCTCTACTTTCTAAGAATGGTGTCAGTCCGGTTGCCCTATCCAGATGGATTGTCTTGTGCGACGTTGACAAGCACCTATGGGCTTGCTATGCCGATGATGTTTCCGCACTTGATACAGATTCCTTCTCACCTGGAAATGCAGCCAAGGGATATACATACCACGCCAGTGACGACAATGCTTTCTACGCCAAGAAGGATTAGGGTCAACTCGTCATCTTTATGTGAAGGGTCGACCATCAACAGTTTGCCGAGAGTATGGAGATGGTCAGCGTCCGGCTATTCGATGCTAGTTGGACCACGACCGCTTCCAAAGCCGTCAACAATGGGAATATCGGTTGTCAAATGCCAGAGATCGGTTGTCGAAGATTGCGCGCCGTGGATTTGAGGGGTGTCCGAACTTCCAAAGGATTTTTGATTTTCACCATGTCGCCAACGTCGTACGATACTCAGGATTTCGGAAGCAGCTCAACAAGTTGAGCGAACCCAAGGTTCTTGGTCGGCGTGTCACGGAGGCTGCGTTTTTGAAGGTTCTGCTCCGGAAGTGTGCTGCCTGGGACGCTTCTGAGTTATCCAGAAAGCATCCTGGTGGAGAGATGCTTCACAAGAATAAATTACTGAGGGACGCAGTAGACCAGGTATTTTATTTATCTCCTTCAGTACGTGCTATGCTGACAGAAATCTAGCTCGTTGGCACGGAGTATCGGAATCGTGCTGGCAAACTGGTCATCAAGGATGACGTTGAAGGATGCTGGAAGGAGAGAGCTCTGCTATGCCCAGGCTTGGATGTCGATGTAAGTCACATACTCTATGTATATGCTGTGTTATTGTGATTCTGATGTCACATGCAGTTTCTGGCTTACGACATGACTGACGCTGAGCTGGCTGAGGAAGATGCTAGGCTAGCTGAGGAAGTTGAGATGGAGCATGATATCCAGATGGGAGAAGCACAGAGCGATGAGAACGAATACAGTGCTCCAGAGACTGAGAAAATGGTGCTCGTGCAGAGTCCGTTCCGTCCCTTAGAGATGGAGATGTAGTTGACTTGGATATGACTTCATATGATTTGGGGACTTACTTGTACTGCACAATCGACCCTGTCGATCGGACGCTGTCCGTTTAGGTGGATGTCTTTGGAGTAAACAAACAGAGTCTTATTGTCCTTCATAATCTAATTGAAAATCACACAAGAGCCAATGTCGATTCCCACTCAGTCTGAGGACAATCCCACTATTGGAATACAGTCAAATCCTTGAACACGCCAACCATGTAAGTCGGATCACAGACTCTCTTTCGTGTCCGACTGGACAGCTGTTATCAATGTAACTAGGTAGAGTCCCATTGTCCAAAAAATAATTACCAGCTTTGAACTGAGAGTCGATGTCAGTTCCCACCTAGCATGAGGACAATCTCACTGCTGGATCGAGGGGCCGCGGTCACAGCTCAGAGTACTGCCATCGATATAAGAAAGTCAAAGTCCTGATTGGAAACTTATGACATTTGTTCTATAAATGCACCACATTTATGGGAGAAACAGAATACTCAATCCGTAAGATGGACTTGGTTATCCTGGGATGGGTGATAGTTGAGACCAAAAAAACGAATGGACAAAAGGATTGCTTGCGAACAAGAGCGCGGTACAATGTGGGTTTGAGTGCGAATGGTACAGAGCAAATGAGGAGTGCTACTGCGAATATGTTTCCCCGCAGATGTTGGTGTATGTCTCTGCATTATCTCGAAGAGAGGTGGAGAGGTTAGACCAGAGGAACATACATTGATGTATGTCATGAGAAACCGAAGAATTAGGAGAAGAAAATTACTTCTCAAAATTGGGCAGCTGAAGGAATGATGAAGAGTATGGCTTCGTCCTTATCACAGAATTTACTTCACACAAGAGAGGCGCATTGGGTTGCTTTGCAGAAGATTTTCTTCTATGCTAGCGCAAGTTCTTGCTACATTACAGATCTGAGAACGCAAAGGCGGAACGCGATTAAGCAACCCCAATGTTTGGCAAGTACAAGGCTTTCCCTCTATCACTGAATGAGTGGACAGTTCAAGAGTATCTTTCCTTCATGAGTACTGACCAAGTTGACCCTTGGCCACAGCCAGAATGCAGAATTACCATTTTTGCGAACAAGAAATTTACCATTGCTCGGCTGGCTTGGCATCAGCAGCTCCCCAGTTGTCGGCAGCGGGTGTTGATTGAGCAGCCCAGTCCTCACCAGCTCCAGCCTCCCATCCAGCACCAGCAGCGGCAGGTGTGGCAGCAGCTCCAGCGAATGCAGTAGCCTGAGCACCAGAAACCTCCCAATCACCTCCGGATGCGAAAGCAGTATCAGCAGCTGGAGCAGCCTCCTCGACCTTAGCCTCCTCAATGGCCTCCTTGTTTTCTATTTTATATTAGCAATGTGCCATAAACACCTTGAATGAAGAGCATACCCTCAGCCTCAGGATCACGGTAGAAGTAAAGATCGACCATGACATCCCACTCAGCTTCGCGAGAAGCGATGGATCCACGGAGTCTCAAGACCTCACGAGCCAACATCCACCAGACCAAACCAATGGAGTGACGGCCCTTGTTGTTGGTTGGGATAGCGACATCGACGAACTCGGTTGGGGAATCAGTATCGCAAAGAGCAATGACTGGGATGTTGACGTAGGAAGCCTCCTTGATGGCTTGAGCATCGGTACGGGGATCGGTGACGATGATGAGGCGGGGTTCCTTGAAGGAGCGGGTGATGTAGTTGGTGAAGTTACCAGGGGTGAAACGACCAGCAATGGCGACGGCACCGGTGTGGGCTGCGAACTTCAAAACAGCGCGCTGTCCGTAAGGACGAGCAGAGATGACACAGATATCGGCGGGGTTGTCGACAGCTGCGATGATGCGGGCTGCGAGGACGATCTTCTCCCTGAATGCGGAATTTGTCAGCTTGTGATTCTTTGCGCCTGCGCAGAAAGTAATTCCAAGTGTAACGGGTTGTGCCAGAATCGCGCGTACCAGGTCTTGCCAATGTTGATGACATTGATTCCATCAGGGCGAGTCTTCCAGAGGTATGGTTCCATGTGAACCTGGAGGTTCTTGGATCCAAGGTGGCATTGAGCGCTCAAGAGCATCTCAATATCCTGGCTGGTAGGGTTGAAGATGGGGGGGAGTTGAGAAGGCGCCATCTTTGCGGTTGTTGTTAATTGGAATTGAAGTTGATGATACCTTGCGCCGAGAAATATATTTTGTGTGCGGCGAGCTCAAAAGTTCGTGAGATTTAACCGAAAACAGCTATCCTGATTGCAGTTAGCCAGCGTTCAGCCTCGCATTAGTGCCTGAGGCGAGAACAGGCGGCCGCAACTTGGCAGCAGCTCAGAGAATCTTTAGTTTGGTGTACTGAATGACTTGAGCAGCATCAGTTCAACCACATTCCACGATGCCTCCTCGAATACCCGCTCCGTCGCGCTTCGGCGTGGCAAACTGTAAGTTCTGCTATATGTATAGAATTTCGCATCTGACCCTATGCTCAGTATGTTTCCGGCCAAGCCCTTCAAATGCCCAACTCCCTACCGTTTCCGCCGCCCATTTGGTCACAATGGCACAGAGGAGGAAACACAAGGACCCATACGCTCTTGCTCAAGCAAAGCAAAGGAAAGACGCAAACATGTCACGAAGAGCCGAACTTCAGCAACAAAGAGAAGCTGCAATGGGAGATCCAGTTCGGGGCATTACCACACCATTTGTCGAATCGTTTGACAATGTAGGGGGATCAGATGTGATCAGTGAAGCTGTAATCACAGAGGATGGCGTCGCAATCAAAACCGCGGACAATGCCCTCTTGAATCATTTCCTCAGACCATCCGAGCTCGAAGCATCTATCAAGCATTCCTACGCCTTGACTGAGCCGGTCGTTTCCAAGATTCGAGATTTTGCGGATCCTGCTATTGAAGCAGAGGAGAAGAAGAGGCATGAGAAGGGCCACGCCAATGCTGTCGCTGCTATGGCCAGAATTGTCAGTCTAGCAAATGCTAGCCAGAAGGATAAGACCAGGGCGAATGTTGTTCGAAGCATTGAGACGTTCGGACGACATAACACAGACAAGGTGCTCAAACCCAGAGCATCACCAAACCCGGCAACTCTTGGGGACAAGCCACTTCCAGAAAAGACACCAAGGGCTGGTCCAGATACTGGTAGCTCGGAGATTCAAATTGCTATTTTAACGGCTAAGATAAGGGTCCTTGCCAATTTATTAGAGTCGAAGGCTGGAAAGAAGGATTACGTCAACAAGAGAAATCTGAGACTTTTGGTACACAGGAGGCAGAAGTTGTTGAAGTACTTGCGGAAGAAGGAACGTGGAGGGGAAAGATGGCAGCACTTGATCGAGACTTTGGGATTGACTGAGGGGACATGGAAGGGCGAGATCAGTCTGTAAATACTTGTACATCATATACCACCAAGAACTGTATGATAGAGGCTATGAATTGTACGAAGCAATTTGTAAAGCATTACCCGTGATCTCCCAGCGCCAAACCAGCCAACAATAAAACCTACAAACCCTGGCAACTTGAGCCTGAGTTGAACTGAATGAATATCAAACTTAGTGATCTAGAATACACTGATGTAGTTGCCAATCCTCTCCTTCTGGTTCTGAGCTATACACTCAGCAATCCAAGTGATATTCCGGATTTCCTTCGCAATATTAGTAGAGACCCTTGAAAATATCTGTTTACAACATACCTGCTCTCTCAACTTGACCCAGGCGTAGACAATTGCGAATGTGAACTGTCTTGTGAAAGCGCTCTTGGATATCTCCATCTCTTTTTGATAGAACATGTCTTCCAAGCTCTTGCCATCTCCACCAACTCCACCACTCATATTGCCGGCTCCAGTACTGGCCTGTCCCAATCCAGTTGCCTCAAAATAACCCTTGTAGTCACTAACACCATCAACTGCCAATCTGACACCCTCGATGTCGTCCGCTCTGGAAAGCATGAAGGAACCTTCTGGGTACAAACGACCGAATGTGGGGTATAACTTCTTGCGCTCAGTCTTTGAGAGTTCCGTGCCGAAAGAGTTCAATGTGATGTTGATAGCTCTTCGATCCGCCTCAAACTCCAATATCTCTGTCATAACTTCCGCCGTAGGCGTGCCTGCCATCTCGGGATCGGTATTCACGAAATTGTGGAAATCCTCCAAGTAGTTCTTGTACAGCGTATTTCGGACAATCTCGATATTCAATTCGTCCAGATCTTGATGGCTCAAACTTCCCTTGAAATATGGTGCAAGTGGTGTCTCGATCAAAACACTATTGTACAGTTCCTCGATGTTGGTCGCAACGCAGAGAACTGGCATTGTCTCAAACCAACCAAGCGGGTGGCATCTTTCCAGTAGCTCGCGAGTATCTCTTTCGTGGAGGGTTCCAGTAATCAGAAGAGCAACGTTGTCGATCATGTAGCCATAGGTGAGGTAGTCCATGAACTTTGCCAGCGATCCAACTGCATTTGCTCGTACATATCGGAACTCGGAGATCAATTTATCTGTCGTCTTTGCTGCAAGAGTTGAAGTCGAAGGGTTTGGAGGGAGGGATGCTAGGAAATCGCCGTATGCTGGACCGAGCTGGAGCTTGAGATCATCGATAGTCTCGCATTGGATTAGATTGTTGTAGTTTTGGCCAGTCAACAGTCCATTGCGGTATCCTCGCACAATACCCTCAATATAGCCATTGTTGACGTTGAAAAAGAGGCCTTCCATTTTCGTAGATGGTTGTGAGGAGTGTATAAGGCGTAGGAATTACGATTAACCGCTTTCGTTGAGCTGCCTGCCTCGATGAAGCTATCCAGCGCCGCGTCATGTGACTGAGTACCAGAAAGAGGCTAATCCCATATAGGCTTAGAACTGAAATCCAAAATGCTGCTCAGAACTTTTTATTTTTTGCGAGTCGGTTAGAGCTTCACAAACCTCAAGTATTTTTCCCCCGCCAACATTACGGCTCCGAATACCTTTCAGTCAAAATGGGCTTATTCGTTCTGAGCGAGACGTCTGCAGGCTTTGCCCTCTTTAAGGCCCGCGACAAGCATATCCTAAAGAAAGATGATTTCAGCACCATTGTCGAGACGGCTGAAGGTCTCAATGAGCTGTGAGTATCAATTGACTCGAATTTTTCTCCGTGGTAGTGAGGCTAAATGCTAATTGGTCTTCATAATACAGCTTGAAGCTGAAGAAGTTTGAGAAGTTTGACAGCGCGGCAACTGCTCTCGAGGAAGTGGCAGCAATCACAGAAGGAAAAGTCTCTCCTCTTCTTGCACAGCTCCTCGACTCTCTCAAGGACGAAAAGAAAGCTTCGCTGGCAGTCGCAGACCCTAAATTGGGTCAAGCTATCAACAAACTGCCCGGTCTTACACTCACACCCATCTCCGATTCCACTACCAATGACATCTACCGTGCGATTCGCGACCACCTACCTTCCCTCATCCCCGGTTTGGCGCAGGAAGCCATCTCCACAATGGCCCTTGGTCTCTCGCATTCGTTATCGCGTCACAAGCTGAAGTTCTCGCCTGATAAGGTCGATACCATGATTGTGCAAGCTATCGCGCTTCTGGACGATTTAGACAAGGAGCTGAACACATACGCCATGCGAGTCAAGGAGTGGTATGGATGGCATTTCCCCGAGATGGGCAAGATTGTGAATGATAATTTGGCCTACGCTCGCATTATCCTCAAGGTTGGTATGCGCACAAACACATCAAACACAGATTTGTCGGATATTCTCCCCGAGGAAATTGAGACTGCTATCAAGGCTGCCGCAGAAGTCAGTATGGGCACCGAGATCACGGAGGAAGATTTGGAGAACATCCAACTTCTGGCCGAGCAAGTAGTTGGCTTCACGGAATACCGTCAACAATTGTCGCTCTACCTGACCGCCCGCATGGCGGCTATCGCGCCAAACTTGACCGAGATGGTTGGAGAATTGGTTGGAGCTAGACTGATCGCACACTCTGGATCTCTCATGAACCTTGCCAAGAGCCCTGCCAGTACTATTCAAATTCTGGGTGCTGAGAAGGCTTTGTTCAGAGCTCTGAAGACCAAGCACGATACACCTAAGTATGGTCTCATCTACCACGCATCTCTCGTTGGTCAGGCCACTGGAAAGAACAAGGGCAAGATCGCCCGTATGTTGGCAGCTAAGGCAGCCATCGGTCTTCGTGTCGATGCTCTCTCAGACTGGAGCGCACAAGGTGAAGGAAAGGGTGATGACATTGATGATGAGGAGAGATCTGCACTAGGTGTCACATCAAGGATGAAGATTGAGCGCCACCTCCGAGCACTTGAAGGAAAGCCATTGCTCCCCAGAGGTGTTGCTGTTGGACCAAATGGCACTGCTGTCACCCCAGGAAAGTGGGAGGTCAAGGAGGCCCAAAAGTACAATGCAGATGCTGATGGACTTGCTGGTGATGAGCCTGCTGCCGCAGCTCCTGTGTCCGAAAAGAAGTCAAAGAAGGACAAGAAAGAGAAGAAGGAAAAGAAGGAAAAGAAGTCGAAGGATGCCAAGAAGCCCCTGATTCAGGAAGTGGTTGCTGAACCAGATTCTGACGAAGAGATGGCCGACGTCGACGCTGGTCTTGCTCTACCACCACCAGACTTGAACGGTACCAAGGCAAAGCCAGTGGCCCAGAACTCCAAGGACGAGTCGGAAGATGACTCAGATGACTCCGACGCCCGCAAGTTGGCACTTGCTAAGGAGAAGGCCAAGAAGAAGGCAGAAAAAAAGGCTAAGAAAGAGTCCAAGGAAACCGCACCTGCACCCACACCTGTCGAAGTCGAGGATCCCGATATCAAGCTTGCCGAAGCCGCTGGTCTGAGTCTCAAGAAGTACAAGAAGAAGGTTGCCAAGGGCAAGATCGTTGTGGAAGGTACCCCAGTCAAGGCGAAGAAGGTAGAAGAGAGTACACCTGTCAGCAGTAAGAAGCGGAAAGCCGATAATGTCGAAGTCGAGAAGTCAGAGAAGAAGAAAAAGAAGAGCAAGAACTGAATGTCTCACTGACTTTCTTTTTTGTATCATAATGCTTCTCAGGATATCGGCGTGTTAGGATGTCCATATGGCGGCGTTACGGTTTATAACCATGATAGGGTATTTCTTTAGGAGGCTTGTTTTGTGGCGCTATTCTGTCTTGCATCAAAATAAAACGGCGGTATTGAACAGATATCTAGTCTAACATTTCTACTGCATGTCTTCGCCAGTGATGTTTCTTCAACAAGTCACCCGCAAGTGTGGTTGATTTAAGTTTTTTTTAGAATCATTGTTGGCACATCGCAATTACTACTCTGCTGCTGGGCTATCCATTTGAGCTGCGACCTTCTCCATATCAGCATTAATGCCCTAAAGGAAGTTAGTACGACTTCAACACACCTTGCTGAGAGCCAGTTGCTTTGCTCACACTGCTGAGCTCCATGCCTAACCATGAAGTCTCCAGGAGGATAGGACAGTGTCTTAGGGAACATGGCTGATTTAGGGACCCCTTGGGTCAATCAAAGCAAGCCAATCAGACCAACTAGACTTTGAGTTGTGGCACTAGGCAGTGCTCGTCACTTTCAATGTATCCTGATGATATTGAGGTCCTCAAGTCACGGCATGGAGTCAACGGCCACAGGGTCACAGTTCTGAAACTGTCTATCTGTTCGCATATTACAAACGAACTTAACCAGAAGTCTTGTTAGGTCAGTTTCGTATTAATTGCATGTTCGAGTCTTCTGGGAACATATCCATCACACAGAAACCGCACACTCATTAACGCTGGGGTGACAAATTGTGCCAATGCAGAGCCGTGTTGCCCTGTGTTGACGGTCCAAGCGTGTATCGTTTGTGTATTCAAGGTCGCTTCTTGAGTTGAAAAACCTGGAGCTGTTCTTGACTTAGCCCTATGGGTCGTACACTTACAATCCCTGCATCATCTGGAAGACAGTTCACGTCCAATCCGGATTTGTAAAGAAGATTAATTGGAAACCTGCACTACGGTGGCAACAGCTCCATTGGCATGGAAAGAATCTCCATTGGCATGGAAAGAATCTCCATCCCTATGGAGATTATTCCATAATTATGGAGATTCCCTTTATACCTAAGGATAATTTCTATCCTTATAGAGTTTCTTTCTATACCCATGGAGATTCTTTCTATACCTATGGAACCTACTTTCTCTGTCAAAGCGTGTTTCATACTTAAACTTTAATCCTTCCATATGATCTCCTCCCCCCCTCCCCCCCCTCTTTTCTTTCTCTCTTTATCTCTCTTTACGGTAGGTCTCTCTACGGTAGGTCTCTCTACGGTAGGTCTCTCTACGGTAGGTCTCTCTCCATATTAGGTCTCTCACAGTAGGTCTCACAGTAGGTCTCTCCACGGTAGGTCTCGCCACGGTAGGTCTCTCTATAGTAAGAAGGTGGGAGGCTAAGGTAAGAAGGGGGGGGGGGGGGGGGGGGGGGGGTGGGGCGGGGTGGGTAGGGAGTAGGAAACTATAAATATTATCCATAGAACTGAATATATAAAAATGGAGGAAAATCCATAATTATGGATTTATAGATATTTCCATGTTTCATTTTGTAACGTCTCACCCCCCTATTCCGGCCACCCCCCTATTCGGCCACCTCGCTTAATTGCAACACTTCCTGTTTGAGACTTAATAACTTTATTTAGCGTCAACTTCTATATAAGATATTATAGATTCTGATTCTCCTCCTGATTCTGATTCTTCAGATTTAATTTGACGCTCCCCAGCTGTAATTTGAGCCTCTTTAATAGCACGGATTGTTATAAACTTGGAATTTAGACTAGTCTTAACCTTTCTCTTTTTCCTTAGCCTTAATTGCTCTAATCTCTCTTCTAGCTCTTTGATCTTCATATTTGCCTTCCCTAATTTGTATTCCTTCTCGTTAATCCCTTTTATAACCTTCCTAAAAAGCAAGCGTTATGTCGGAAGTTAGTTATATGATCCGCTTACTAGAGTACGAATCTATAAGTACAGATCTTTTCGTACCTTTAGAGTACATAACTCAATTGAAGTATTAGAAACCTTCGGAGGTTCTATTAGCGTCTCTTAAGGCTTTAGAAGTGTTAGATTTGTCGATTTATTACTGTTTTCTAATAGTAAAAGGCTTATTAATAGCTTAGCAACAGATACCGGCTATAGACCTATAGTTCTCTACCCCGATTTAATATTAGAAGGTATAAAACTTTCTTAACGTACCTTATAGTAGTAAACGAGAAAATTCCGCTTACCTATTAGTATAGAATCGATTAAAGAACTTAACTTTTGCAGTTCTTTCCGGTAAGCACGCTTAAGTGTAGAGAAAACTATTAAATCAAGAGGTTGTAAGACGTGTGACGTATATACAGGTAAAAACAAGAGGTAGATATTATGTTTAAGGCACTTCCAAAGGAATTCTATAGTCTAGTAGCTCCTATAGCCGTCTAGAATAAGGAGTCTTACTAAATAGTCACGTAGTTCCGTCTGAGGGATAAACACTTTTTCCAACTACTCTAGAGCTATAGCATCAGTAGTCCACTTATTTTCAGTGGCTATAAAATACTAATCGTTGAATATTTCCAATTAAGATAGAAACTATTGTTATTAGACTAACTTTCCCTTGTAAATCACAAGAGATTTAGTAGAGGCTCTAATTGCAGAGATAGATTCGAGGATTAACGTCTAACTACGTGAACTAGGCTGTTTCCCTTGAATCTTACGCTTTTTAGCGTAGCTTATAATCAGACTATTAAGACCATAACCTTCTATAACACCTATCTTATCTATATTCTATCGTTAGCTAGGTGGAATAGCCTTAATAGCCGGGATTTCTAATTTTTAGAACTAAGGCCGAATAACTTCAGAATAAGCGTTGTTAACACGTACAGAATCGACGTATATCTACTTCTTAGTCTTAAGAATAGGATTCCAGGCTAAAAATCGTGTTATCTAGTGTTTTCCGAGTAGTAAGTGATCCCCTTAGAGAGCTAGAAGCCTCTCTCTAAAAACCCGAATCTATACGTGCGTAACTTTATAGCTAAGAGCCTCTTAATTTAAAATCCAATCGGCTAATCGATTCTCTACTACTATAGGTAATCTTTATAAGTAGCTAGCGGCTTCTTAATGTGACTGAATCGTTGCGTTACAGCCTTAAAGAGTAGACCTTAGAACACCCTACTCACGTGATACCTTTTGTACAGACTTACTATTTACTACTTCTTCTAAAGCGCACATGACGTTATATTCAGTATATTAAGGCTTCATGATATAAATAAGTTGCATTCTAGATTTCAAGAAAATCGATAAGAGGATTAGAATTTAATTAATTGTTAAAGTTGACAGGTAGGAGTAGCGGTGAGGTTAAGCGAGGTGGCCGGAATAGGGAGGTAGCCGGAATAGGGGGGTGCGACGTTATGGCATGAAATCCATGATCATGGAAATATTCTCCATAATTATGGGTGACGACTCTCTATTCCTATGGAAAGATTTTCCATAAAATACCTCCATATTTATAGAAAATATTTCCATTGGAATGGAGAGCTGTTGCCACCGTAGTGCTGCCATTGACGAGGTACAAGCGTGAAATCTTCTGTATGCCTTTCATGGAAGGGCATGTAGGCTGGGAGACTACAGAGGACTCTGGAAGATAACACTTCTTAGGAGGTCTTGAACTGATCGGGCTTGCCTAAACCTGAACTAAACAGAGCTTAAAAAATTGCCAAGAAGGATCCTCGCGATAATAAATCCAATCCTGACAAAACTCGCTAAAAGCATGCTCAAAACAATACGTCACAGCTTATAGCTCCCAAAAGTCTATCTTCCAAAAAAGGTAGGAACTAACCAGCATACCGGTTTCTGCGGGAGGAGTGTATAGGCAGTTCTTCTGTGCTGTTGGGGTCCGGTAGCAGATCAGGAAGAAAGAGGGATGTCACCTCCTGCCTTACTAGGTGTTTCTCCCTAATTACGATGTCTAAAGTCCGAGGACTTAGAACGGCCTCCACCCACATACAAGTCATAGTTTGGTTCTATACCTCCACGCAAATGCTGACCTTTGAAGGAGGAGTAAATGATTTGCGGGCTTGGAATGGGATTAAAGTCCATGCATCACAGGTGACGCGATACCAGATCACAATAATAGACTGGGTGAATACAGGTCATCTAGCCTCAGCTTTCAACTTAACAAAATATCATACCCTCTAGAACAAACCAAGTGATTGGACATCGTTCCCAACCATTTCGGAACAGAAGAGAACCAAAAAAGTTGAAGCTACAACGCCATGCCAAGCTCTTCGGACACTTAGACGGTCCAGAAGAGAATCTATATTACACCAGATCTTCAGTCAGGTCGATGTGCAATTCCCACCAAAGGTACTGTACTTAAATGAGTCTGTCGACTCTAGAGCCAACGCCTCTCCCAATTGACTGGTTTGGTTTGCAGAACTGCCTATTTGATTAAGTATCGTGCGGATGTGCTTGAAGCTGACTTGTCATTCGGACTTCAGACGAGAGAAAAAAGCTCTCTTGGTGTTAGTGAATGATGATATTGGCCGAGGCAAAGCTGATAGACCCTGACATATTAGAAACCAAATATTTGATCGGCTATCCAATCTCCTTTCTTGAGATGGGAGCCAGTCATGATAGATGCTCCGAAGTTTGTGCAAGCGGAACTCAATACTGGAATACCGTGAAAGTACGACACACGGACTGAAATTATTCTGCCATTTTGGAAAGGTTGAACAGCGGAGCTTCAAATGGGGAGGTGAATCTGACACCCCGAAGCAGTCAGACGCGAGGATGTTTAGAGAGACAGGTAGGTCGTCATTTAGATAGATGTGCACTTGAAAAGAAAGCTTATGACATTTTTCATTCTTATATTCTGTAGACAGAGAAAGTGACTAATCTTCTGGACACCGGTCCATCACAACTTCGATCACAAGTTCCATCACAGTTGAGTCTCCCCAATGGATCAAAAAGAGGCCCCTGTCTCATGAGAGAATAAAAACAAAAGGCATATCGGGAGGGCAACAAGGTCAGTCACTGTACCTTGTATGCTCACAAATTGTCAAAGAACACTCAAGTAGTCAGGGAAAACAGCTTCCCACGATAGCAGGATGTTTTTCACTAACGAGACTGGACGTCAACAATGCCACCACTAGCCCAGCGCGTTCACAAACACAAACCAACGCGTCAAATCCGAAGTCATCGTCTCCCACCTCCACCGCACGCACTTAACGACCAAAACAAACGCAGCGCATATGCTCGGGAAAGTCTACCGCCGATCTCCTCAAATCTCCTAGCGGTCCATTAACATATTCGAATAGCACATTTCTACATCACAAAAATCAATTCGAGGTCAGATAGTTCAATGGCTAGAACATCACAAACATGTGTACTTGTCGGATTGGCGTCTGTTAGTCTATGTACAACACTTGTACTCGTAGCTCTGCTTGGGTGTAAAAGTATTGTGAAGACGAGGGTTCAATTCCTTCTCAGGCCAAAACCCATATTTTTGGCTTCTTCTTTTTTCGAGGAGGCTTGTTATGTTTTTGCTTGGATGTTTTCCAGGGGCGTTTTTCGGGAGCATTTGTTGATTCCAAAAGGAAGCGATATGTGTGGGTCGTTCATTGCTGGGAGGTGGAAAGCCGAGGCGAAGCCGGTCGCTGAGGGTGTGATGCAGCGTAGGGCAATTTGTATTTGCTGCGAATTCTGTTTGGCTTTCAGAGGGTTCGTAGATGTATGTATCCTGCAGGGCAGCCACAGAGGTATGTATATGAATGAATGAATGAATGAATGAATGAATGAATGAATGAATTGAGTGACAATAATTCAATATTGACAGCAAAGTCCAGAAGAAGAACGCACTGGCGCGCGGCTCCGAGTTCCTAGACAAAAGCAAGGTGCACATGAGGGCGATGTTCATATATAGATACATGTCAGGCCATGTCTAGAGGAGAAATCTATACAACAATCAAAGCGGTTGATCCACTCACGGGACTTCCTTCAGTCTGTCCCATTGATTTATTTGATCCATCAATAGCATAAGTCAGACTTTTTTGATGAAGTATCTGTGATTTTCAGGCCCGGTACAACTCTGTCCTGCCTCCATGCAAGGCTACCAGCATATGAGGATAACAAATGTGAAAGAAGAACAAAATGTGATTAAAATGCATTCGTAAATCATGAGCATGTAGGAACGCGAGAGGGTTCTTTAGCTAAAGCAGAATCGTTAAGCAAAGCATAGCTCAGATGTAGGCAGCAGCATGAGTAAGATCTAAGAGAAGGTTATCAAATTGCAATGTCAAGCTGTAGCATTCAATGGTATCAAAAGCGTAGCGCATAAACTTTACGAGAATCAAACCTGAACCAAGTCTTTGCCAGGTCAAGTCATGTCACCAGGGCCTACAAATGCCCATCCCTAACGCCGCCAGATACCATTTGCTCGTCCCCATTCATCCATCCACTTCCCATTTTGTGTCTGGTTGTGGTTGCTGGGCTTTCCGCACCTCTGCCTGTTCAGTCATAGCCTGTCTCTCTGCATTTCCATCCACCGTACCCAGGACCTCAGCAATAATCTCCACAATCTCATATTGCTGTTCATCAGAAAACCTATCATCCATCTCCTCCACTATCGTGTTCAAACTCTCGGCTTTAGTTGGCCTGAGATTCATGATCATGAGAATCTCAGCCTTGGTGAAGTTGAAAGGACGGAGTCGCTCGAGGAGTGTGCCGATGGTCTGGTCATTGTAAGGTAAGGGCTTGGATGCGAGAGGTGAGGGAGCTTCGTGAAAGTACTCGAGGAGCTGGAAGTAATCCTTGTCAGAAAGAGACGCAACAGAACAGGGCTGTGCTGTGGGTGCGGGGTACTGTACCTCTTTCACCACCGTCTCAAGGTTTCCCGGCCTCCTTCCTTTGATACCTTTCTTGGCATATCGTGATCTCTGCTCCGTCAAATGCGTATATACCTCATAATTCGTGAGGGTTGCCGATTGAGCTTCTAAGATCTTCATGGCTGCAGTGCGAAGGCTTGTCTGGTCAGTTCAGCTGCAGGAGGGGTTGGCACAATGCTTACCAACTACCCAGGCACTTGTGATGCCCAATCAGAGACAGACAAGTGCAATCAGTTGTACCTGTCAGAAAGGGTGACTCCCGGGGACTTGGGCGGTCTGAGGCTCTGTTGATATGTTTCCAATCAGATGCAGGAGATTCAGCACGCAGATGTACCACTGGCAATTTTCCGCCCGTCTCAATTCTGCAGTCAAAAATTAAGCGAGCAGCACATGAAAAACGGCCCTGAAAGACCCTAAAGGAGAGAAAAAAGAAAACAAAGCTACACCTGCATACCTAGCTTTTATTTTTAGTTTGCATGGTCACTCAGCTCCGAAACATATAAAGAATGATCTTTATATGATTCACTCTGAGGCATATATTTGGATGCTTCTTCAGCGGTCAGAAAACAAGCACAGCAGCCTTGCAGCCAACCCCGCCAGTGGCTAACTGCTTTCGAGCTAGCTTAAAGCTGTGCGCCCCAGCTTGAACTTTTCTTTGACGCAATTTTCTACCGTGCCTTGCGACAACCTTTTCTCCAGTCAAATTCTACCTACTCAGTCCGATATCAAATGGATTTCACACATCAAGCGCGCCGCCGTCAGCTCCTCTCATCATAGCCCCCTTCTCTTCTCTTAGTTCTCTTGTTTTACCATTCAATTCATCCCTCTAGCACGACATCCATCGCATTAATCTTGCCGCGGCTGCCCACTTTGAAATCCCGCATTTCACCGACGTTATCCTTCCTCGATCTCCAACCAGAACCACGGGATACCTGATCCGCGCACTTCACAATGGTTCGCAATATTGTCGTTCTGGGGGGCAATTCCCACCCTCAGTTGGTTAATACCATCTCCAACATTCTTGGTGTGCCACCTTGCAATCGCATCCTCAAGAAATTTTCTGTCGGAGAGAGCCGCTTGGAGATCCAAGATTCTGTTAGAGGAAAGGATGTCTACATTGTCCAATCTGGAGGCGGCAACGTCAATGATCATTTCGTTGATCTATGTATCATGATCTCTGCATGCAAGACAGGATCTGCCAAACAAGTTACTGCTATTCTACCCTTGTTCCCTTATTCGAGACAGCCAGACCTTCCCTACAATAAGGTTGGGGCACCGCTTTCGAAAGCTCCTACCGGTATCAATAGGGGTGACTTCACCTTCGAAAGTCGTCCCCCTACACCTGGTGCAGGACCACAAACACAAGGCCTCGCAAATGGAAATGGAATGGAAGGATTGCAGAAGAAGCTGGGCAAAGCATCGCTTGAGCAACAAAATGGTCTCTCATACACGAACGGCATCACTCCGCCAAGAAGATCCGATACCAATGATTCGCTCGTCTCCTTGAATGGTCGCGGCAGGGGCAATTCAGGATCTCAAGCTCCAGCTTTCACTACTCATGACTACGAGAATCAGGCTATGCTGAAGGATGCCAAAAACATTTTCCAGCCAAAGCCAGGGTACAAGCAGTGGGTTGCTCAGGCTGGAACGCTTGTGGCAGATCTCTTGACCTGTGCTGGTGCCGATCACATCATCACCATGGATTTGCACGATCCTCAATACCAAGGCTTCTTCGATATCCCAGTGGATAACTTGTATGGAAAGTCTCTTCTCAAGAAGTACATCCAAACCAAGATTCCAAACTTTAAGGATGCCGTCATCGTCAGTCCAGATGCAGGTGGAGCGAAGAGGGCAACTGCAATTGCGGATGATCTTAATGTTGACTTTGCATTGATCCACAAGGTAAAATTGCCCCACAATTCTGAACTTGCGCAAACTTATACTCCTAGGAACGTCGTCCTACAAGAATCACAGATCGACAGAATGCCACCATGATGCTCGTAGGAAATGTCGCAAACAGGATCACGATTCTTGTTGATGACTTGGCGGACACTTCCAATACAATCACCAGAGCTGCTAAGCTTCTGAAGAAAGAGGGCGCAACAAAGGTCTACGCACTCCTAACCCACGGTGTTTTCAGCGGAGATGCCATCGACCGGATCAATGCTTCCCCATTGGATAAGGTCGTTGTAACGAATAGTGTTCCCCAAGAAGAGCACCTCCGACTGTGTCCCAAGCTGGAGGTTCTGGATGTTGGTCAAGTCTTCGCCGAGGCCATCCGTCGTGTTCACCATGGAGAATCAATCAGTGCTCTGTTTTGGGATTAAGCATAAGGAGTTTTCTTTCCTCGGTTTTTTTTCTATCATGAGCAAGCATTTTCACAAATTTGGCGTTGGGGAATCTGATCGTGGGCTGGGATTGGGTATCTGTCGTAAGGCTTGCGGAAGACCCTCATCGACATTGTGCCAAAAGATACAATTGCTATACCCATCAATCCGCAGTCGCGGATCATACTTACTTCCAATCTTCGGGAGACTTAGACAAAAGTCCAATATCTATTGGCTTCCATTGAACGCTTCCCAAGTGCTGGATAAAAGGCGTGGAGAGTTGCATTTGAGTATCTACTGTAAAGGACCATAGAAAGCAGAAAAAAATAGGATGTCAATTGGAGAATAATGAGTAGTAATTGTGTCAAGTTGCCCTGTTTCACATCATGGAAATAGGATGTGAATCCAGCCATTCTCTGCCCCCAGACTGACGTAAGTCGGTTTCTTGGGAAACTTTCAACATCACAACCAAAACTGCTGAAAGTTCTCCAAATTTCTCGACTGCAAACTAAATCAGAAGCCATAACGTCCTTCTGGTATTTCACCCACCACAGTGGTTGCATTGTTCCAAGGTTGTGATCCGATCAAAGACGTGCCTAGCGAACCGAGAAAAGGGGGAGAACGTGATGTCAACAACAAATAATTTATTTCTCACCGACTTATCAATTCTTAAGTACTTTACCTCTCACATTGATCATAGCCTTCATGCGTAATTTCATATCATAGATTCGAAATTATCAGTTGAGTTTGGATAGGTATGGATATGAATAGGTAAGAAACAAAAATCACTCACGTGGAGATAAGCCCTGCAGAAAGATAACAGCTCCATAAAAAATCAACGACTCCATCCCACACCAATGAGTCAATTGCCAGCAGAGGGCACATATGCGGCCCTTATTCTTCCTTGCACAGCGACGGCTTGAATCCGCACGTCTGGCTTCTCCAGGTTTTGTGTCGCGTAGCGGCCGTTGGAGGATAGACATAACACTTAGGAAAGAGAAACGCGCTGCTTCTACGAAAGCTTGCCAGGAGACAATGGCGGTGGAAAGGGAAAACGGGAATGTAGATGGGGATGTAAATGAAGTAGAAGAAGATTATAGCTCGTGGAGCCAAGACAAGTTGATTGAGAGGGTTACGTTGCTGGAATACGAGTTGAAGATCAAGAATTTAAGGTATGGTTTGGATGTTTTTGCTTGAAAGCATGGAAAATAGTGCTAATGTAATATAGTCTTACAGTTCCCAAACAACCAGAGAAGAAATCCTTAAAGAAACCGCGTTCGGAACGGACCTTCGACCCCACCAAATACAGCACCCGCCTCATAGCTCTCAAGCTCGCATACCTAGGGAAACGCTACAATGGATTCGAGTGCCAGAAGAGCGTTACACCTCTCCCGACTATCGAAGAAGAGCTTTGGAAAGCTTTCAATAAAGGGAGACTGATCTTCCCAAATATCGCCAATCCATTACAGCCCGGGGAAGTCAACTGGGAGGGCTGCGAGTATAGTAAATGTGGGAGGACAGACAAGGGTGTCAGTGCTTTTGGTCAGGTTATTGGCATTCGAGTGAGGAGTAACAGACCGCTGGGAAAGAGGAAAGAGAGAAAGATTGTCGATGATGTTGGAGAAGCCGGGCTACTTGACGAAGTAGCCGGTCCAGCGAGTACTGAGAAAGACCTGGACGGAGGATTCAATACATACGCCAGGGACAATTCTGTTGAAATGTCCTCTCCAGCACTCGCCCCATCCAGACTACAAGAACAAGAGGGCCCAACACCTGACTTAGGTCTCTCAGATCCCGACTTCGAAGAAGCGCTCAACTTCGACCCTATAGCAGATGAGATTCCTTACTGCTCGTTATTGAACCGGCTCCTCCCACCAGATATCAGGATACTAGCCTGGTGTCCCGCACCACCTCAGGACTTCTCTGCAAGATTCTCATGTCGAGAACGACAGTACCGCTATTTTTTCACACAGCCAGCCTTCATGCCAACACCTACTCAACTGGAATTGCCCGATCAAAAGAGTCAAAAGGCACCAGAAGGCAAAATGAGAGATGGCTGGCTAGATATTGAGAAGATGCGAGAGGCAGCCAAGTTGTTCGAGGGCGAGCACGATTTCCGGAATTTCTGTAAAGTGGATCCTGGGAAGCAGATCTCCAATTTTGACAGGATGATTTTCTATGCGAATATTGAAGAGGTGGATGATTCGACCAGTGGACTTGATTTCGTCAACAATGCTGCTCTTGCTCCTGGATCGGAGCTACAGACCGGTAATCCGAAAGTCTACACATTTACCCTTCACGGGTCAGCATTTTTATGGCATCAGGTGAGACATATGGTTGCGATTCTCTTCCTCGTAGGGCAAGGTCTTGAAAAGCCATCTATCGTCTCGGAATTGCTGGACGTGGAGAAAAATCCCGGACGGCCCATATACGAGATGGCCACCGATACGCCTCTCGTTCTGTGGAACTGCGTCTTTCCTCGCGAAGATGATCCTGATCGCAAGGATGCCATGCAGTGGCATTACGTTGGTGATGATACCGGTACTGGCGACTACAAGTTCGGGACTGCAGGGATCATGGATGAGCTATGGAAGGTCTGGAGGGAGAGAAAGATCGATGAGATGCTTGCGAGCACGCTGCTGAATGTCGTTGCTAAGCAGGGGCTGGATGCTGAAGAGCTGACTTTGGCGAGGAGGAAGGGAAGTCGGAGTCAAAAGGTGTTTGATGGAGGAGACATGCCGCGGTTGCAGGGCGTGTATACACCTGTTATGAAGAAGCTGAAGATGGACAGGGTGGAGGTTATCAATGAGAGGTATGCGGTAAGAAAGGGATTTGAGAATTCGGCGGATATGAAGCTTCAGGGCTTTAGACGTTTGAATAATCCTAGTGCGGTTGCAAATACCCCTGCTGTAGAGGATGGAGATGAATAGGTAGACAATCATCTGCTGGGATGAATACTTCACTTTGAATGTATGCTCGGGAGTCGTGTCTTGCGAACAGTCAATATGCTCGTAGAATGACACTTGGTCCATTCTTCAGAGTAGCTCGTCATGGGTAGATGTAGCTGGAGACTCTGTATCTTTGAAAGTCTTCCCATGTATCAAAAATGGCAGCTTTTACATCTTAAGTGCCCAAAGTCTTGCCATAAAGCAACTCTGCTTGTAACTCTCATTAATCCATGATCTACACGCAAAATATACAGCCACGAGCCGCCCTTAGTTCACGAAGTCTCCCTCCTCTTAATCTCAGGAACAACTCCACCACCACCACCACCATTAACTTCTCTCTCCCTCTCCCTCTCCCTCTCCTTCTTCCCCTCAAACAAACAAGCCCTACACCCCCTCCAAACCCTCTCCACAATATCCCTCCTGGGCAACAACCTCGGAAAAACAACCACCACCTCCTCCTCGCCCTCCACCACAACCACCAAATAATACCTCACTTCAAACCCGCGAAACGCCTCGTTCACAAGTATATCCTGGATCTTCTCTGTAGGTATAAATCGCGTTGTGCTGCTGCTCAAGTATGTGTTTGAAGAGGAAGAAGTTTGGATCCCGAGGCCGCGGAGCACGAGGAGGGATTCGGTGGTGTGCAGGCGAAGAGAGAGGATGTAGAGACTTGTGAGGGATAGAGGGAGGAGGAGGATGAGTGGGGTGCGGCGCGCGAGGAGTGTGGAGAGGTGGCCGAGGCGGGTTTGGGTGAGCGCGTGGAGCTGGTAGGATATGTAGTCTATTGACAGGAGAGCTGGAACTGTGGTATACGGTTGTTCATTGCCAGCGTAAGATGAGAGTAGATATCGGGAGTATAGGAGCTGTAGAATGGCGAGCGCGACGACGAGGCGCAAGATGAATGTGAGGAGGATGAGGAGGCGGAGTGGGAAGGTGAGGGTTGGTGAGGTCGAGACGGTGTATTCGACAGTTGTTGGAGAGGGACGGCGTGTCCGCAGGTGAGGAGTAGTTGTTAGCATTTCTGCTGGAGAGTGGATTGAGGCATTGGTGTTGTTGTTTGAGGAGAGTTCACTGTCGTCGCTCAAATTCGAGGAGGCTGTTTGGGGAAGCTTATCGATAAGAAAAAGTTGGAGCTCGAGGCTGAGAGCAACACTGACAACATCTGGGGAAGTACTTACTTAACCATGGCCAAATTTCAGGAAGTATTAAGTGTCTGTGGTAACTTTGAGCGATGATCCGTATATTAATTTTGAGAAATTATGCTTGGTTGGTGGGAATGCGTGTCAATTGCTGTGTCTCCCTCCCTCCAGAGCAACGAAAGTCTTCTTCTAAATGTCTGTAAACTGATTTGAATATTCAAAACATTTAGAAAGAGGACTGTCTTCCAGTTTTCGACTTTTGGCATTTATTTTCCATCCCTTGACGCCAATTCCATAGATTTTCCAAGTCAAAAACAACCCTTACTCTCCAGTATCAATCTCCAAATCAATCTGAACCCCATTGCTCACGCCATAATCTTCCAACGTCAACTGATCCTTGAAGGGCCTCTCGCCTTGCCTCTTCAACAGAATTTCGTGTGGCTGTCTCCCAATTCTCGCTGCAACCTGCGCCTTGAACAATTTTATCGGATCCGAAGCCAAACATGGAATCGCAGCTTTCGTACCCAACCGATCATTGACATGCACAATAATCATGGGTTCGCCATGACTGGCTGCTTGTGGCGCTGGAGCAGCAGCAGGCGCACGCTCAGGCGGTGTATCTGTATTGCCCTCCTCTGCCTTCTTCGCCTTCGCTGGCCCAAATTTGTCTGCCACGCCGAACTTGTCCTCCACCGAGTTGCCTTTGCTTGGTTTGCTCTCCCTGCTCTCCCTGCTATCTTTGGAGTCGGCCTTCTCTCTATCTCGCCTTGGTGATCTCGATCGATTGCGATACCCTCTTTCTAATCTCTTGCCACTGCCCTCTCCTTCATCGTTCGTGCTGCGCTTCTCCTTCCATCTGAAGCCTCCTCCGCCGCCGCCTCGTGGTTTGTCGCGACGGTCTCGTGTGCGTTCTCTGTCATTGCGAGGAGAGCGGCTTCGTCTTCGTGAAGGTCCGGACGGTGATCGCGAACGAGATCTTCGGTCTGCCATTTTGTGGTTATGGTTGTGTTAATGTTGTAAGAGTAGTGGGACATGGCAAGGCAAGGCAGGCTAGGCATGCATTATGGCTGCAAGGCTGAGGATTTTCCTGCCGAGGACTAGCGCGAATCTGATTGGGACAAAGAATCGCAGAATGCACAACCATTTTATTTTCGGCTTATGTTGGTAAGTTCTTTATGACTTAAAGTCCTAGTCTTTCCTAGTGACAATATTACTGCTCAGCATCTGAGAAGAACTATCTTCTGGGATACAGATGTAAGGGACGAAAGGAACGAAAGAGCCTGAAGACATCCAGTCTGCGGGTTGCTAGCAATTTTACACCCTGACAATAGGCTCGAATCATAGTCGGTCCCGGAATGTATTGAACTTGCAAATTCCACCAAGACTTTAAACATGGTCAGAAAGTGAAAGTTAACATATCGAGGATTAAACGACTAACTCTCAGTTCAGGAAGTCAGTGCTGAATAATTAAGCGAGTAAACAAAAGGGAAACTATGTCACAGATCATCATCGAGCGTATCTATTACCCGAGAGTTAGATCGTCAACTCCCAGGCAAGAATGCGCCATATGCTTTCTATGATAATAAGATACGTTAAACCTATACTTACCTAATATGACGAACATGAAAGAATGAAAGGTGAATTCAGAATTAGATTCTGAAAAGAGAACATCGCAAATCTCACCAAAGGTGAACTCCTTCCATTTGAACAATGGATCGACAAGACAATTTTCTTTTGTCATGTTTTCTCATATCTTCAATTCATTCTAGTAGACTACACGAACAAAATCAACAATGCCTTCCAAAACTCTCGACAAATCCGACACCGAGGACACAAACCATCACCAAACACAACGAACGAAGCAAAGTCCTCCTCCACCTCTGCGACATAGAAGAAGCGTTTTCTTGAAACCATTTCGGTCGCGCAGTTCCTCAGAACAACCCAGACAGCAAGCATCCACGCCTACTCCGGCCATACCAGCGACGGTGCGCGAAGCACGAGAAGGTCCAGCCCTCAAGTCCTCCACATCCGCGATATTCATAGCGAAGATGAAATCAGAGCTGTTTCTCTCTCAATTCAAACGTGTAAGACTCTTGATCCTCCCACACCGTCCAATGATATTTATACAAATCCAATTCATCATTTTCCATAGGCACAAGAAGCCTACCTCTCTAACGATCTCGCCCTGTGCCGCCACCGTTGCACCGAACTCCTCGAAAGACCGGCTCTACACCTCGACACACGCATAGAAACGCTACAACTCCTTGCAACCATTGTGTCTCTCCCTGTTGCTCGGGAACATCTTTCCGATGCTCTTTGTTTGCTTGATTTGGCTGTCGAGAGGGGAGGGATTGCACCGGGTCAGGTACAGGCGTTGCTAGGGATGAAGATTACCACGCTTGATCTTTTGGGGAGGTTGGAGAAGGAGTTTGTAAAGATTGGGAGGGAGGAAGAGGCTGAGGCGGAGGGTTGGAAGATGAGGGGGTCGTTGAGGGGCGCAATAACTAAGAGGAGGTATGTGTCCAGGATGTGTTTGCGAAGGGAGGATTTGAGATGGATGGAATGCGGAAATGACTGACTAGCTGACTGAATTTTGGGTGAGCAGAAATGGTGCTAGGGAAATAATGATTCACCAGCCGCTGGTTGAGTTTGTAGACCAATCTATGCCGCTGCATCCCGCTTAGAAAGTGTGAGGTATCACTGTGTTATATGGCGTTTGGGGGAAAGCAAGTGGAGGGAATGGCGCAGGAGTTGGATTAGTGCTTCGTTGAATGTACTGAGATCCTTCTAGGACTTTGGTGTCCACAGTTTGATCTTGCCCGTATCCCACTGGAAGTAGAAGCCTGGGCGTCACAGAATGAAGATCGACAAACGAAATGTGGAAATACAATCAATTCAAAACTTTATGCTAATTTTTCAAACACGCTCCAATACCAGTACACATCAAACCCAAAGTAGCGTCTCATGGGCCGAAAACAAGAGCTCTAACCTCGATACTCTCTCTACCCACAGCATTTTCTGGCGTTCTTGGATCTTGGAAAGCAGTATGAGGAACTCTTCCACCCAGAACCTTGGTGCCAGGCTTCGTAGCCTCTGAATCAAAACACTCCAGGAACAATCTTTCGTCGTTCCTCATGCCTGACAAGTAGTGCCACTTCTGACTTTCGTTGAACCTGATACCCGCAGTCTCACCAGTTCGATCTGGATATCTGTGTTCGATGGGGATCAGGTCTTCATCCTTCAAGGACGACGAGCTGGCGAAGGCAAGAGGCGAAGCTTGCACTGGACCGTTCAACGGCCGCCAGATGTTGATAATGCGGTATCGACCTTGCAATAATTTCTCCGCCTCCTCAGGTAGATGGTGGTGAACCCTCGCAGTTGCAGATTTCTTTGTCTGGTCGATATGCACTCTGGTGACTGGTGCTCTTGGAGCATTGGGGTTCGAGCGGCGGATCGTGTGGTCGAAGATGAACACGCGGTTGCTTCCCTCAACATTCTCCAGTATCAGTTTCTCCACTTCTGGGTAGTATTTTTCTTTGATGGAGGCATCGTCGACGAAATCTTTCTCGGCGGACTCCGATAAGCCAGCTACGACTTGGAATGCGTCTTTGTCGAGGCTGTATTCCTTTTCCCGGCCGCGGATGTCCCGGATTGGAAGCTGTACGTCGAAGTCGCCGAAGTTGCGCTGATGTCCGTCGGCTTGCTTCTCTACGTAGTTGTACGGTACTGAACCATCTTCAGGAGGTCTGAAGTAATTCAAGGTGACTGTAGTATCGCCGCGGGGAATAAATGTGCTGGGTTGGGTGCCCTTGGTATATTCTGCTTCAGCGCGGGCTGACTGTGAGAGGTTGTGTGCCGCAGTGGCATGTTGAGGTGCTGCGGTCGTCATGATGGTTCTTTTGGTGGCTCTCAGTATGCGGTATCTAGGGAAAACGCGTATTTGTTTTGATACTGTTGTTCTAAACGTAGTTGAACTGTTGCAGAACAGTGGACTATTTGGATGGTGGTCTGGATGTGATGTGGATGTCAGTGAGGAAGAGGAAGAGGGGAATAGCAATATATATTTCAACAATTTAGTTCAAAACAAGTTGGCGTCATGGCATGTTAGAAATCATTGAGGATTACAAAAACATCGAGATATCCCCGCTGGCGAGTCAGCCGAGGGCGGATGGATATCGGGATACCATTCGTTGAGATGGAAGGAGGTTGTTATTGCCGAAAAGCACGCAATAAAATCCGGGGTCGCTTAATACAAACACACTGGGGTGGCGGATTTCTGGCTTGCTTTTGGGCGGTGAAACGGGGATAATGGCGAGAAATACGAAGAAAAGGCGTGAGTTTAGTAGAATGACGTCTCGTGGCCGTTGGAGTTAAGCTCTGGTTTGTCGTGCAAGCACGCCCTGCGAGTCTGCGACGTGAGAAATCCCATCTGCATTACAAAGCAGAAGCAGAAATGCAGAAATGGGTTCAATTCGCGCCATAACTCCCCGTGCCTTGTGGTGTTTTCCATCAAAATAATCTGCTTTCAGTTTCAGAGCCTTGGGGTCTCCCTCAGGATGGTAATCAAGCCAGCATAACATGATAAGTCCTACCAATGACCAATTCAGTATCTGGTACGACACTTACTTGTGCAAACAATCTCTCTTTGTCTCATAATTGTTCTCGTTGCGAAGTGCCTGCTTCGTTGTATAATCCCTTTCCTTGGCAGAGGTTTCCTCATCAACAATTGGGAGCCATCAATCTCATTTGTGTATGATTCCCCCACGACTTTTCAGACTGTCAACTGTGTTCAATAGTTGAATGGCTTGGACTACTCTTAAGCCCAGGAAAATGATCGTTATTCAGGACGCGAGTCTCCCTCCACAGAGTCCCAGGGGCAAATTCTCAAGAGTGGAGCACGTGAACGCGTGGGCCCGGCGCTAAAAGTAAACAAATCCACCTCAAACCAAAACATGAAGTCCGAAATGAAACACTGTAATTATGAAGCTTTCACATTTCCGACATAACTGAGCACAGCATTCGCTAGGTATCCATCGCGTCTCACTTCATCTGACGCGTCTCTCAAGCAAATATTAACAATAATTGCTTCATTTCCAATGCGACAGCGATAAACATGGACGAAGGAATGGTATCCTCTCCGGACCCTCTCAATGACTCTGCCACCTACCAATCTCCTGCGAAACCTCGTCGTTCGTCGCGTGCCAGACGTAGCTTACCCCTCCAAGGAAGCTCTCCGAAGAAGCAGACCTTTGAGTTGGATGTTGGGAACAGCATATCACCACAAAAAATTCGAGTAACAGTGGAGGCTGGATCCTCGGACGCGGAAAATGCATATCCAGAACTTAATGGCCCATCCGCGTCGCCAACGCGAGTGCCAAGGAACAGAAGGAGAGAGAGAACAACTACAACTACGATTCCGGTGAAGGGTCTTGAGGACTCCGAGGACGAAGCTCCCCAGGCGGTTACTCCGAAGCGTGGCAGAGGTCGGCCAAGGAAGTCAATTGGAACTCCTGTCCCCACGAAGAAGCCTGGGCGTGCAAGCACACCAACTCAGAAGCATAGGAGGAGGTCAATCGGATCTCTGGTAGATGGCGATGATGATGAGGATGTGAATTTCCAGATTGGCAAAGGAGTGGAAATTGGAAGAGGGAAGGGCAGGTCAAAGTCCAGGTCCAGATCAACAAAGGGAGTTAGGAACTCTACACCAGCGTCCAAAGATGCGGCAGCCGCGGCGAAACCTGCGTCGAGCGCAGTGAGTAAGAAGGGTAGAGGCCGCCGCAAATCTTTAGCACCTGAAGAGATTGAGGTGCTGGAGGATGAAAGCTGCCAGGGCAATACGAACGACCAGGAGCAAGACTTTGGAAATTACGACAATGATGGAGCGTTGGAGGCTATCGACGTCAATACACAGAATCAGCCCTCGCCCTACTCTACAATTCGATCCACTACAACTGTTGGAGGGGCTGAAACGGATATTGTTATTGCACGATTTGATCCAGGTAATGAGACGCCACGGAAGCCTGGTTGGTCAAGTCCACATGTGATCGAAGCACCACAGCCGTCTAGCTCTAGGCGTCGGGTTAATAGCTATCCGTCACCATCCATATCACCTGAAAAGTCAACTTTCGGCCAATACGAAGAGGAGAGTGTAGCAAGGGTTCTTGTCACGGAGTCGGAAGGACGAAGATCTCCAGAGTCAGCCCATGACGGTTACGACGATGACCATTACAATGAAGAAGATGGAGATGTCGTTGAACAGTACCGAGACTTTGACACGATACTGGAGAGTGAAGGCTTCAGTATGATCTCTGTCGACTCAGTTCCCTCACTTCGAGAGCATTTTAGCAGCCCTGCAAATCAACCAGAGAAGCAACAGCCCACCCAAGCCAGAAATAAGTCACTTCTCACAGTCCGAGAAGATGCTGCTTATGATGATTCCTTCTCGGCTATTCCAGAGGAAGTCCTTGAAGCTGCTACTCCTGCCCGAAAGCCACAGAACCCCAGGCTCTTATCAGTTCAGTCAGCCCGAGTAGACGACTCTTTTTCAAGTATACCGCCGGAAATACTCCAGGCTGCTACACCTGCCCGGAAATCTCAGGTGTCTAAGCTTATTTCTCAAAACACTCCCGTGAACGATTCCTTCTCGAGCGTTGCACCGGAAATCCTCGAGGCAGCAACGCCACACTCCAAAGCGCCAAATAAGAGGCTGTCAGCAGCAAATCTAGGAGTGAACGACCAGTACGAGGACTCATTCTCGGCCATACCTACAGATGTTCTAGACGCAGCTACTCCAGCAGCAGCCCGTCATGGCGCGCGTCCGCCATCCGAAGGACAGAGCGTTCTTGTTCCCCGAGCGAGCATACCACCTTCCCATGGCCAGGAAGCAACTGCAGCACCACCGCGTCTCTTGACTCCTGACGAGACTCCATCTCCACCTGCTGAAGGATCTGATGGTCAGCGCCCAAGCTCGAATGGCAATACTTCTGCACAAGATTCACGCCAAGATATCTCAATAGCACATTCTCATCTGCCATCTTCTCCACCGTCGATAGCACCGCGAAGATATACCTACACTGCGCATCTTCGTCAGAATCGCCAATTTAATCCTAATATGACACAAACACCGTCAATTGTCTTCTCATCTCCGACACTCCCTCCGCCAATTCAAATAAACCGTGGGATTCCAGTACTTGCGCCACCATCAGAGCAGGCTGAACGTCCAGCTCTGTCCCCAATTGTCCGTGCTGGGCGTATGCTCCAAGATATCCTTGTTCCGTCATCTCCTCGAAGCAGATCTCAAAGCCTGGGCAGTCCATTCAAAAGCCCAGCTGCAGATAGAAGATCTTCTTCGATCATTGTACAGGACTCATATCCTTCACCTGTATACGAGCGACTTGCTGGCCCATTACCGAGATCCGATCTCAGTGGTCGCTTTGATGAAGGAAGCTCGTCTCAGCGCCAATCCAGGCCATCTCAGCAAGATGACCCTTTCAGGAATAGCGCCACATCACAACAAAGATCGCCATCGCCGGAAGAGAAACAGCAGTACACCCTCGAACTTCCTCAATCAAGACATCATTCTGACCCTCGCCTTCGAATCAGTAGACCTGAACCCGAAACCATTCGTAGTGATGACGCTATGAGCTGGCAGGCTGAAGAGGAAGTCCCTCTTCCTGGCAGTAGCATATCGTTACGGAACAACATCGATTTATCTAATAATTCACGAAGCTCAGCGGCTGTAGAGACGTCTCTTGAGGATCGATGGGCAGCTGAGCGTGCCGCTGTTGTCCAGCAAGCTGCGAATGCCAATTCAAGCAAAGTCATTGTGGTTGACTCTGATGACGAGCAGTCTAAAGACGGTCAAGACGAAGACGAAGATTTTGGACTACTCTTAGAGACTTTGAACTCTTCTTCACCCGTCGTAGAGCGTCGAGACGATCCAAAGGAAGTTTTGGAACGACCCAGAAGAAGCAAGATACCTAGCCCATGGAGAAAGAACAGCAAGCGACTGGTCTATAGCGATGAGCTTTCGCGTATGTCATCTTCTCCTCCCGAATCGAAGGCTCCAGTTGCCAAATTATTTGGAAACTCTTTTGCATCGGAGCCAGTCACCGTTCGTCGAATTGTGCCCCAAGAGCCCGGTGACGACACTGACTTGGATCTGTCACAACACCAAATTCCGCAGAAGGCCAACTTCAATCCTCGTCCTCGCGAATCTGGAAATCTTGATCTATCAGCTCTGCTAGGAAGCTCACCGCCGAAAGGGTTTCCCGCAGTCTCAACTAGGTCACATAAACCCTCCTTCCAAAGGCAACCACAATCGAGCGAGGATTCTTCACGAGAACTGCCGAAAGAGCAACCTAAGATGACGCCGGACGAGCGCATAGCAACGGAGCAAGTCTCAGCCGAGTTTCTTCCAATACCGCAAAAAACAGGATTTAATCCTCGACCTCGAGCATTTCCAGGAGAAGATCCTAAGAAAGAGATGCCCAAGACGAACGAGGCCAGACCACGAGAACAAAACTCTGGCGATTTCAATCCAATACCTCAGAAAATGGGATTCAATCCTCGCCGTCGGGTCTCCTCAGCTGTCAAACCATCAACGGATGTTCCTGCTCTATTCGCTGGCTCAGCGAGACCGAACCAGACCACTAGTTCAGACGATTCAGTGTTGTCATCTCCTGTCCCTACGCCACTCGCTGCATCATTACCCAACCGAGCAAATACCTTTCAAGGGAACCGAGATTCCTCCAATGAAGTGTCGCCAGACTGTAGCATTAACTCCAATTCCTCTAATCCAGACAAGGAAAACCAAGCCATTAACAAATCAAGGACTCTCAAATGGACTGAGTCCCTGAGCCTGGACACGACAACTAACGTTGTTCTGCAAACCCCTCTCCCACCTCTCACCTCACCAACAAAGTCCTGCCTCCGCTCTCCACTCAAAACACCCTCTGCCGGACCAAGCTTTGGTTCAGCAACCGCGAATCTCAGTCCTAGTAAAGGCGTAACATGGGTTTCCTCATCCCCAACGCCTGAGTCACCAATGGAAGAACCTCTGTCAGCATCAACCTGGTCGAAAGACCACTGGCGTCTTCTCGACACCATTGTTCAAAGCTGGAAACCAGAGAACAACGTCTCGCCGTTTTCCAGCGATGACAAGGAGAGCAGCGCTCTCAGGAGAAGGAACTCAACTCGTGTGATCAGCAGACTGCTAGGCAAGAATGTGTTCAGCGGTGATCAGAAGATGAAGTTGGAGCAGTGGCATTTGGAAGCTGTGGATGAGTTCAGGGGCTGTGTACCTGGTTGGCAGGAGAAGGTTATTGCGATGAGGCTTTTTGCCTTGTTGGTTGGGGAAGAACGCAGGGCAAAGGGGCTGGTTGGTGGGGGGAGAGCGGGGAATTATGATCATCTGAATTAAATAGGAGAGATTGTTGGTAGGCATAGATAGAGCAAGTCTGTATTAGAGTAGTAGCCTTGACAAGTATCAAATTGTAGATATGGCGTTGAGGGAGTTTATGGGTGTTGGAAGTAGCTTAGCGGGGTTTCCTGATTGGTTTCGTTTGTTTGGATAAGGAGAAGAATGATACGTATACTCTATATCTTGACTTTGTGGATGCATCAATGCTTTGTTTACTTCGCGTCGCCTTCGGTCAGCAATTTTTGTCACGCCATGCCTATGATCTTGTAATACATTTAGCATTGCATGTCCCTATGTACATTTCATAGCATTGACCATCTTTTGGTCTTCCCTTAGCAAAGCCATCCATCACATCTCCAGCGCCAGAAAATGCCCGATATGCCTGCCAGCTTAACGCCCAAAGCTTTTCCCTTCAGAACGCCCGCCAAAACGAAACAAATATTGTCCAAGCAAGATTACTTCTCCGTCGCCAGAATCATCTTCTCTCTCTCATTCAGTCTCTTCTTGAACTGCTTCTTCGTATGCTTCCGCTCGTTCTCCTCTCTCCTCTTGATAGCCTTCAATTCCTCCGTCTTGATCTCGCCAGCCTTCTTAACAACCTTTGGAATGTGTCTGTGGCGCTTGATGCGGCGGATCTCCGGCATGTGTGCATATCTCTCTGTCAGAGCTTCGCTGTACTCAAGGGCTTGACGCTGCTTTGCTGATTTGATACCGCTTCTCTCAGAGGCGTTAGCGCGCCACAGACGGATGTTGCCGTCGTCTGATCCAGAAAGAATGTATTTGGAGTCCGGGGTCCATTTGCATGAGAAGACGCGCTGCATTCGTTTCGTGTGGTAGATGTCTCTCGAGTGTCCCTTCATTCTGCTCCAGAGTCTGACAGTTCGGTCGTAACTTGCCGACACGAGCTCTTCGCCTGTAGGACTGAACTCTACATCCATGACGGCTGCTACGTGATCCTTTAATACGTTGAGTGCTCGGTCCATTTTCCGCATGTCAAATATGTAGATGTTGTGGTCTTCGCTGGCGACTGCGAAGTTCATTGCCTCCATTGGGTTCCAGGATATTGCATTTCCGGGGAACTTCAAGATAGTCCTGGCAAGTGGCATGGAGGTCCTTAAATCGTAAAGCACAATTGATCTATCGGTTGCGGCTGATCCAAGGATAGATGTTTCGATGGGATTGAAAGAGACATTTGTGATCGTATCTGTGGTCGTAGGCCATCGAAGGACTTCTGGAGTGGCATTTTGCTTCTCCAAATCATAAATGGAGATGACCTCTGAAGATACTGCGAAGGAAGGTTTTGACCGATGGTGCGAGATACTTGTGAAAGCATTGGTCCCCAGCCAAGTTGCTGTAGGAGCACTGTCGGGCTGTGTATCATATGGCGACCACAACTTGACCGACCTATCACTGGCACAAGTCAAGAGCTTTTTATCTTGAGTCCAGCACATCCCCTTAACCAAGTTCTCGTGGGCAGATGTATGCCATATCTCGTCTCTGCTGGTCAAGTCCCAGACCTTGACAACTCCATCACCACTTCCACTGGCAAATCTCTCTAAGGAATTCGGATCCTTCGCAAGGGTGTATACTCCGTCGACGTGACCTTTCCCAAGTTGCGCAATGAATGGCGCTGCAAACATGCGCTCTAACTTTGTCGCATTGAGTGCTCTGGTGTACTCGCGTGAGCGAGCAAATGGATGGAGGGCTGGGTCGAGATTTCGAGGTGCTTTTTGCGCCGATGTGCCTGGGGCTTGCGCCGAGGACGTGGGCCTACTTAAAGCTTTGATTTTCTGAAGTCTTGATCAGCAAAGCGTACCATGGTATCGGGCAGATTCAATAACATACCATTGTGTAGTTACGGTATCATCGCCGTCGTCTTGTCCTGCAGGGGAGAAGTTTATCAAAATTATATGGAAGCGGCCGCATTGGTGCAGGGATCTAAACTTTAGCGCATTCGCGTCTAGCTTCCGCCTTGCGTTGAGGTACAGCAACAGAGAGCTTCCAAACAACCCCAACATAAACACCCAATTCCATCTTCAACATACATCAAGATGGCTCCAGCAGACTCGGCACGGATAGTGGAGGCGAAGAAGTTGACAAAGTCAAATCCAAGAGAGGCGGAAGCACAGTACAAGGAGATCATATCCAAAACACCCTCTGCGACTTCAGATGCTGCGGTACGAGAGTATGAGACTGCTCTGGTCAGTTTAGGAGAATTATACCGGGATCAGAAGTGAGTGGTGATTTGAAGGGCATTGTCAGGATGGTATTTACAATTTCTATAGGAAGCCAAATGAGCTGGTAGACCTCATCACAACAAGTCGGACTGTACTGTCTTCGTTCGCAAAGGCAAAGACAGCAAAGCTCGGTATGTGAATACATTCAGCTCTCAGTCTTCCAAGAATGAGTACTGACATCTTTCTCAACAGTCCGCCAACTGCTCGATCTTTTCCACGGCATTCCCGATACAACCGATACCCAAATCACTGTCACAAAGTCCTGTATCGAATGGGCAACCTCTGAACGACGAGGCTTCCTCCGCCAGAACCTCGAAACCCGTCTCGTAACCCTCTACATGACCAAAGCCTCATACTACGATGCCCTCACTCTCATCAACAGCCTCCTCAAAGAGCTCAAGCGCCTCGATGACAAGCTTGTCCTCGTCGAAGTCCAACTCCTCGAGTCGCGCGTCTACCATGCTCTAGGAAACGTAGCCAAAGGCCGCGCAGCCCTCACCAGCGCCCGCACATCCGCCGCATCAGTCTACACGCCTCCTCTCCTCCAAGCAGGTCTAGACATGCAATCTGGAAAGCTCCACGCCGAAGACAAGGACTTCAACACTGCATTCTCATACTTCATCGAAGCGCTAGACGGCTACCACACACAAGACGAGCCCGAGAAAGCCACCGCCGCACTCCAATACATGCTCCTCTGCAAGATCATGCTCAACCTCGCCGACGACGTCAACCAGCTCATGACCAGCAAGCAAGCTGTCAAATACGCCGGCAAGAACCTCGAAGCCATGAAAGCCGTTGCGCGCGCACACTCCAACCGGTCCCTCGAGGAATACGAGAAGGCCCTCGGCGACTACAGACACGAGCTCGGCAGCGACCCGTTCATCCGCAACCATCTCCGCCGGCTCTACGACGCCATGCTGGAGCAGAACCTCATCAAGGTGATCGAACCGTTCTCTCGCGTTGAGATCGACCATATTGCTAAGATGGTGGGACTGGATACGCAGCAGGTGGAGCGCAAGTTGAGCCAGATGATCCTCGATAAAGTGATTATTGGGGTTTTGGACCAGGGGGCGGGGTGTCTGATTATTTTCGATGAGACGGAGAGGGATGAGGGGTATGATTCTGCGTTGGCGACGATTGAGAAGTTGAGTAGTGTGGTTGATGTGCTGTATACTAACCAGGCGTCTATGCTTGAATGAGTGGGCGAATGGGTAGAGGGAGAGACTCGTTTGGCTGGCTAGCTGGGGTGGGAGATTTGAGGGCGGAGTACTCCTAGATGGGCTTGGGAACCACATGCACTGTATCATAGAGGCGTAGATGATGGATGGATGGAAGGAAGGAAGGAAGGCAGCCAAATGAAGAAAAAAATCAAACTTATTGCCAAATGATTCTCATTCCCATCTCCGTCATAGGCGTTTTAAATCGAAGCAAAAACTATCTGTCTGAACAAACAGATATTCTCCAGTTATCGACTGCTTTTGCTCAAGTGAAGCCGTTCGAAACTGTACAGATGAGGCTACGCGGTAAGATTTATAGCTCAGCTCGCTCGTGTATCATCTTAAAGAGGGTGGGTTCTATAATCTCCTGCGTTGTAATTACACGCACAGTTTGTTACCTCGGCCTTTGTCAGGAGCTCATGTGGAACAGGACGCCGGAACTTTCCCTGCATTACCCAGCCCACTAGCATATATCAATGGGAAAAACTCGTAGAGTATCTATAAATAAGGTAGGCGCCTTAATGACTGAAAAACAAAGCCTGGTTGGATTTTATTCTTATTCTTATTCTGATTACGAAATCTAGAGTCTTGGGATCGGCGAAAAAAACAAGACGCCATACCATGGTATATCCCATTCAACCCCATATATAATTCCAAACCATTCAATTCGACGCCACGCCCATCCTTCCAAGTCGCCTGGATCAAGAGAAATTAAAACCTCAACGCCGGCCAGTCCGTCATCAGGCATTACTTGATCGTTCGATCTACCAGTATGCTATGCACATGTATACAATTCAAAACTCCACACCTTTTTAAAGCACCCCAAGCGATAGCAACGAAGAAATCATCCCCTCCTGACTGTTCTCTTCCCAGACTTCGTGATACTATCATCCGTAGCCTGCCTACTCATCGGCGTGCCACCTATGGATGACGTCGCACCCTGAGAAATCTGCTTCAACATCGGCTGTCCACCATAGTCCTCACGAAGACTACTAGTCGGCATAGCAGGAGCAGAGATCTTCTCCTTGTTATCAGACTTGACCCAGTGCTGGTATTTCCTAGGATACGCAGCCTCTTCCAGGAGACTCTTCGCACCCTGCTCGACGTCGAGATTGCTGCCGTAGCCTTTCTCATCGTTGAGAATGCGCGCACGACGCATGACTTCAATGTCGGCGTTGGCGTCTTCGGCGCTGAGACCTTGTAGAGAGACGACTGCGTCTTTGCTGGGGTTGGAGGCGAATTGGCGCGCGTTTTGCTGGTTGATCATCTGTGGGAGTTTGGGGATTTGGCGGGTGAGAGAGAGGAGGTTGGCGGGGTAGTTGAGGTCGTCGTTGGTGAACATGTCGATTCCATAGCCTGAAGCTACGGCTGCGCCGCGAGTGCTGCGAGTTGCGTGAGAGAATTGTCGCTCCATCATTGCACCTCCGGTCGGTGGAGACTCAGCATCTTCTGCTTCCGCATCGCCAGCTGTAGGAGCCTTCTCATGGTCAGAGCTTGAGTCAGACTTGCCATTGGTTTGGTTGTCCGGATCATCAGAGAAGGGTGGATGGCGGAGCATGTAGGAGTGAGCAGCAAGAGCAGCAGCATTGTATGCCATTGTGAGCTCCTTCTCATTGAAAAGCTTGTCAACGCTGTACAGAGAGGATTCGACTTGGTGTGCCATCAATTGCTGCTTCTCAGCGGCCCAAGAAGGAGTGCTTGCACCATTGTCGATACGCTGGCGACTTGGAGCGGGAGACTCATCACTATCATGACCCTTACGCTTGCGCTTGTGACTTTCAGGAAAGTTTGGGAGCTCCTCTGCGTCCCGCCGGTGTCTGGTAGCTCTTTTGCCAAGAATACCACCTGGACTGGCGGGGTTGGCGATTCCGAATTGGCTTGGGTGTAAAAGCAGAGCATGTGTGCTGCCTTCTCCAATCTCAATGGCATCTTTGTCCTTTGAGAGACGAGCCTTCTTACTCATGACCGAATTGATCAGTCGATCTCTAAGGGTCTCGGAGAGAGACTTGTATTCGTTTTTGGACACCATCTTCTTGTAGGAATGGTAGGAGTTGATCTCGTTCATCTTGACATCGTAATCACGCTGAAACCCAGTTAGTGTTATAAGCTCCAGATTTGACAAGACTACGTACCTTGAGTGTGACCATGGCAGTATCTCTTCCCTCCATAGCATCATTGACCTCTTTTGCAAAGTCGGAGTATATTCTACCAGTTCGCAGAGGCGGATCTGTCGAAACCGACTTCATCATAGTCTTTTGAACATTGTTCCGGACCAGCTCATCGATTTCCTCGGCACTGTCTGGAAGTGGGTGCTTGGAGTGAACGTCCGCCTCGGCGATGAGATTGGAGTCAACTTGAATGGATTGGAGTTGGGCGCGGTAATGCTGGTCTCGATTGGCAGAGAAGGACATGGTAATTTCCTGAAGACGCTCTGCGAGAACGGTGCGCTTCTTGTCTCTCTTGGAGAGTTGTTGAGGCTGGAGAGGAGGGGAGTTGGATTGGTGACGCTCGATGCGGTGCGAGGCGCCCATCGTGGGCGAGAGTTGCGGTGATGGACTCATGGCCATGGCTCTTGTAGTTTTGCAGCTTGTGCTGAGATAGATAAATGCTTCGCGAAGCTCTAAAGATTGACGTGGAAATACTAAGTGAGGTAGTCAAAGACTGTAAAGCTCTTCCCAGTTCGTGGTTTGAAGTTCGCAAGTTGTGGAGTTTGGAAAGCACTGGCCGGACGAGAAGAAATAGGGAGGAGCGCAAAATAATTAGCTCATGTGCGCGATAAGAGTTTCTTTCGTATTGTTGTGCATCCGTAGCATTGATCGGTCGGTTGACATTACCAGAGAGTGGGTGGTGCTGCTGTTCCTATTGTCCCAGCTTGAGAGAGGAGTCTGGCGATGGGCATTTGCGCCAAATCGCACATGACGCGAGCACCATCCCTGCAAGCCACCGAGGCTAGGGAATTATTTCTCCCGCTCCGGAAACGTGACCCATAGTCACTCACGTGCGCGCAATTGAGGTCATTGCCTTCCAAGACTAGAACATATGAAGGATGAGTGAGGAATTTGAGGTTCGCATAGGCAGCATAATCTCTGCAATCTTGTGAAAGTACATTTAGTGAGAAATTTCTGCTCCTGAACCTGGAAGCCGGTAAGCGAGGTAGTCAAAGTAAGGTAAACAAAAGAAAGTTCTGCCACTCATTATTACGATCGATCAAATTATATCTCATGGTTCGAGAAGCCATGAAGTCATGAGTTTGTAAGTTCACAAGGCCCTATCAAGATAAAAGCTCGGAGACAGGGCCTATCCACGTAATACATCTATTAATGGGCCCGCAAACTAAGTAGAGTGCGAGAATTATCTTGCATTTATAATTGAACGACTGAATCATCTATTTCTATCAGATCTGCAAGAATACACGCAAGCAGGTAAGAACACCATATCGCCATTCATGCAGATGTTCTCTTTATTGCGTCCCTGCATCCATTGCTTTTCTTCCCCCACAAACCCGAACTCGAATGCTAGCATGCCGTGCCGCAAAAACGCCGTTGAAATGTACCGAACTATGCATGCTTGGTTCTACTGCTGGGAAATTCGTACAGGCATCACCATCCCAAAACGCCAGTCCATGTAATCCCCTAAAATCGCAAGAAAATCACGCCTCCCATCCACCCCCATGTATTTCCAGTCCAAATACGCCTCGCTCTCGCTATGATGCAATGCATTTTCAAAGTCGGAATTTACTGGGATCCGCTGGGTCCTTCACTAGAACCAGCAGCAGGATTGGCAAAGTCCCGGAATCCAGGGGGAATAGCCCAACCATGCATCTTGCAAGAACGCTCATAAGCATCGATAGCCTCTGCGGTTCCGTAATCGCGCTGTGATCCTTTGTGCTTATTCTCCAAACGAGCCGGACGGTCGATGTTCATCATTTCGACGCGGACCTGGAGGAGAACGCTCTCGATCGTAGAAACTGAAGTCCAGCCTGTGTTGGTCAATAACTCCATGCACATCGCACCACCTGCTGTGACATGACCGCCTCCTCCAGCTTGGAAAGGTAGGAAACGCGGGCGAATAACCCGGACGAACGGTGGACTGAATGGATAGTCCTTTCCAAAACGAATCTCAAGGACGATGCTTGTAACATCAGCTGCCTTCATGTCTTGCGCCAAAGGAAGACTTGCATCGAAAGAGTGTAGTTCTACAATCCATTGATAGACGTTACTGATCAAGTCTGGGTTGATGTACCAGCCGAGTTCGTGGAGGGGGGTCTTTGCTTGGATAGCCAACACCTCTTTCAGATTTCTACTCAATGTCTTTGTGGCTGACGATGTGGCATACAACGGAGGTTGTAGCATCGGAAGAGTTGACTGATCGAGCCAACCAGCGACAAAATCTGTCATGGGCTTGCCATTCTCCTTCGATGTACTGCGGACTAGTCAGATCGGCAGCGCAACATGACTTTCAGTATCGGTAACTCACACTAGCACATCCTTTTCATTCGATTTGCCTTTGCCTCTGCCAGAGACGCCTTCATCATCGTCTGAGAACATAAAGTCGATATCGGATATGTTTTCTCCATCACTCTCCAATTCAACGACTTGTATAAGGCTTCCAGTTGAGTCATTCTTACGCTTCTTCTTTGCAGGTGTGTCGCCAGCGCTGAATCGAAAAGCTCGAGATATTGAAGCTGCGCAGAGGGGTACACCAATCGGCTTGCCAAGAGTCGACATAGCTGGGCGCTTAGGATCTTGCTCAACCTCGGCGGCAGGATTTACAGCGCTATACACCTGTTAGCCTAAAGAATAAGACAAAGCTAGACATATGCAATCAAAATATGTTGAGATTAATTTCTAAAGCTTAACATACCTTGAGACCTTTGATGAGTTATTTCCGCCAATCGGACTCGTATATGTGGGATTATCAGCTCCTGAGTTACCTCCTTGAACTTGAACCAGAAGGTATCGGCATTCGATCCAGTCGATATGCTGGACGACGAGGTAAGGACTGCTGCTAGCAAATTGAGTGGGGCAGTTGACGATCTCATTCAGACTCATGGCTGTATTGACCTTCAATTCAGAGCCGTGCCATCTAATCTGTTGTGGAATGTGATTAGCAATTATACCTCAAATACATAGGACGCGGGAGCTTACTGTATTAGGTTGAGCATAACCCACAGATGTAGCTTGGTCGATCGCATGATATACCCCGTGACCATAGGCTCTGCCGTTCAGCGTCTCCTTGAAATCAAGTCCAGATCTGATGATACTGTGCCAATTACACAAAGCACTTCCGTGCCAGGCGAAGATAGTTGGGTATTTGGCATCAAGGCTTGCTTGCTGTGCACGAAGAGAATTCAAGAATCTTTGCTCTTTATCTGGAGATCCCTGTGCAAATCGAAACTGAACCCAGCTCTCCGAGATTCCTGTTAGTCGCTGGTCAAGTCTAGTCTTTGACATTGCTAATTCCGTGTCGGACTGACCGGGACATCTATCAACCTGGACGATGCATGAGCGATTTGAGGCAATGATCCAGCGAACTATCCCTAGAGCTGCTGGTGATACGCGTTCCTTCCAAGCTTTGAGGCTTGGTTCGCTGTCACGACTTTGTTGGATGAGGAATGTGCGAAGTTCCCGGATCGATGGCAGGGTTTCCAAAAGCATGACAATAGTCTCGCCCTTCTGCAAATCGTTCATTTCATCGAAGTTCTGATTATATGTTGCAAGCTTCGCTGGCACTAGAGAAGGGGGTGGCGGGGTAGTTGCAGGAGTTGCGGGAACTCCTGTGAGATTTGAGGAAGGATCTGACATGACCATGCCATCATTACCAAGTTGATTAACTGCAGTCGAAGATAGCTTTACCAAAGGGAAGTAAGAAATATCTTCAACTCGAAAGTGATCTGGAGAAGGCCGACCTGAAAAGGTTAGCATGACCTTGTCAGGAAACGACCTTTGGACTTACTAGCAGCTGTGATAACAACCCAGTCTCCATTTCGGACAGGAGAACACATAAGTTTCTCGTCAAAAAAAGTGATTTCCTGGCGTTGAAGATCAAGTTTGATTTCAATCTGTAACGAAGAAGCATCCGGAATCTCGACTGTAGCATTTACACCGGGATTTATTACTCTCGTGTGCATTCTTCCAGCATAGGTCCCAACAGTTACAGAGCTCAGCACTGGTGGCACCGAGAGACTCATACCAGTCGGATACTCTCGAAGTCGACGGGCCTGCCAATTATGTGTCAGTTATTGCAGTTTATTGCAGTCAAGAGAGCTGGGAGAGGGGAAAAGGGGCTTACGTATGCGCTCGAGTAGCAGAAACTGATAAGCAGATCAACCACGTATGGCTGTGTCAATATCTCGTGTTCGACACTAGGTCCAAAGCCCAACGACATGTACTGATAAAGACAGAGAGGCTTGCTACAGACATACGGCTTCAATGCTTCAAAGTCTTCCTCGATTTTGTCATGACAAACGAGACAGAACTCCGTACAGCGAGTCAAGTACCGCAAAGCAAACTGAGCCGCGATGAAAGGAAAGGAGATCATCTTGGCTTGATGATCTGTCAGATGGTCTGCAGCAATGGCAGTGGGAAGGATACTGTCCTTCTGCATATCTGACTCCTCGAAATACTCCGTGGGAAGGTCGGCAGCCTGATCATCTAGGCGTCCTTGTTTATCATTGAAGTAACGTTTTTCTCCATCCCAACCTACGCCAACTGCGTTCCGAATCTTCAACAGGGCAACGAACTGGCTATTGATGAAGTCATTCAATGAGCTGCTGATGAAAATGTTGGAGAACCCTGCAGTAGCTTTCTGGAATTCATCGTCGCTATTCTCTGCAGTTTTCTGCTTGTTACCGTCTTTCGAACTCTCTCTGAACACCGCAAGGGCCTCGAGAAGAGTGCATTTGTATTTGTTGCTAACACCGACGCGAAAAGCCACACCAGGAGACTTAGAAGGATCGTTGATAATATCCTCAAAGCTCTTGTAGCCGCTCGAGTACCGAATCAAGAGAACGAGGTATTGCTGCGGTTCCAGATCCCAGGCTTGTACAGCCTCTTCGGACAGTCCAAGCTTGGCAACTCTAATCGACAGACTCAGAATGCTGTTTTCTGACTCGGCCTTCATCCCATTGAGGACTCCGACTGAAAAGCCTGCTAACTTTGCCGTTCGGAGGTCATTTCGAATGCGATTGTTTAGGTTTTTAGCCGATTCGGGGTCTAGGTTTCTGACAGCGGCGTGTGAGCTCACGCCGTGTCTGACTGGATCCAGTCCAAACCCGTCGTCTTCGGAATAGTAGTCTTCCTCTTCCTCGTCGTCATCAAATTCGTCATCCTCCTCGTCTTCTCCATCGATATCGACCATTTCAGTATCTTCGTCATCGTCAAGAGCTAGAGGGTCCTCTTGCGAGCCACTTGCAAGTACTCGCTGGAGCTTCTGCGAAACCGTAGTGATCAACTCAGGGAGACGCATACCAAAGGAGTAATTTAGGATCTCATCAAAAACTGTTGCGGCCGCCGCAGGAGCATTTTGCGAATTGGTGTAGGCCATGAACATAGTCTCGGAAGGATACGAAGCAACATCTGTCACAGTTAGTGGATTCCGTGATGTCTTGGTAACATGCCAGTTGAGTTTGAAGTTGTGATTTTGTCAAAACAGCCGCTTGCACCTGTTGAAAAAATGACTGCTACCATGACGCTGTGTAATACCAACGGTAGACTTTAAGAGAGAAGACGAACCTGGTTGTGCCATGAAATTAATCTCGAAAGGTGCCCCAGAGGCGGGAACGAAGGTGACAATAACATCGTCGTCAGGTCCCCGAACAACACTGTCGATTCCTGGGATATTCTTCTCGGCCGCTGCTTGTACATCTGCGACGAATGTCTTTCGAGGCATGATATGAACGGAGCAGGCTGCTGCCTACAGTAAAGCGTTGGCGACCCAAGGTATTGGAGATTAGAATATTGAACTGGTTGGAAATGTCGACTCTGTAGAGGAGGTATTTGAGGCAGAGCTTCAAATTTCGTGTCCAGGAAGAAGAGTCGTTAATGGTGTCGTGCGGTGAGGTCACTGTATGAGTCGCAAATAGCGCAGGGCTGAGAACCGGCGCCTGTGTTGGATCGACCGGAAGGCGAAGATGATTACACAGTCAAGCAACGTTGATGAGTGTCCTACAGTCTCGCAGAGATCTGTAGAGGTTGCGCGATAATACTGTGCTCCAGAATTGGAGTGGACTTCGCGGTGGTTGAAGGAGCGTTATTCTTTGGGAGAGGAGGATGAATCAAACCGAATGGATCGAAGTGGTAGCCTTGTCTGCCCTGCCAGTCATTTGGCCCTGCTAGGCAGCACAGCCTAACCTCGCCTCGCCCTAGCTTGACGCAAGGACATTTACAGGCCAATCACAGGGGCGGCCACCGCCTGTCCTTCGTTCTGGTTCTGGGCTGTGGAGAGTTGCAAATGTGAATCAGTCATGCCATCCAGAGCTCTGGGTTGGTACCTCAGTTGAGCCTGACTATTTTCCTGTGCCGATGAGATGTACAGGTTTCCACGAATTAGAAGAGCAGATCCCTCCAATGTTGCCTCAAACCCTATATTTCTGTGCCTGACGAGACAGAGAGGGTTCAGCAGTAACACACCACACTACCTAGGTACTATTCGCAGAATGAGTGCAGACTTCAGAGTCGTTGGAACAAGAAATGCCGGGCCCTAGGGCCAGGGCCCCTCGCCCTCACTGATGTTCCTGTCAAAGCTCCCCTCATCCCTGTAAATATAGCGAGCGGAAGCATCCCTGCACCCCACCAACCAACGCCCTGAGGAAGCCTGATCCCCCGCCTGCCGGAATGTGCCACACAACATCCCGCGTTGGGCCTTGTCAAAGTCAAAATAAGTAGCATCACCTACCCGGGCTGTTCTGTTCTAAAAGCAGATCACCTCACAGCAACTCCCTCCCTCCCTCCCATCTCACAACAGTCACAACAGCCATGGCCTGGGACTCAAAATCAGCGAGACGGCGGCAGAACAGCAATGCTGCTTCAAAGGCACTGCATGCTCAAGCTAAGCCGGTCCCGATCATTGAACCGAAATCTGCACACGTTTCCGATCCAGCCCTGCAACCATTCCTGAACCCCTCCTTTGACCCCGCCGAATACCTCAATGCAACACTGCCCTCCCTCCAGAGCTTGAATGCCTCACAATCTGCAAGAGGCAGTGTACCTCTTGCAGATCTATCCACGCAGACCCAAACCCTCCTCTCGCATCTCAGCGCGCATACTACGAGACTGACAACTACCTTGACCCAACTCACCGACGAGATCCTACGAAGTGGCAGTCGATTGGCATACGAGGTTGAAGTTCTACGTGGAGAAACATTGGGGCTTTCAGAGGCTTTGACGGAAGGGTTACAAGACGATGTAGCCAAATTTGTGCCAGGTGGACTGGACCAAGAACTTACACGGAAACAGCCCAAAGCAGTGGAAACAAATGGAAATAGGAGGAGGTCTTCGACAATCACAGTGCCCAAGACACCAGTACGGGAAGAAGTTCCAGCTATTGTGGACCCTCCATATATCCAGAAACTACGCACTCTTACGCTGGTCCGATCACGGCTTGAAACGGTTATACAGACTTTTGGGGATGCGATGGCTTGGACTTTCCCACCTTCAGAAGTCTCAGTCACTTCTTCGTTTCTCTCTGTTTCAGCTCCAGAACCTGGGTCTGAGATGCATAGTACGGAGGAGAAAGGACAGCAAGTGTCAAGGAAGCTGCGAGATGAGATAGCAGATCTGTTGATTGGAGGAGACCCAGTGGATGGTATTGAGGCAGCGGCTAAGAGAGTGGAGGAGTTGAAAGAGCTGGCTATTGTGTGGAAAGGCACAGCAGAAGAGAGAGCCAGGACGAAATTCGTCGATAACTTGGCAAAGATGGTTGAGGATCGACATCGAGATCTATTACGGGAAGCTGAGCAAGATACTCGTTTGCGACAAAGGGTCGAGACGTTGGAAGAGGAGGTTAGTTCTGGAGATAGTAAGCCACAGAGTGGTTATGGATTCCTCAGTCAGCTACAAAAGCTACGAGGGTCATCATAATTCAACCACAAGTTATGCTGCAACATTTTGGATTTCGATCACATTACCAAGAGTATGGATCTTCATATTTCTGTTCCGTCTTTGGATTCATGGCAACCTCAACGCAATCAGGACATGAATGGGCTGATCCACCGTCCTTCTAATTGTCACAAGTACAGTACCTGGCGACAGACCAGAGCTGGTGAGCCATATTGACATGCTTCCAGCTTGATATTGGACACGCCGAGTACAAGCAGGTCTTTGGCCTAGATATGCTCCGGCTTCCGAAACCTCCAAGTTGTCTTCAATTCTTTGGCAAAGATTCTATTGCGATGTCTTAATTGCTCTATTTATCATTATCACATTCGCAGATCATTGTGGCGTTCTGATATCTGTCCTGGGCAAGACATATACTCCAAGTCGCGTCTCCCTTGCAGTGCATTCCTCTCCCTTACCTCCCCCAACATGTCGTTTAACTTACAGACCCCTTCCTTTTACCAAGATTCAACAGTCGTTCGGGAAGAAACTCGCGTGTATGGATGGTTCTACATCAACGACACGTCTCTCACCCGCTGTTTTTTTCTCTATACCTTAGACACAGAATTGTAAAACGACCATGAAATACGGCCATCTACCAGGCGGGCCTCCACAAAGGCAAAGAGGCTCTCCAGCAAGAATAGTAGCTGGCCACATCGTCTCCCAATTTCTTCGACCAGGCAGGGTTCGAAGCAGACTCCTACTCCTCTCACTTGCGCTCTTTGGAAGTCTTTTTATCCTCTATGGACGACGACATTCTGTAAGTATGACAATTCCCCGATGTATCCACAACTCCAGCCTTCGAAATCCCAAAACAGAAGTCAATCCATCACTAACTATGACAGACTGAGCTCCACTTCACAGCCGCAACACTCACCACCTACATCCCCACCGGCATCACCTCCACCGTTGCCACACAGAACGAACCTGGAACCGAAAGTGAACCCGAATATGAAATCCAAGATACCCGATGGGACGATACCAAGAACGGAAGTGATTCCAATCACATCGTATTCAAGAAACCGACATTCCACCTTGTGATCCCAGCATATAAGCCTTCAGCTCCACTTTGCAGAGCTCTCCTCTCAGCTGCGATTTTGGATTTCCCGCCGCCGACGTTGATTGGGTATGGTGGTAAGCCGAATAAAGAAAGACTGAGTTTGGATGGCGTCAAAAGTACTTTTGGCTTTTTGACTGGGAAGGACGTGAGAGCCGATGATTTGGTGCTTATTGTGAGCGAAGGTCAGTTAAACTCCAAGCTATAGTTCCTCCTCCACTTCGTTATTTAGCCAATTGTCAGTTCATTGAGGCCTCAATGTTTTCATATCTATATTTTCAGTTTTCAGTCCGGAGGCATGGTTTTATATGACCGCTTCTTCTGATCTGTTATCTACTTTGGTAATTTTGCCAATCCGAAAGAGCATTTGTTTCATCGGCAGAGCTACGAGGTCAAATCTGGAGGATAACTTACAGTCTCATTATCTCATCTGGCTCTCGTATTATCAGCTCTTACCTCTCGCCTTTTTTTTGCTACAATAAAATATGCCCAGCTACCTAACAATCACTAGATACAATATTCCAGCTTCCTGCTCCCATCACACTCTCCCGGTTCTTCTCCAACCTCCACTCCGCCTCCACCACTCTCCTCAAGCAATACGGCCGTCTCCCAAACACGGACGACTCCACCTCCAATAAACCTCAAAATCAACCACCTCAGAGATACACACCCAAGCTCCTCTTCAGCGCCAGCAAATCCTGCTTCCACGCCTCAGACTCTCAAGCCTGTCTTTCAGTCCCAGACTCACCCCTCCCACACCCACTTTCCACCCCCAACGCCAAACCCCAAACAAGTGAAGGAATCAACACCTCAGCAACCACTCACCCCCCTCATTTCCTAGGGTCAGGCCTACACATCGGCCGCGCATCCTCTCTCATCCCACTTTACAAGCGCGCAACCGAACTCCTCGAGATCTCAGACCTCGTTAAGAACGGCGTGAATACACAACATGTCTTTCAGCAACTCTTCGGCGAGCAGGAATACGCTCGTTCTTTGGTCCTAGAAGAAGAGAAGAAGCAGCGGCCAACGTGGAAGAACTGGCTTTCTTCGATTTTCTCGAAACAAAGTTCTGAGGGTGAATTAAAGCCGGAGATCACACCAAACGATGAAGGGAAGGAAGGCCAAAATGCAGATGGTGAGAAAGAGTTTGGCATCACACTCGACTATAGCAGTTCTGTGTTTCAGGATCCAGAGGATAGTATCCAGGATCTACAATTCGTTGTTTTTGATGACCAGAAAGGGGGGTCAAAGAATGGTGCCCCATCAAGGATAGAGGGTAAAGCTAAGACGTGGAAGATTAAACGGCCCATACGCCTCCCTAACGACCTCTCAAAATCACCAGGTCCATTCGAAGATATGGACTTATCCAGTATCAAGTCAACCCCATACTCAAAAGAAGGAACCCACACGGACTCTACCTCCTGGTCTGAAATCCCACTCCTAACAAACACCCTAATCCCAGCCTCCTCCATTCCCGCAATCCTCAGTCTCAATCTCCCCAACACCAAAGACCCCGTCACCCAAAATGACCTATGGACCAGTCTCTGGTTCCACAACTCCTCTCGCCGCCTCTTAACCCAACACGTCCAACTCCTCACCGCAAACCCCAACCCCGAACCTCTTTTTATCACCGCCTCCTCATCTTCAGATTCCAAAGGTAAAGGAACAGGAAAAGGTGGTAGCGGAGACACAGCTAGTGATATCACGCACTATCTTGATATCAGGCCTGGGAAATCGCCACTGGGTGCTTGGACTGACAAGGGGGAGTGGGTCGGGTGGAAGGATCTTTGTGGGGGGTTTGGTGGGGAGGTATTTAGTGATGGGGCGGGGGAGTTTGGGGTTGATGTTGGTGATGATGATTATAGAGGGAAGGAAGAGGAGGCTGGAAAAGGAGGGAAGGGAGGATGGGTAGGCCATGGTGAGGGGGAGGGGTTTGTGAAAGGGCTTTGGGGGATGGTTGTTGGTGATTATAATGAGGAGAAGGGGGCCGAGAAGGAGAAGGATGAAAGTTCTGGGAAAGAGAAGAGTGAGGGGCAAGAGGTGGGAGGCTTAGAGCAGGGTGTTGTGGTCGTGAATGGAGTTGAGAAGTTCAAGGACACGAGTGGAGATGGAGATGGGAGCGAACGCCATGATAAGAATGAAGGGAAGCAAGGAACTGAAGACGGGAATAGCAAGGAAGAACAAGGGAAGCTCGAAAGCCAGGACGGCGCGAAGAAGGAGGATCAGAAGGAGGAGCCTAAGACTGATAACAGCACAAAAGAAGGAAAGAACGGTAGCGACGCTCAGAAAGCTGAGGTCGAGGATAATACGAGTATGAAAGACAAAAACAAGCAGGCCGAGGAGGGAGCTGTGAGATATCAGGACGAGAAGGAGCAGCAGAAGGACGTGAAGGATAGCGACGAGAAAAATCGTGACGAGAAGAAAGAGTAAATTGTAGACAGACTGAAATAGTGACTGTAGATTTTAATTCAATAGCTCCGTTGTTCCAAGCCTGGTGATTACTCTAGATGAAGTGTGTCTCATAGAAACTGACTCACGAGTCACGACTGCTTTCACACAAACCTCATTTAGATCTGGAGGGCTTATAAACGCAATATGGAGACAAATGATTCCGTTTAAGTTGCCAGTGGAGTACTAAGCTGATAAGAGTGCTCTCATCTTTAGGCTTATCTATAGCAGGGTGATACTAGACTCGTCTTCTCTTCACCTTTTTCCGACACCCGCTACTGTACTTGCTTGTTAATTGCACCCGCTGCCGGAAATCGCCAGACTACTAAACAACTCTTTGACAGTTTAGCGCAGATTGGACGAAACTAAAGCTTGGATAGCTATCATACTGCCTGTAATTACCGGTTACTCGATGTTATGTCACGTAAAAGTCTTCGTTGATGTTGTTGAGCCCCCACAAATTGTTCCGGGCACATTTCCAATGTCGTTCCTGACAGCCCCTGGCCGCCCCGTACTTATCTCAGACAGACACTTTCGCTTGCCTTCTCTACGTGGACTCCTAATCTAACCGCTTTAGGCTGCTTAGTCAGTGCGTCCACGATTTAAAGGCTGCGAAGCGTCTGAGGGAAAATAGTGCGGATTTGTATAGTAAACGATTTTAAGCTGACCTTAATTCTTTAGTTACTTTACTATAACTTAACATATAACTATTTATATAACTTCAGGTACACTATAAAAGGTAGATAATCTATTTTTCTATTAATTAATATATTTATTTTTACCTGTATCGATTTCCTTAAGGGTGAAGTACATATACTAAGACTAAGGTGTCGATTTCTTACCTGCACTTAGTAAAAGTCTAACCGGAAACGTCTTTGTTATTTTATAACCATAACTCTTATTAATAAGCTATAAAGTAGGTGTTAATAAGAGACCTAATTAGAACGATTTCACGTTTATAGATTAAAAATCCGTCGAGTGCGTATTTTAAGATAAAGAAGTAGGTGATATTTCTAAAGAAAACCTCTCGATTTAACCGGAAACCTCTTTACTATTTTATAACTACAACACTTATTAATAAGCTGTAAAGTAGGTCTTTATAAGAGACCTAATTAAAACAATCTCACGTTTACAGATTAAAAATCCGTCGAGTGCGTATTTTAGGTTTAAAGAATAAGTGATATTTTATATTGACTTCTTAAGAACACTTCAAAAGTTTAAGGGAACTACTAATCTAAATAACTCAAGGGGTAGCTTAAAAGATAGAGAATTACAAGGGCTTTTAAATAAGCTTTTGTTTATAAAAATCCGATAGTTTTAAGGTATTAATATACCTGTTTTAATATTCTTATCAGATAACGACTCTCCCTTACTAAAAGTTGCCGCAGGACCCTTAAATACCACTATTTTCCCTCAGACCCTCCGGTGAGAATTCGTGCCCGCCCCCACTTAAGCCACTCTAATTGGGTCGCTTAGGGGGGGTGGGCGAATGTATCACCAAGGAGGGTCTGATTTATGAGATAACCCCGTACCGCATTTGTTGCCAAGACTTGAGGCTGACATTGGAGGAGAAAGTCACGAGACGTTCTGCGGGGTAGCTGATGGGTAAAGAACTTCCAGGTTCAGTGTACCGTAATGGTGGGGTTGCCCACGAAATTTCCTGGCAAGCATCATACTTTCTGAGACATCTGCATTTAGGCTCCTCGTCGCTCACATTCATGATATACGCCTTCATTCCGTAAAGAGACTCAAGTTTGCTGCAGTGAATTGCAACGCGATCGACCGCCTTGGAAGCAACAGTCGCACACGAAAGAGCGTACAAAGGCCTCAGCCGGTGATAGGGCGATTGGCCAGACAACTTGCAACGTGGTTCAGGCTTTATCTTCATACGCACGTACACGTAGAACATCAAGGTTCATCGGAACCTGTCATACGACCTGAATCACGAAGGAGATAGGAGAACGAATCTGCCGCGATCAATCCGACTTCGCTGATCAAGTCAGATCTAGTCAAGAGACCAGGCTAAACGCAGCTCAATCACTATTGGAAAATTGTGAGACGTTAGCAATATACCACTCTTCTGCACCGACTGCCAGACCTTGATCGAAAGGTTCTGCCTGCCCAAGCTATAACTACACAAGAGAGCACTTTTCGCATCTGCAGACCCCGCGGACTCGAAGGACATGACAGATAAAGATAAGAAAGGGAAGGGGAAGGGGAAGAAAGAGGATGAGGATGAGGAAGAGGCGGAGGTTAGGGCCCAGGATGTCACGAACATAATAATGGATACAGAAGCTGTTAATAAAAAGGTTCTAAAACTCGTAGGACACCCCCCTAGCAGTCATACGAGGAAGATGTGCCATGTGCTGACTTCCGCCCATACTTCTGCAAAGACTGTATCCCGGAGCCCGGAACCAATACACAGCAACGGCATTGTGAGTGTGCCCATGGGAGTATGCGCAATTCTGTTCAACAAATACAGCGAGGGTGTGGCACAAATCACGACGAGATATGAAACTGTTCGCACCGGTCCAGCAGACAGCGGATGGTACGTTATCGCTGTGGATGAAGGGGATGATATCATGGGGTTTGCCCAGTTCTACTACTACTATAAGCTATGACGATAGCTCTCTGGGGAAATAGACGTTGAACGTCTCTGTCTGGAAATCCTTCGTAATGTTCTTGGCTACTTCTCCGGAAATCTCCATCTTGCTTATGAAAAGTATACCTTCCAGCCTGAAAACCAACTCAACCAACGGCAGAACGTCAGGGCTTTTATTCGATATCACCAATGATGCTGACACGCAAATTTTCTCCAAAGCCTTCAGCAGAAATGCCTTTCGAGCGATTACCTGACGCCGATCGTCGTAGAAAACGATTCCACCTGACACTGATTAGCGTGGATATGACAATAGTTGGAAAAGTCTTTTCACCTTCTGCGCCATCGTGTTCACTAGTACAGGTAAGGGACAACGACGAAAGAAGCTGCGGGACGGTGGTACCTGGTGACGGAATGCTCTCAATAATATCGGAGATCATTAGCGTCCGATCTTGAGCCATCGTCTGGTTCTCTTTATTCTCCATCTTGGTAGATTGACAGTTTTGGGTCTCCGAGCTGGAAACATCAAATATACATGTGGACGAGGGCGAAGGACCACCTATTGCTATGGATCTTCAACTTTGGAAAATCTGGGAATCTCTGAAACTCACTATAGCTTCCATAAATAACCCTCTCGTGGGTCTTGCTCTCTGCCGGTCGTCCGCTATATCCAGAAGACTCGCCGCTCGACACTGGCGATTCTTGCGTCGGGTAATTCTGCTCATCCGATGCCTCTTCCACCCGCCGACGCTTTGGAAGTGGTCTCGTTCTTCGTCCGCTATTGATACCAGTGGCATGGGCGAGATTGTACACCAGCTGCTGGTTTTGCGGCGATATCTTTGGAGGTGCCTCGCCGTTCGAGATACACCCACGAGAAGGCAGACCCATTCTCTTGTCGATAGAAGTAAGAGTAGGATCAATTCGCTGCCGACTAGCTTTGCAGACCGTTTGGGGGTTAGAAGGAGGCGCTGGCACCGTCACTGATGGCTTCCTTTCTGAAACTTGTGCATCCCAAGCAGCCCAAGCCTGTGCAAACTTTGAGCTTCTTTCCCGAGCCTTTCGAAGACGTCTACACTGAGGCTCTTGTACAGCTTCACACTCCTTGCCATAAAGCTCCAAGTCATGTTGGAGCTTTTCCAAATCGCTCTCCTTATTGTTGCAAATGACGTCCAAAAGCACTGGAGGAGAAAGAGAAGAGAGAAACTCCCCCAGCACACTCTCTCCCTTTTCGTATAGTTCTAGAAGACGATAGAACTGATTTTCTCCAGTTTTAGGCCGGGTGCCAGCTAAATGTACTTCATCGAGACAATCGAGGAAATGTTTTCCTTCTTTCCAAGACGTTTTCCAATCATCACATTCTTTAGAAGAAGGATAATAGATCCGGGAGAGCTCTTTCACGGCATTACGAAGTCCTACTAGCTTCCTGGATTTCAAATTGTGCGGCTGTAAGTTAGTCAGCTCAATAAGATCGCACGACTCTAAAGGAGTCAGCTTGAGCTTCTGTGCTGAGAAGTAGATTGGCATCTGAATCGATTGTCATATAAAAGTGGTGATCCAGAAGAAGTTACAAAATAGCCGCTGCAGAAAGTCTGGGAAATAAACAGCTGTAAGACGTTCGGAGAACTGGCCGTTGCCGAAAGTCTGGGAAATTGATGATCGGAGGAGTCGAGAACATTGACGGTCGCAAAAGTATCGAAAAATACCGGTTGTAGAATGATTGGAGAAGTGACGGCTGTAAGAAGTCTGGAAAAATGACTGTTGCAGAGAGCCCGACAAATTAGTGACCAGAGAAGTTGAGACAATCGAAAGTCGCAAAAATTATGGAAAGTTCCCGATTGCAGAAAGTCTGGGAAATTGACAGTTGTACGGAGTCTGGAAAATGGACGAGCGATCATGTGGTCGGCGCTCTTGCGTTCGCTTCAATCAAGACGGGCGCAGCACAGGCATGCTTAAATTCAGCCACTCGTGAACTTCCTGATCCAGAAACAGTCCACACCTGGGAGACTTCTGCTCTCGTTTTTGGATTTTAAGTCCGTAAGGTTGCCTATCAATCCAAACAGACGGAGGACGGCCCCGCAGACCCCCTCCGCATCATCACCATATTGGGTTGCCTCACTTCATTCTCTCACCGAAAATAACGGTCCGTTTCTCCTCTGGGCCCTGTGTGAGCGCGGTGCAGCATCCAGACTTGTCCGGCTACGCCACTATGCCTTGTCTACATGCACGATCAGTGACCGCATCTGGAGCATTTCAGGACTTCAGATACGCCCGAGACGACTTCAATCGCCCAGGAGAGAACTGTGTTATACAACACCATTGATGATGATGTCGAGAAATATGTTTGTGTTTCACAAGCGCTCTGTGAGTATTGGCTAATTGACATCCTTGGTTGTACTAGAATACTAGGAATTCGCATTTCTGGATTCGCTGGTAGATCTCAAGTACAAAAATCAACATCGTTTTTGTGATGCAAATAAGCGATAGACGTGGATGTCCTGTCATATGGAACCCTGCAGATAGAAAAAGTAAATGTACTGTGCTATCGAAAAAGAGAGAGCTAGACTTGCGTGTGAGGCCTTCATTATAACATTAGTATCATTAGGTTGCATATGCAAGACAGTATTTGGTCTTCTTGCTGTCGTCCATTTGAAAATTCGCCTAGCTATCATTTAACAGAGAGCCGATATTACCATACTTCCGAAGACAGCTTAACCACATACAGCCCTCTTTTTGCACAATTATGGAACATCTATCTATGGCCAGATACCGTAGATGATTCATTCCGGAACTGTGTGACAGTGTGAAAGCGTCCAAGTCTTCTTTCCCAGTGATTGACAGGATATCAACAAAGCCACACCCTTCATCTGCAATGCTCCACCATTTATCAGCCAACAGGCAACCGCCAACAGCATGTCATGCACAGGACGACAAGTCAAAGATAGGTGCTTGTTACAAAACGGTTGCAGGGGTCGATAGTACATCCTGCTGCCATCAACTTTGGTGACGGTCAACGCCTGGTGCCCAGCCAACATCCGACTCCCTGTTTGTCCAATTGTATCCATCAACCCAGGTCTAGGCGAGATTGGCAGAATTTACAGCTCAGAAGGCTGGGGTGATGTAGCAATCGATCTCAAAACCAGCTGCAAAAAGAACGCCATTCTAACCATTACGGTAGAGTGCACATGGAAGGGATCGACCGACACGTAGTTCAGCTGGTCCATCTGACGTACGGAGTATTTGTAACGCCTTATTCATTCTATCACTTGAATCTGAATTTGCTATAGATGTATGCAAGTGACGAGCGTGTATGCAGTCACTTTTGGTCTAGCTGGAAGTGAAGAGTCCGACGTACTTCAGCGAATAAAGATCTTATCTTGACAGGCTACTCTTTCAGTCGACGGGTGCCTTGTCATAATGAAAACAGGTGCATATGTCTTGGGATACATTTAAGTATATATATCCTGCTGTTTTCTATTGAGTTTCGAGCTCTCTTTTTTGCTCAATACCCGGCGAACTCCTGTATCTGATTTCTCAATATCATTTCCAAATGTCTGCAAATTCCGGAAGAGACGAGTTTTGTGGGCGATGTGGCCACGCAATGAATGAGCACGCTCGTAAACGAGACTCGAAGTGTACGAAATGCGGCAAGTTCTTCGAGATATGCCAAACATCACTCCACGGTGACGGGTCTAGCAGGGCATGGAGACTTTGTTTCATACCTTGTTATTGCGGGAGAGAGTTCTATCCCGACAGGGCCCAAGCTGCAATACCACTCGCAGATCATGAGTACAAGCCAGACCACCCAGCCTATAGAGCCCTCGATGACGAGTACGAGGATGAGGACGAAGATCAGATCCATGAGGATCATGCCGGTGGCGAATGATCTGTGCTACCCGTCACATGGAGTGCCGGACATGCCCGAGTCAATTCCGGAGATTCTGAAGATCCCCTCGCATGGACCGAAGACCGATATATAAGGGACACATCAGCAATTTCAGATCTCGCAGACCAACTGGAGACAAGTCATATTGGCCAGAGTGCTAAGCTAGGATGTGATGACTGGTCGTGGAGCAAGGAATGGAGTCAGTGGATGAGAGAGCGCGAGACGTCCCCAGGCACGTGGGAGGTCGATTATGAACCCCTTACGGGAGAGTGGAGTGGTTGGGAATGGGATAGTACAGCTGGACAGTATGCAAGCAGTGCCGGGGACCCAGATGGTATCTTGAGGTACGAATACCAGACAAGTGTTGACGATTCGAGCTCGACATCACAAAGAAGCAAAGGAAAGGAGGTGCAGGACGAGACTAGCTATCCGAGCATGAGCACATCTACTGGCGAATCTGCGTCTCGAGATGGAACACTAGTTACAACTGTGAGAGAGGAGAAGAAGAAGAGGGTGTTTTACTATTTCACGAATGAGGCAGGTGGAGAGGTCAAAACTCGAGAAAATGATTGGAAGGAAAGCTCCAGAAAGGTCGGCGGTAAGGTGTACCAGTGTTTCGAATACACTGGGAAAAATTCTGGACGAGTTTACTACACTTGGCAATTGGGAGAAGCTTGAAATCGCCGCGGAGTTGGAACATCTTGGAAAGCAGAGCATCATTTGTACACGACGTATCTTGTTTCTTCTGAATTTATATCACAGTTGTATTTCTTAATGATACCTTACTGATGTGATGGTCGATTTAAATTCCTCGAGAACCTACCATCCAGGGATGAATTCTGACATTTGGGATCACCATGGCTCCAAGACTCCTGTCCCCAGAAGCCTCCTTTGATCCAAATGAGACTACATGAAACGTTGCTATTTTTGAAAGCGTGAGCTTGAATTTGCAAGTGAACCCACATGGAATCGCTATACTTCCACTCTCATGATTTCTCTCGTCATGGAAGCTTCGCCTACGTTGGGGATTGTCGCAAAGGAAGCCCTTCTCAATAGACGGTTTGGTGACCTTTTGCAGTTCTCTTCCTCCTTGTACTGGGAGCCACCAGATCCAGTGCTTGTACTCTCGCGAACGCCCAGTCTCCAATTGTGGCCATAGCTCAGGTTCAATGTCTTGTTTGAACACGTGGCCGACAGGTTCCCATCCAAAACGTGGCATATCGAGGCCGCCAAATCGAAAGTTGAAGCGATGGCGAAGGAGGTCGGATCGTGGGACTTTTGCAGAGAGTTTCTCATATGATCCCAATGGATCTTCGTCCAAAAAAGACTGCTTTGAACCAGTCCAGGCAGCAACATCTACATCAGGCCCCGACCAAGAACCAAAATTCGCCCGCTCTTGATGAGTTTCAAGGTAAGAAACTATCAAATCTAATATCGCAGTGTTACCCATCACCAAAACACCAAGCCACAGGAGAGCTGGTCGCATTCGACGGGTGATGAATATCTTGGCGAGCCTCTCCATATCTGCTGTCTCGATAGTAGGCCGCAAAACTTCCAGTATTGCACCGAACCAAGCACTGACGAGATTGCAAGCTAACCCTGGTTCCCAGAATATGCTCCAGAGTGCAGATCCTACAGATCCTGGATGTATGCTCAGAGTCATGTAATATGGAAGATCTTTGACATAATCTCGAATGAAGTGAGGGGCTGTTGAGCTCGTTCTGTGGTTGATGGTAATATTTGGCAGCGGTAGCTGTGGTTTCAGATCCAAATTGCTGTAGAACGGCAGTGTCAGAGCAGCTAGGAAGGCTACTGTGACTTGTTGGAATGCGAAAGAAGTGGGGAGCCCATCCACAGGAGGCTGAAAGTCAAACAAAGTACAAAACTCAATCAGAATATTTGCGGCACTGTCCGACGAGGGAGGTACCTCATGATCCAGAAAAACGAATGGCGCGTCCACAGTGATGACAAACCGAGTTTCGGGATGGTATTGTGCGGCCCATGGCGGAAGAGGGCCTCTGCTATTCCATCCTAGACCTGGTGCCAGAATAGCACTGAACCACCGTACCAAAGCTCTAGAAGCGGGGCCGAGATGAATGGCAATGTCGTCAGGTCCAGGTCGGTACTCTCCAATAAGAACTGGGGTTAATCGGGTATTGGAGTAGCGAATAGATCGCTTTTGCATTTCCAGAAATCTCACAGTAAAGATGTAGGATCACAATGGCACAAGTATTGCAATACCATTCGGTCGCGTGTCGTTGAGTCGAGGGTCAGATGGGTTCACTGTTCGGAATTCTGTTGCTTTAGATATCGACAGGAGGAACTCCTTTTTGACACCATGAACTTCATCTGGGTTCCAATCCTCGAGACCAGGAGCCCTGGGCAGTTCGGGTTTCGGAATGTGCCATACTGCCTCTCCTGAGATGCTCCGCTTCCGGGGCAGATTCCAAGGAAGAGGTGGTATCTGTTGCAATAAAATATCCGGATATATGGCCACAGCTGCAACACAGCCGGGGGGCAGTGAAATAGCGCTAGCGACATAATTCTGCCAGATCTTCTGGCACCGTAGGAAAGTATGGTGAATTTGTTCAGTGCTGGGGATGAGGGGGTCGTCTTTGGCTCCAGCAACTGGTATGAGAGGGTCGTCTTTAAAGCCAACAAGTAGGTCTACGGAATCTAAATCAGAATCATCATGCGGCCCAGTCAAGCTGTGTTGAACCTCAGTGACAAGTGTACTTCCGGTCACTTTGACCTCAACAAAGCTAGCATCGAACAGGTGCTCCCCCGTCTTTATCCAGTGAGTGGTACGATCGGTGTAGTTGACTTGTTGGGAGTCCAGTGCATCAAGTTCAAGGGTAGCGCACTCTGTCATTGCCTTTGAGTGTTATTGAGGAGAAACGGACTGAAGGTGGTAGTATTTTCAAGTTTATGGCGTTGAAGTTGAGTAGGAGGAAGTACGTCGCGTCGATGTTGTTGTTGCCCCACAATAAAGGCACGTGTTCAGCCCAACCGCCTTATCCTCTCTGACATGAGTAACGTGATTTTTAGGCACTGACTGGTCATCCTCCAAGTAGTAGCACATCCTGAAGGCGGTTTTGATGAAGTTTGGGGTAATACCATGACGGGTGAAAGACCATTTGCTCCAGGAACTAGCGATGTTTGTAAGTTCTTTCCTAACTTTTCGTACCTCGCGAACGTAGCCCGACCTCACCGTTTTCTAATATATATAGGTATTTCTATACTTATTTAAGAAGCCAGGTCGTCACGGTCAGGAGACAAAGGAGTAGTGAATTCATGTGATTGTAATCCTTACGTATTCGATCCCAGCATGAGCTCCACTCATTTGTTTCTTCATAGTCGCGATGTGATATTGTTATATATTTAGTAGAAAATCCGGACTTTATATCTCTCCATTTCCTTACCTAAAAAGCACAATATAATCTCTATAAGTATCAGTACTTGTTGGTATCGTACCGGTAAACAAATAACAAGTGTATATCGATATACGTCAAAATCCAAGGTTCAGTTCAAAGGTGTTCAAAAGTGTGTATTGTAAAGAGTGTCTAAGGGTCAGAATATATACCACCTCCCGAACAACCCCCGGTTCGCATCCGAAAGGGTTCCACCCCCTAACCGGGATTACCCGTACCCCTTGATTGCCCCCTATATTTCCATGGCATAGGTCTGCGGACCAACAGTACTTCTATTATTCCAAGATTAATCAAACACTTGAAAATATCTAATACTTAATAGTGATATAAACCTACGTGACTTATCTTATATCGTGTACTGTAGGGAGGAGCTTCATGTAGTATGAAAGTCTTGATTTATTAAGGTATTCTAGAGCTCTCTTATAAGAGGAAGCTCTAGGAGTTCTAGTTATATAAGTAGCCTCTAGTTAGCTAGAGCGCCTTAGGGAGTGCCTTAGGTGCGTCAGGTATATAATATACCCTCTCGCTTAGTTTTATAATAGTAAGCGAAGCGATATAAATAGTGCAGATAATACTACCTGAACTATAATAAGAGTTAATATCAACTGATAGCGTTAGGTCTTAAGCGCTTAGTAGCTCTGAATATATAAACTAGGTAGGTCTCCTAGAACACTCTTTCCTTAAATAATAACTTCGACGTAATATTAGTAAATATAGCTAAAAGCTCTCGCGCTGCCCGTGCCTCGCGCGCTTTTAATCTTGCTGCTACTCGCGTAGTAAAGAAGAAGACTATAAGTTGTTAATTTAAAGATTCTGATATAGTTAGTGTTATAAGAAATTGTTAGAACTACGCTAATACTTATAAAATAGGCCTGTAGCTACTGTAGCTCCCCTGCTACCGCTACTCTACTACTACTACTATTACTATTACTACTACTAGCACTAGCACTAACTCCTGCCTGCTGCCCTGCTATAGTAGGGGCTATCTGTACTATACCTTATAGCTACTATATTCGCGGTAGTTTACGAGGTGCGCTAGGCGACTCTTATTATAACGAAGAGATAGCTTTACGCTGTTTTTATTATTATAAAAATAATAAATCGGGTTATATCACTACTTCTGCTCGCGCCGCTGAACTCTTCGCTAGCTACTTAGTAGCCTAGGCTCTCTTAGAGGGCACACGCGTAAGTGTTTCCTTATATTATAGTGTTAGAATAATAAAATATTAAGGTATTAATATTAAAGTACTAAGCGAGGCTGACTTTATAATATATATAAGCTCTTATAGTTCGCCGGGCTACTATTCGGAAGGCCTTAGAGACTAAGGAGGATAAGGATAAGGATAAGGATAAGATCTGTGCTACTATCTATAAGTTATAATAATAGTCTTATAGATTTCAGATATTATCTAACTATTAATATTAGCTACTACTCCTACTCTTATCTCTACTCTCTGTAGAGAGACTACTATTCCTCCCCCTTACTCTGTTTTTAGTGCTATAGGAATAAGCTTTAGCTCTACGGGAGCTGCTATTATTACTCCTGCGGCGTGTTTAGCCTTATGTGCTTTTACCTTAGTAAAGGTTAATATTATAGCTAGCGCTACCCGGCAGTTAATTAACTTTCTCCTCTTTCCTTAGTAAGCGGTATAAGCTTTATAACCTTTAAGTAGCAGCTTAGGAATATTACTCCTTTATTATTATAGTTCGGGCTAGCGTATTAGTACGGCTTTATAACTTAGAAGTTATAGCTTAGGATCAGGTCTTTTATTCTTTATATTATTTTAGCGCGGCTTTATAACCCCGAAGTAATAGCTTAGGATTAAGTCTTATAATTCTACTTCTTCTTTTCTCTCTAATAGTGTTTAAGAACTATAAATATAAAGTAAAGGAAATATAATAAAAGAAAGTATCTATATAGATTATATAGCTTAAGCGAGCTTCTTAATATTAGCTTAAGAGTCTTAAAGGTTTAAAAGAGTAATAAATACTTTAAACTTCTACCTTAATAGGTTTTTAGTTAAGCTATTAGCTAGTATATTATTTATTAGGAGATACGTTACCTGAAAACTCCCCTTTTTATACTCCTATTATAGTTATATATTCTGTATATTAATATACTGAAGCTTTATTAAGATTCACTAGTTCTCTTTAACTATTAACTGAATTATCTGTTTATTATTATAGAATATATTCTACGGAGCTCTTATATTAAGCCTTAGCTCTTTAAAGAACCTTTAAAGCGCTATTACCTCCTTAGTAGTCTGTTCTATACTAAGAAGCTCTGCCTTAGTTATTAAAGTAGTGATAGTATCTTATTAGGAGGCTTTCTAAATAATAGCTTCTCTAAATAGTATAATTAGGAATCCTTAGAAGGAATAACGCGATTTAGTGTTATCTATAAAAGACGCGTCTAAAGTAATAAGAAGGTGTATCTCTTTATCTTTCTAACTATAGATAATAGCTAAGAATCTTAAGCTGAATAGATATTATATAGTCTAATTAACTACCTCTAAGTGTAGTATACTTAAGTTAGTAAGGAAGTATAATAGTTAAGAGGCTATAAAAGCGACGTCTAGCCGGAGTATAATAGCTATATATAGCACTAACTTAACTTTCTTTTAATATTCCTTGATTTACTTAAAAGTTACTATACTAAGGTTCTTAACTAGCTTATAGTACAGGAGAAGCGTGCTAGGGTACTTCCTATCTACTATATTAAACTTCTAAGCTATCTTCTTAATATAGATATTATATAGGAGAGACACTATTTTCTTTTCCCTATTCCGTACTACTTATACTCCTAAGAACTATTCTATATCTCCTAGGACTATTAGCTCGTATACCTCGTGTAATTTATTTATAATTATCTAGCCCTCTTTAGCATATCTAATATAATATAAGACCTGAATATTATTAACATAGAACGCTATAAAGATAGTCCTATACTAGTTTATAAAGATATATAGCTCCTCTGCGAGTGAAAATAGGTTTAGCTTACTAAGTATCTTTATAAAGTCGCTATACTAGAGTATAAGTGAGTCTCTTAAGCTATAAAGCGCTTAGTTAATTTCTACTACTATTCCTAGTTTTTTCTAGCTTTCTGAAGGGAAATACAAGATTAAGGCGCTTCTCTTATCTCTTTTTATATTAATAAAGGCGTTAATTATATTAAACTGCTTTACTTCTAAGTCGAATTAAGCCGCTAGTACTATCACGACTTAGAACGACCTCGCTATAAGTATAGCTGTGTAGGTTAAGAATATTATAAAGTTATCTTATATATTACCTTATATTATAATCTAAGATTTATAACGCTTAAGCTATCTTATAGAATCTACCTTATAAGTAAATATCTACTTTAAGGGAATCAGTGAGGTAGCTATATCTTCCCTGGGAATTAGTCTCTAATAGTCTTAAGCTTCTAAGTTTAATATCTCTTTTTCCGTGTTAGCCTTAAACTGCTTACTATATAAGTAACTCTCTAGCTCCCTTTAGTTCTTAGGTAGCTTTAGGAGCTTCCTTTAATATTAGTTTTATAAGTTAGAAGCTCTTACTTCTACTTAGATATCTAATATAGTACTTGAAACTACTATATGAAGTGTGATAGTATTGTAGCTATTAGCTCGCGTTAGAGTCTTACTATAAAAAGTTATAGTAAACTTTTAAAAGCGCGAGTAGCTATCTTATCTTAGAGCTACTACTATAAAGTAATAGCCGTGTGTAGTAAGCTTTTTATATTCTCTCTAAGCTTCTTAAGTTACCTGGATTTAATTATACTCTATTACTCGCTACTATTAGTAGCTATTTCTAGCTGCCTGTAGAAACTTAGTCCTTATCGCTTTAAGAGAAGCTTTTAGAAGCTTAGTGACTTATTACTTAAGGTCTTATAACTATTAGCTAAGTAATATAACTTAAGAGTATATTTATTAGCGCGCCTTCTTAATATCTAGACTAGTATTATTACTACTTATAGCGTCCCTCTAGTACTAGGGTAAGAGATAATTAGTCTTTATAGCTTTAGTATTTCTCAGGGCGCTTTAACTTAACTTCTCATAGGGAGTTAGATCTCTATTACTATCGGCGAAGTTATTATTATAAAGGATTATATTATTACTCTCTACTCCCGAGGTCTAACTCTTATAGGGGGGTAATTCAGAGGTCTAAGGGAGCTTTAGCGAGTTAACCTTTATTAGCTCTTATACCTCTAGTATTACTCCTAAGCTTTATAGAAGCTCTATTAGAGTAATATCTATTAGTTCTAGTACCTTCTTAGCGACTAGTATAGTAGTCTTAATACTAATATTAGCCTTAAATATAGCTTTGTTTAGTTTAGCTATATATTCCGCTATAACTGTGTCGGTAATATTACTAATACTATACTCTATATCTAGAGTAACGATATTCTCTTCTAAGTCTTTAATAAGCTCCCTTAGAGTAA